GATTCCATGTTGGCCTAGACGCAGGTGGCAGCAGGCTTCGGATTCCCCAGCCGACGGGCATTTATCGCTCATCGCGCAGTTCCCAGCTCGATATTACCCATGCGGCCCTAGATCCCCTCTTTAGCTGGATAATATAGACGGAATTCGGTACATGACCTACGCTTATCGAGCGGGGTCTCACGATCCTAGCAACGATTCATCGCTCCTTGAAAAGTGGGCTCTTCACGGAAGAGGGTAGAAACACGGTCGACAGGTTTTATTTCAAGCTGTTCAGCTGAAAGCAGAGATGACACGGTTAGAGATGAATCGCTCAAGAATATGCGCACACTCGAACCAAAGCCAGGACCTTACTTCCACTGGTTAGGGAGATTAGAGCTGAAAGGCGTGCTTGATTGCAGGATGTTTGGCAATAAACTTGCAGGCGGAAAGCCACGGGAACCAGCAACGCATGATTTTTTGTTTTGACCCGACAATAGATTTCCAGGACGGCAGCTACGAAGAGGGATAAGTAGATAGATGTGTGGAGTTTGAAGTAACTTCGTTTGTGGCGTGATGTGAAGCTCAGAAGCAGTCGAAGCCAAGTGCATTCAGCATTCTATGTTCTCCAAGGAACACCAACATCCACAAGCAGCGCCCCTTCCGGAGACATCTATCAGATCTCGACCTTTACAGATGACATTAGCCACAGCATCGCACACATTGGATCAATATCGAGTCAAATGAGCGATCAATTAGAAATGCGATTCCATAACGGACCTCGTATAATTGGATGTACTATGAGATGGCAGCGAGCACTATGAAGAGATCAGTGTGTTTTCTAGGCCCTTCTAGCGGGGTTGATTGATCCATTGATCCATTCGTGGATGGATCAAGAATGCATTAGATTCCATCAATTCCAATAGACCGTCTATTGAATGCCTTGAGAAAAGCTAGTGGCGCTCGGCGGCTCTCAGGCCCCAAATGCCGCGCCACAGGGGCCGTCGACTAAAGTCAAGTTGAGCACTCCCTGCTCGCCCCGGGCTTGCGCGATACTAGCAATCCAAAGACTCAAAGCTACCAGCGAGCAAGCTAACGTGGAAGCTCCGGAAGAGACTATCAGATCCCTCTCTGTCCGTGAGAAGAGGCGCACATTACATCAGGCCTCAAAAATGATAACGACGCCAAACTAAGCCCACGGCCACAGCTTGGGGCCAAGTCCCAAAAACAGGCAAGTCCGGGAACCGACTCTTTTTAGTGCACATAGGCGGCCCCGAGATCAAATCAAGGTGCTCTGGTTGTTGGCTTCATCACCCCTTTCCCAGAGTAGGTGTATTCCTATCATGTTATCTTGGTTGCCTTACACAAACCCCTTCGTCCCTTCAGTCTCAAAACCAAGCTGATCGGGGGTGTGGAGTGGCACAGTGGTCACCCAACACTGCTAAAGACTTTTAGGGAAACAGCCCCATTGATACAAGAGAGCACGCTTGTCTTCTGACTGCCCCGGGCATGTCTCCTCGATGGCCCGCTCGTCGATGGCCCGCTCGTCGCTTTTTACGAACACAACTCCACATACCTTACCGCAAGCACAGGGGCGGAAGGCGTGAACGGGACAACAGATCACATCTGCCGGCCGACAGCCTACAAGGCTGAGACGAATTCTGTGATCGTTTTGCGGGCACAATCTTTCTCCTCTCTCTCCCTCCACCCTCTCCAGCATCAAGAGGACGGACATTGTCACACTGACATTAGAAAAGATTCTCGCATACTATTCCCTGACGTTAGCATTCCACAGATTGAGCAAGCCCATAAGCGGTACGTGCGCTCCCCTCCCAACCGATGTGATATACGCCGGTTGAGTATCCTAGGTTCATGTGAGTGTGAGTCGACGAGACCCCCTCCCTGGACAAGTACGTCAAGGTAATACATATCACCCACACCGCCATACCCATAATCTACCATCGATGGCCTGGAAGACGAAGAGGCATGAGCTAGCCACCAAAATTCGCCAGTCATTGAAGTCCGTATTTCATGTGGGCTATCTGATAACCAAGATACATTACATTACCGGTGCATCGCGATCCATGGTGAAAGTGCTCTGCTCTCTAGCCCACGCATGGTCCTAATGCGAATGTGTGACATGACCGTGGCGAGATCACAGCTCTCATTAGCGTCAATCAGAGACTCGCCAGAGGGCCATATCCAAAGTAGTCTCTACTAACGCCTCCCATCCACACAGGTCAAGGGTGCCCGGAAACTCTGACAGCTGGCTCGGAGGCTGGTGGCCCCAGAAGTCTTGCTGGGTAGAGTCTAGACTCAGGCTCCCGCAGAGGTAGAACGGGGAAGAGCTGATGAGAAGGGTGAGGATATTGAGGGCAGAAAGGGGGTGCAAATGATTCTAAGAATGCGTCACTCGGTGTCTTCGTCCAGCCTCAATTGAAGAACGCACCCCAGGCCATTTTTGAAGCCCTCGCCCACAAGTCCTTTTCACTACCTGAGCCCACGATGCCAATACCCGAGGGCCCAGAACCAACGAGAGCCTATATCAAAAGAACTACTTTCGGCCTTTATAGGAGCTCAAACCAGAGCCCCCTACGTGTAGGAATCTGCCCTTCTCCTTTCGAATCTGATAAAACAGATATGCATGAGGCACCGCCAATATATGTAGGCAAAGGAATCGACATCAACTACCAGCCGACCCAGTTTCATCACGACCGATCCCACGGCCCCTTTTACGACGGCTAGGCAATCCCAACGCTACCGATAATGCAAATGCGCTGCCATCCTAGGTCGTCTCCTTACTCCCTGATCTTACAAAGGCTATGTGTTACCATAGGTGAAAGCAACGGCACTTCTTATTATATGTACATTCTTTCTCTTTGCCTAAGTTGACCTAGCCATCACCCGTATCGATTTAATCAACCCCAGCGGCCGAAAGATGTCAAGGAGGCAGGAATACAATTATCAGGGTATCTTCAGTAGTAATCCAAATACCTTCCAAACCCTCCCATCTCCTCCAGTGAGGTCTCGAATGAAGGTCCCCGTCACATAGTATAACAGAGCAGCTGTGACTTGTGCTTCTAGCTACGAAGTTTTCTCACGGACCGTAGTAATAGATACTGCAATACCCTGCACTGCAGTTCCGTGTGTCCTCGTGTACATACAAGTATACCGCTGCTGAACTTTCGATGAGGCCGTGTGACGCATCCATCTCGATATTGATTAGTTCCAACCCCTCGCCTAAAGACACGCATATGGGAACGGTAACTTAGGTTACTAGCTTTGTTGCTAGGCGCAGGGGATTTTCGATAAAACCCTCTTGGACCTCTCAAATCTACAAGTAGTATGGCACTACCGGTCTTGGAGGGCTGCCTCTACCAAAGAAGAGCGGCCACGAGCAGCCCATAGTATGCGAATTTCGCAAAGGGGTGGCATCGGCGAGAACCACAGGCAGGAGGAAATGGGAATCCTGCAGCAATCCCACCAGGTACAACGACGGAGCCTCGCCTTCCAGCTTCAGTGTGTCAGAGAAAAGGCCACTAATAAGTCCGCGCAAGAGGACCTGCCATCTGCCAGCGACGGCCCCTGAGGTAACTTACCTTATGTCTTGAGATTTTCTGCTCATCTTTCCACTAAGCTACAGAAGAGAGAGAAAAATCGGTGAAATCTTGTTGTGCCTTGGTCCTGTTGAATGAAAACTCTTTGTTGTGTGAGCCTATCTTCAGCTTCCACATTCACACCTCTTCCAGCCATGTGGAAAGGTTTGCCATGGCTTTAATCAGGGAGAGTACGATATGTATAACCTCCTAACCTGGAATGTTCGCAAATGGTTGCGAGTGCAGTTTCTCATTTCCCCCAGTTCATCAGAAGTTCGGGCCTCAGAGCAATGTGCTATATCAATTCATCACCCCAAGGATCAATATCTTCCTCCTCCCCCAGAATTCCTGAAGAGCGAGTAAACTGCAAAGACCAGGCAAAGAATACCCCTTGTATGCTAAGAAGACCTGAGCCGTTAACCAAACCACAGGATCATCCACTATAGCTCAGGCCAAGGTTCGAATCGTAGATAGGAGAGTTGCTTTCTATGATAGACTCCTCTAGCCCAAAGCCTGACCATACTTAACACGAGTATAACGCAAAGGCTGTGAGCGTATCAAAGGCGGATGAACTCGCCGGGCAACGCAATGGGCTCCTCGCGGGACTTCTCCAGCCAAGTCTATCCGCCTACCCAGGTCATAAGCATATTCCGTGAGATGCCCGAGCCGCCATCCGCCATGTGGGCTAACATTGGCCCGCGGGGGGCTCATGAAACCCTCTAGCTCATGAGGACTTCTACCAATCGAGTTTGTGTTCTCAGTTTACCGTTGCCCAACTCCCAAAATACAGAGTTGGGTCTGCCATGCCTCAACAAGATGAAGGATACTAAGAGAAACGACGACACAATAGCAAGGCTTCACACAAGGCTGTCTTGTGTCCCCATTGTAGCTTGCAATTTATCAGTTGTTGACCTGTTGAAGAGGCTCAGTGCCGATTTGAATTGACTCGTATATTTCCGTAGAAGGTACACAGGAAAGGGTTAATGCCACGGACACCAGCAATATAACGAAACAATTGGAGAAGAAGACAGCAACATATTAATATTCACAAGCGGTTGGAACCCCGGTATCTGTTAAATATCTGCAGTTCAATGCCCATGGATGCTCCCGAAGCTGTCAAATAGACAATGTCCACAACAGTTGGAGATCAACAATGCAACCAGCCGATGCAGCGAATAACATGTAGAGGGAATCTACCAGATAAACAAAGGCGAAGAGGAAGCAAGATCAAAAGTCGAAAAAGAGCACATGAAAAAAGAGTCAAAATCGATTCACCCCAACGCCGTAGCCTATAGTTCCAACCATGGTTCCAGAACTTTCTTGCTTGATACTCAATCGCGGTTCACCGGCCACGAGAAGGAAGGTAAGACGAGAACCATGTCGAGCCCACAAAAACTTTTGCTTTTAGAAGTAGCACCCATCGCGGGATCAAGAACGGAGATACTCGAACACTACCAGAGCATGGCCACGCTCATAAGCCTCTGTTCAGAAGAAAGCGGTTAGCTTGGATAGGGCCTTACAAAGCAGGTTATCGGAGAGGTACACTTACCAAGGCTGATTTGCTCTTTGGGCTTGAACTTGAGAGCACGCATCTCTTCCACAACTTGCGCATACACTTGAGCAGGGGGTGCCGTTGAGTCGATACAGTTGGCCTTGATGCTGAGCAGAACCTTTCCTCCCACTTTCAGGAAGCAGCCTGCGTTCTCTGCAATAATACGAGCAGGGTCCGGCTGGGCAACATCACAGAAAATGACATCGACCATCCCGTCAACGAATAGGCGGTAAGAGGCGGGCTTTCGTGCGTCTTCGACGATAGGGTTGACGTTGTGACGCTTCTGGCACATAGTGATTAGATCACGACCGCTGCGACGAGAGAATTCAACAGCATAGACGCGGCCAGTGGGGCCGACAATATCTGAGACATGTGAGACGGTGGTGCCTGAAGCAGCACCAAGGTAGAGAACCTTGCTTCCCGGGGCAATATAGAGCGTATCGATACCAGCAAGGATAGCAGCAGCAATCTTGCTGCGGAAAGGGTTCCACAGACGGTATTCAATCTTGGTCGTTGTAGTAGTCCCGTCTTCATTCGTTTCCGTATCATTGACCTCGACTTTCTTTTCGCCGTAAACGCTCACACCGGGGGCAAAGCTCCTAGTGGCAAGATCATCCTGCTTTCCACGAGAGATGAAGACTCCAGCGTGGCGATGCCTTTCCTAGAAGATTAAAGCTGAGCGTTAGCACAAAGTCATGACAGGATATATTAGCATCTTAGGTGGGATGAGACAAACAATGATTGCCTTCTGACCACCCTGTGTGCCAGCACCGCCGCCTCGGCCACCACCACGGCCACCACGACCCCGCGGGGCACCCCTTCCACCGCCACGACCTCCACCTCCACCTCCACGGCCTCCACGAAACCCGCCAGCACCACCTCCGCCTATTTGAAATTATTGTTAGACATAGCGAACATATTGGGCGACTATAATCTCTGAAAACCCAGAGAAAAGGAGAGCAGGGGTGACGCAAGACAATTGGGAAAGCCTACCACGTCCACCACGAGGTGCACCTCCACCTCGACCACCTCCGCGCGGGGCGCCACGCCCTCCTCGGAATCCTGGAGCCATTGCTAGGGATATAGGTTCGGTGAAGAAGCTTTCAAGCGTCTTGGACAAGATGCGATTGATCACTGCGAAGCCAAACCGCAAGAAGTTGATGTTGTTGGAATTGCCTGGGTAAGAGATATAACGAAGACGGAGGCCGTCAATCGGATCTAAATCTCGAGAGTGGCTGTAGAGAGAGGGTATCAATATATCCCTTGTTTTGGTAAGGCAAGAAAATAAATATTGTTGAGATCCCGAAAGATGTCAAACAAATGGCTGGCAATCGCTTTGGGCAACCCACTCAGAAATTTTTTTTTTGTAGCTCTCTTGGGAAAATTTTCGGTCTACTTTGGGGTCTGCTTGAGCCGCCGCTCAAGCCGCGGTGGGCCATTGGGGGTTCTGATTGGTTGATAAACACACTATATTCACCCGATAAATTTCCGCTGACTGTTCATCTGAGGTACAATATGACCCACCGAGAACTACGAGTTGAGCAAAAACTTCTAATGGGCAATTAAACACCAGACATGGGGAGCATGGTCAGAATAGACACTTGAGCAAACGATGTAATGACGGATCCTCGTCAGTCACGTAGAGAAGTTCAACCCAACTATTGATAGTAGTGAGCATTACCATGCTTCAAAGATCTATGTAAGCTATTGTGAAGTACCTCTGCATCCCTTTTTAGCCCTTCTTTTTCTTTTTGTTCTGTTTACAAAGGTCTCCTTGCGACCACTCAAGTCTCGGGCAATAATACAGACTCTTCAGCGACGCGCCACTTCTTGCAATAGAACTGACGTTGAGTCGAATCACATTCGCGATTCATGAATGTCCATTGCAATCTGGGAGAAGAGCGAGTTGAACCACAGGACAGCGTGCGTGATGAACTACCCTCCCGATGACTTGTGGATACCTAAGAGGCCTTCGCAAAGTCCTCAATGAACTTGGCTAGTTTTTCTGCGCCCTCAAGGGGAATAGAATTGTAGTTACTGGCGCGAATTCCGCCAACACTGCGGTGGCCTTTCAAGCCCGTGAGGCCAAGCGCAGTAGCTTCCTTCAAAAAGGCCTTTTCAGCTTCATCAACGTTACCTGCTTTAGTGACTCGGAAGCAAATGTTCATTCGCGATCTCACGGACTTGTCGGGGACAATATGATATGTCTCGGGGTGTGCTTCTAGCGCGGCATAAATCAATTCGGCCTTACGAGTTGCAAGGGCTTCCTGGCCGGCAGCTTTGTCGGGGAAATTCTTCAGCAACCTCTTGAGCACTTGGCCTGCAACGAACACGCTGTGCAATATCAGTCAGCTGTATCCTTCATACATGATGAAGATAAAAATATGGCGGATTCGGATTTTTAGACAGTTTTGTCTATCATGGATGGAAGAGGTAGTAAGGTGGATTCATCTTACTCAAAAATACTCAAAGTGTTATAAAGGCTGTTGTTCTTCGCGATAGTCTCGTAGGATAGGATGATTGGTCCTACGGGTAATCCGAGCTGTCGCAGGAGCGTCGGGGCAGGCTGTGAGATTGCCGGTGGTAGAAGAGACTTCTTAACAATCGCAATCGTAATCCCAGTAGAGCCTAGATTTTTTGGGCGCCAAAGAAGATGACGGAAAAGTTCTTGACAGGTATTCTCCGAGAAAGGATATTAGACGACATGTCAGCAACGACAATGGGGCCTGACCCGTCCGATGCGGGCAGAAGCGCGTCAGGAAATTTAGGGAACTCGACGCCGTCGACAGTCTCGTTATCGCAATAGTACACGAGTGCCGCGTCCTTCGACAAGTTCCAGGTGCTTTCGTCGGGAATCTTGCCGAATTTGCCGCCATTGCTAGTTCGAGAGTCGACAACAAGATTGACGTGTTCTGGGCCAAGTAGGCGAATAGCTTCCTTGTGCGCCTTGTCCGACCAGCCTCCAGTAACGATATAGTCAACCTTCAGCTTCTCCTGCACCACCTTTCTCAACTCTTCGGCGAGCTTGCTGTCATCAGTCTCACCAAGTGTCTTGCTAATTTGTTCTTTCTGTTTTGTGACCCATGCACCGACAAGGTTGTACACGGTGGCAGAAAATTCTCCAGTCCCACCAGCTTGCATGAAGAGAATCTCGTAGTCATCCGGAATATCCAGGTAGCTTGCGAGATCCGCCTTGGCTGTGTTGATGATGGTAGTGGCGTGCTCAGATCTATGCGAGTGCTCTGCGATACCTAGACCGGTCCCATTATAGTCCAGCAGCGCCTGAGCTGCTGTCTCTAAAACATCAGTTGGGAGGAGGGCAGGGCCTGCTCCAAAATAAGTGATGTCCGCTCGCGTGGGCATGATGACTGAGAGGGGTCGGCGACTCTAAGAGGCTTGGTTCAAGGTGTAGACAGCGGGTTCACAAAAGGAGAGGGGCAAAGGGATATTTAAACGCGCAGACAGGGCGATTGAGTGAAATACGGGAGAACTTGTCTAGTGATGGGAGCCCGACATCGGGAAAATGGCCCTCAGGGAACTTCAGAAAGATGACATCCATTGATAGGATGTTGCACTGGGGCGATCAGTGTATGTACCCAGTACCACACTTTCGTTCAACTATCCAAGCTTTCTCCATGCCTTTCTCGAAATAAAGATCATGAAAATAAATGCTTCTATACCCGCCTCTGACTCACAGGCTCTAAACGAAAGGGGGAACAGGAAGTGAATACCAAAAGCAGCTCGGGAGGCTTGTCCCACCACTTGGTGAACAGCCAAGCGCGGGGTATCCTGATGGTGGGGTAGTCCACAACCAAGGTCTTATGTAAAAGGTATGGTGTTTGAGAAGCCAGCTGTCTACATCTGGGAGAAAGCCACACGTGATAGATGCGTGACGGTGGCTCACCTTGAGAGGCGCCCACCAGGCTATATTCAAGAAATGGCGATATACGCTCAAGTAAAGCAGGTCCGTCAGTAAGATATTCGACCGATCTCCTACAAGCGTCCCGAAAAGTGAATGAAAGTTATCAAGGCGTAAAGTAAAGTACGACCGCAGTATCAGATCACCGCAGGCCCAAGCTGTTGAGCGTCTTTGGGCTGAGATAAGCTGCCAGCAGTAACAAGTTTACGTGGGTCAAAAATGCGCCCACCCTCCTTCCTAAAAGGGTCACAACCCTAAGCCCTTCGCTAGAGCCAATCAGATATCAGTCCTCATCAACCTCCCATCCCAAAGTATCCAAGGACATCGACAATTTTGATTTTCTTCAAACTCAACGACCAGACTTTTCGACATCGCAGCAATCGATTCCATCAACAACCGTCAAGATGGTAAGTTAACTTCACCTGGCCGATTAATTTCACTCGATATCATTCTTTTTATCCTTGGCCCTCTTGCGACCTAGTTTCGGCAGTGGATTGGTATCATTTACTCGCCCTGACGAGAATCTTTGGAAATTTTTAAACGACGCCATCAGTGAGAGCGATAGAAGCTGACCCCGAGGTTTAGGTTCGGTACGCAGCCCACGAGATCCAGCCGACCAAGTCGGCCCGCGCCCGCGGATCCTATCTTCGCGTTTCTTTCAAGAACACTAGGGAAACCGCCCAAGCCATCAACGGCTGGAAGCTGCAGCGTGCTGTTGCCTTCCTGAACAACGTTCTCGAGAAGAAGGAGGCTGTTCCCTTCCGCCGATTTTGCGGTAGCATTGGACGCTGCTCTCAAGGTACAAAATATTGGCACTCCCCGCCCATTTTCATACAAATTCCCGCCGACCGCAGGCCCTTCCATAGGTAAACAAATTGAAGATGCTGATAGACCATTCTGAATATAGGCAAACAGTTTGGTGTCACCCGTGCCCGATGGCCTGTCAAGTCCGCCCAATTCCTCCTCGGTCTCCTTAAGAACGCCGAATCCAACGCCGATGCCAAGGGCCTCGACTCCAGCAACCTAGTTGTCAAGCACATCCAGGTTAACCAAGCCCCCAAGCAGCGAAGGCGAACCTACCGCGCCCACGGCCGTGTACGTCAATTTTGCCACACCATCCCTCCGCGCCCCGAATAAGTAGCTAACCACACCAATTCTCTTACTTTTAGATTAACCCCTACATGTCGAGCCCCTGCCACATCGAGCTTATCCTTACCGAGGGTGATGAGGCGGTCGAGAAGTCTGATGCCGTTGTTGCGCATGGAGAGAGGCTTAACTCGAGGCAGCGTGGCGTCCGCGTCCGAAAGGCTCTCACCGCGGCGTAAAAGGGTTGATAAAAAAGGAGGGGTAGACGTGACTAGAGCTTAGCCGCGGCTTTTTATTTTGTTACAGGTGTACGGTTGAGCATGGCATTCTTCGGGAAACGGCTTTCTCGCAAAACCTCAATAAAATGTTGATATGACCATCATCTAATGCGGCCACCTTCCGGTGGGAGGTAGCGTGGTTGAGAACCCGAGAACCCTATGAAGGCGTGATTCTTCCAGAGAGGATCTGCCAGAAGCTTTCGAAAGGCTGCCAGACACTACGCGTGGTCGCAATCTTTACTTTGCCATATAACTTCCAAAATGTATTCCTACCCTCGAATATGTGCGTGACGATGCGGTCAATCTTTACTATTACCTTAAACCTTGCCTTCTATTTACAGTTTATATAGGCCGCCCAGTCTCCAGGCAGTAATTGTTCTACGAGCACATTTCCTCAAGCCGTGTTCAAGCTGAAATCACGGAACCGAAGCTCCCCGTTGTCCGAGTACCGTTACCTAGCTCCTATCCAAGGGCAAAAGACTTCACGACAGTGGTGAGCACCATTGGTATTTACAACCACCGAGAAGGTCTATGAATCACAAGGTAAGCTTCCAGCCGTCTAGCAACACTTTATATCACATTTCTCGGTTTAGTTCTCCAGGAGATCGAAGGATTAGCCTTAATAACTGAGTAGGTTTTATAATACACATTCAGATGGAGACGTTTGCAACTCGAAAAGTCCCTCACCTCCTATGTATATGAATCTAAAATGAAATGACGGATAAAATAGGCAAGGCCCCATGCCATAGCCAAGCTTCGAAACACCAAGAACAAGTGTCACCCATCTTTTAGATCAGAACATGCGGGTGGAGGAGAGGGAGAGGGCCAGTGTCGTGGCGGCAGATCAAAGTTTAGAATCCGACCTCATTGTGGGACCCTCGGCTGCTGCCATGGGCTCTGTGCTATGTTGAGACGCCGACTCTTTGGTAAGACACCCAGACCCTTCGACAGCATTGGGCCTTGCTTCTCCAACTCGCTCAAGAATCCAATCCGTGACATCCTTGAAGAAGTCATATTTACAGTCATCCGCATGTAGCTGGTGGGCGCAATCCTCAAAAGTCCGGAACGTTGCATCCGCTAGAGCTTCCGCGTTGGAGTCAAACCACCGCTTACTCCAGCTGTAACTTGTGGCTTGGTCTTGAGTTCCATGAGCAAGGTACAAACTCCTCACGGAAGGTAGCAGGCGAAGTTTGCCCGAAGAGAGGCCTATGGTACGGTCAAGTAGGCCGGCAAGACCCTCAAGCGTACCAGTATCGTGGCACAAGGTATCCTCTGCGAGGCTCTTTGAACTTCGAGGTTGTGGGCAAGTTTCTCTGGCACAATGCGATGCATGAGAGTTCGCCGTGGAAATAGCCTGGCAGCCGCCCTGCCAGCGATTACTTTCAATGTGGAAGGCTCTTCGCCAGGAGGAAGCCCAAGAACGGTGCCTCAAGAATCCAACCGTGAACTTTAGACACAATGGAGTTGTATTCAGGGGTCGACGCCAAGGTAAGCGCCTCGCCGCCCCCATAGAGTGGCCGAATACGAAGAGAGGAGCGTCTGGAGAGAGTTTTGACTCGGCGAAGGAGGCGATGTCCATGAGGACCTGCGACGTGGGCCCGGTGACCCCCTATCGCTAGGTGTTCTCACACTGCGTCCCCATCCCCGCTGGTCGAATGCGAATACCTGGATGCCTTGCGCGGTGAAGTATCTAAATAGCTCCTCATAACGGCCAATGTGATCGCTGAATCCGTGGAGAAACACAAGCTTGGCCTTGATGGGAGCAAGCGGCTACATAAAAAAGCACCTCGTTAGTTGACCAAGTGATATCTGGAGTGTTGGCCTGTAGGCAAATATAGGGATGAATGATCCCATTCCTAGCGAGGCCACCAAACGACAATATAAGAGGACATTATAAAAGGCAATGTTCAGAGAAAAAGGTAGTTGCCATACCGTATAAGTTTTTGTATACAAGTCAACTTGTCCAGCTCTGAACGTGCCTTCCACTTCGCCCGCCATGTTGAATTCCCTTGTCGAAGGAAGCGTTTAGCGATGGTATCAGTGCCCCTTATAAAGGTTAAACTCTGAAATGAGGTTATTAGGGGTAGAAACGAGCATTGAAGATCAAGTAAGAGTAGAAGAGTATAAAATAATTGAATTCCTTCAATCGCAAAATAGGTGGGATCTACAAGCGTAGGTATAATTGGAATGGGTCGATCCCTCAGCACCTGACCCCCGATCCTATTGCATCTAGGACATCGCTGTTGCCTCTGTTGCATTAAACGGCCAGTGCAGTCGCTTGCTCCCAAGATAATCAGGATCTATGGCGTGGTTACATTGAGGTGACCTTGAAATTCTGGTGGCAGCTACAAGAGCCACATGTATCAGGTACGTAATAGTTTCAAACTCTTGAGGTCTGGAAGGATCACATGCTCAGCTCCTCATCCCCCTCACGTAATGTTAGCAAGAGACGCATTCGACATCTACAGATGGCAACGGGCTCAGTCCTCGGCTCTCGTCAAACGCAAGATACAGCGCGGGGTTTTCGGCATCTTCGGCATTTATCAACAGGTAGTGGACATTGTTGGAAATAGCTTGGGCCGCCTTGTGACATATGGTCTCTGTCTAACATACGGCAAATACAAAAGGAAATGAATACCCTCAGTACATGAGTATCTATCTGTATACAAAAGAATTGCACAAAATGTGTGCGGCTGTCTTACCCTGGGGCGCGCTTTTGACACCAACCGCTCTACCCACCTGTCTTTCCAGTGACTTCTATAAAATCATGATATAGCTATACAAACTAGCCTGATGATGAGAACGATCTCAAGGGCTAACGGGAACCCTCGTTGCTGAGTGGAGAGTTTGTAAAGTGACGGAAAGAGAAAATAAACTAGAAGGGGGCGAGCAGCCATCGCCATTCCCTCTTCTCCTTTCTTTCGATTATATATGGCCGCTTTTTTCTTTTTCTTCTCTTCTTTGGCCGTCGAAGGAGAGGGAAAACTTGCGGCTGAAAGTGGAGAAGATATTGAAGCTCAATGATCACGCAGGCTTGAGGACGGCATTGGTGTGAATGTTGAGCCCGATGATCTCGAGAAATTCTTGTTGCTTGATGGTGCCGGGCAGGGCTGTCTACCGCCCTGGATTCTCTCCCTTATTTTCCCTAAGCTCATTTGTCTGGCTTCTTCCCGCCGTGTCCTGATTGCTGTTGTGTTCAGCGCCTTCGCTCTCCTCCACATCCTCAAGATCTTGTTCGATTATGTCCGCTTCAGTAATGCGAGCGAGGGACTCGTTGCCGCGAGGGTCCGAAACCTCACCCCCACTCATCTGCCATTCCATCAACTTACTGAAGGCACTTTCTTGATCAGCTGAGAGTTCGGCGTAGCTCCCAATCTCAGCTACCTTGCCCTCGCTCGATAAAACTATTATCTGATCGGATCGTTTGATTGTCGAGAGGCGATGGGCAATAGAGATGGTGGTATTGTTGCCCTTTAGCAAGGAAACGAGAGCGGCATTGACGAGCGTTTCAGACTCGGCGTCGAGGGCCGAGGTAGCCTCATCAAGGATGAGGATATCTGGATTTTTAATGAGAGCCCGCGCGATGGCGATGCGTTGCTTTTGGCCGCCCGATAGCTGGCTTCCTCTTGCTCCGACTTGGGTTTCTAATCCGTCAGGGAGGTCGCTAATAAAGGTACAGTTTGCCTTTCTAGCTGCCATAATTATCTCAAACCTGGTGGCATCGGGTTTGGCGTAGGAGATATTCTCCGCGATTGTTCCAGAGAAAAGAACAGGCTCCTGGGATACCACGCCAATACGTCGTCGAAGGGATCGTATATTCATCTTCGAGACATCCATCCCATTGATTGTGATAGAGCCAGACGTAGGATTATAGAACCGGAGTAGTAGTGATGCTACAGTTGACTTGCCACCGCCCGAGGGGCCAACCACGCAGATATTGCTGCCAGATGGGATCTCGAAGCTTATGCCGTTGAAGATAGAAACGGCCGGCCGTGTAGGGTATGCGAAATGCACATCGTCAAACTTAATCGTCCCTCGCGCGGATGGCACCTTACGACCGACTGTTTGGGGTATGGTTGGCTTTCGGTCTTGAAGTTCGAATAGTCGGCTCGCGGCGCCAACACCCTTCATAAGCTCTGAAAAGAACTGGGTCAAATTGCTCACGCTGCCACCGGCAAACGCCGTGTACATCATAAATGATGTGAGATGGCCAACAGAGAGGGCGCCCGTGTGGACTAGATTGCCACCAACGACAAGCATGGCTAAAATTGCCATATTACCTACCCAGCCGGTTGTGGCGAAGAATGTTGCGTAAATCTTTGATTCCCGTAGACCAAGGTTGAATATCTTCTTTACTTGCTTGTTATACCTAGCAACTTCCTGTATTTCGCCAACAAAGGCCTGGCTCGTCCGGACATTGCCCAAACGTTCCTCGCCAATTTTAGAAAGAGTGCCCACGTTTTTTGGATGGCTCGACTGATGTTCCGTATGGATTTGCCATAAATCCAACCTCCAAACGCGACGGGAGGACCAATGACTAGGAGGACGGCTGAAAGTTGAGGGCTAAGCCAGACCATAGCTGAAAATGCGGCTGTTCCGGAAAGAAGCGCGCGGAGTCCGTCGCTCACATTCTGGGTGATTGATTTGGCCACTATGACGCAGTCGGTGCCTAGCCGTGAGATCAAGTCACCTACTCGGTTCGCGTCATAAAACTCGGCATCCTGGACATAGGTACGCCGATAGAGTTGCGATCTTAGCCTAGCCACCACGCGTTCACCGATGATGCGTAGAAGGATAATTCTTGCAAAATTTGCCGTAGCTCCTAGGGTCAATAGCCCGCCAAGCCCGAAGAAGAACTGGGTTAAGGTAAGGCCGAATAATGTGGGATTCTCCACATTGGTCGTCGTAACAAGATCGAGCACCTTCCCAACAATATAGGGGAGCGACAGAGTGACGCAGGACGAAACAGCAAGGAAGCCAACAGCGATGGACAGCAACTTCAGTTCTGGCCGGGCGATCTTTAGTAGGCGTGTGATTTCGTTTGGAGCCGGGCTCCCCTGGGATTTCCTCCTTAGAGAGCCTTGCACTCAGGTTAACGTGTGCGGCCTTGGCTGCTCTCTCACTCTTTGTGAATGCGTATAACTGAGACTGGTCTGGTTCTGGGCCTGCTTGCAGACCTTGGGAGGCTTGGTCTACTTCGTTATGTAGCTTTCCTTCTTTGGAAATTATACGGGATATTGAAAATTGTCGTTTCGTATGGGAATGCCGGGGTGTCGAAGGGAAGGCGGTGGGGCCTAAATGCAAAGGTCGTGTATTAGAGGTGCGCGCAAGTTGAGCAAAGATGCTGTCGCGGCTCTGCTCGAGTCTGTCTGGGAATTTCCGGTCCGGAAAGCGCGGCGAGCCGCCGATACCTCTCCCTGAGGTACGGAAACTCGCGTGACATATCGGGCTGAAGGCCCCGCCAAAATCCAGCGAACTGTGCCCGAAGGGACCCTGGCGATAATCGGGAGAGTGATGCCATCGTTGGAGCTGGTCAACGGAGGTGCCTCCTGTAGTGAGAGAGGAGGAGGAATGGTTAACAACGGTGTATCGCACCGTCACGAAGACGGCACCATACTCTCATTGACCTTGATCTGATGAAGCTTGACGAACGCGCTGAAGACAGACCAGATTCTATTTGGAGGTTGGAGTGGAAATTTTTGAGCCATGCCGTCATCGGAGAATTTCACTATTAAAATCTTCGTCTCTGTTCTTGCAATGCCGGACCGACCATTGTACAGTGTGATATATTATAAAGCACTGTATACACGAAAGGTCCCTCAGTCTAACGGTTGGTAACTTTTCCAAGCACGCACTTTTCTAAGTCTTTCCTCAAGGGTCGAGACAATTCAATGACGGTTCAAAATTCCAGTATACCAGGCATTTTAGCTGGAATACTAAGTGCAGAAGATGACCACGGAAGCATAGGGCGAGTGCTGTCCACAACAGCGAAGTCAGTTAGCAGGTATTCCAAGCTATTTGAAATATGCGCGCCAAACCCTTTCCTCTTCCTATACCCTAGTTTACCTCAATACCCTGCCGAGAGAGATACTTTAACAACGGCTACAACTAAGGACCACTATCCTTCTTCAATAATTCTACCACTTCAGGGTCGATTCCCTCATCCCCTACTAAGTTCGAAAGTTCAGTCTCATCATCTAACCTTCTTCGCTTATTCGACCCGTTGGCACCAAGGGGTAGAGACTGATACTGGGAGGCGAGATGCGAAAGCATCTCAATACCAGGAGCTGTACCGTGTTGGAACCCGGAATCCTGGTGGGATGGTGGAGCTGAAAATGTTGATGTACCTTCCGGTAACTCAGGTTCTCCAGAGGCAGATGGTGGGGTGAGAGCCTCCATTTCTGGTCGATCAGGCTCGGCTGGTGAGTGTGGCGAGGGCCCATCCCCAATAGGAGAAGCATGACCATCTCCTGGTACACTTAAGCCCCGCATAATGCTTGTTTCTACCTCTTGCTTTTTTGATTCGATATCTGCTTTCCGGTCCTCTAGCTTCTTGAGTTCTGCAGCATCAGATGCAAGCGCCTCCTGCTAGTTTTCAGGAGGGTTTCCAATTCTTCGATGAGGCCTTCTCTAGTCTTGACAGACTCTGCAACAGCACCTTCAGCAGATGCCAGAACCTTTAGCAACCCATTCAACCGTGCTGCGTAGACGGGAGCAGGCGGAGTAGGATTCGTCGGGTCAAAAAGCTTCGCATAATCTTGATCCGCAGATGCAAGAGCCGTTTTGGTTGGTATGTGACTTTTTATCGTGCCTTGATGTCGAGTAAAAAGGCCGCTTAGCTCGGCAGGTATAGCGGGAACAGCGGTTGGTGTTGAAGCGAAGGGGATGAAGTTCCGAAGGCGTTCGCGCCCTTGAGTTTATCTAGCTCTACATCCATTTTGTTAGAAAAGACGACACACGGGGTCTTTGAGGCTACAAACCTGCGAGTCGTGAGTCTATAGCCTCTTGAATGGCATCTTCGAAAACACGACGATCTCTCCAAACATCAATAACTCTCCTAATCTTCCCCTGAACCTCGCTTGGAGCCCCTTTGTAGGCGGTAGCGATGGCTTCCGGATAATCGGAGAAAAGGCCTCGATGAAGTCCATCTTATTCCTTATCTTGGATTGCTGTGCCAGCTCTACGGATGGTATCATGTCAGTGGGCCGGTGGCTCGGTTGGTTGTGTCCGTGGAGCTGACAGTGTCTCACAAGACGAGAGGGTTGTACTGACCATTGGCAAGATATACGAGACTTAGCCTCTTGGTGCTCGAAGAGGATTTCAGGCGATTAAACCATAACTCAACCGTCCGCGTAGCATGCCTCCTAGCTACGTTGTTAGGAGATCGCTGGATTGTTGAGGCAGTTTTTCAGCAAGGGTTCCTTACCGATGAAATAGGATCCATTGCGCTGACGAGGAGATACTGTCATGGCTTTCATTGACTGCACTGAGCTTAGCCAGCACCGCATCGTCGTTATACGCCATGACAAGAGAAGAAGGTTTGTCGAGGGAAGGCAATTATATGACTTGGGAGGAGGCCAGAGACATGAAACGGCCTTTGAGTCCAGGGAACTTGAGGTGAGCGCGAAACTGAATAAATCTGGCGGTTGCCAGACTCCAAACTGTAGGTAAGTGTTCTCCGGGATCGATGAAGAGCTGCAGGTGCGAGGTCCATGTAGATCTCAAAAGTACTTGATCAAGTGCGTAATTCGCGGTTCAGCCTTACATCCAAACATTCCACGTATGGATTGCGCCGAGGCTATTAAGGCTAGGCTATGACCATCTCCCAAGAGAGAGTGTTAGTGGGACGATAACTCTGAACCTCGTCGCTGGATTCTAATACCTTAAAGAATCAGGGCAGTGGTTGAAACGCGCTAAGAAAAGAAAACGGCAAGCTCAGTCCCTCAACTGGACCTGCGACGAAGCCTCGACAATTATAGGTGGATGAGCAAGTGCTCTTACGGGTAGCCCTGGTTACCAAGTCGAGTTTTCAATAATCACACTGTTCCCTCATGGCTCGAAGGTCATATTAATAAGGCAAACACAGTAAGCAAATTGAAAGCTACCACTGCATCCCTCTCCATGCTGATGCTCAGTGGCCACCGCTCTGCAGCTGCCACCGCGGCTAGCTATCACGTGGGTTAAGTACAACTGGCTGGTACGTCCCGGCCAGGCCCCCAGGTTGTGTTGTGTGAGGCGCTGTCTTCCAGTAGAGTACGCTGAAGGGGCTGCTTGTTTTCTGCTCTCAAACCGAAATCACCATGGTATTGCTGCCCACGACAAACGGCCATTGTCCAACTCTTCGCTCCTAACAAGGCCATATTTCCCCGAGCCCCTTCCACAATCGAGAATAACATCCAGGTTTCTTGGCCTATACTATCGGGTTTTGGAACGGACAGCGACTACCTAATTTACGTCAAATACATTGCAGTTTCTCAACGACAAGATGGCAGATAGATTCCCATCACTCGAGGAATTTGACTCTGGAGGTACGCCACCCTGTCCACGCCTTACTCCCCCTCTCTCCCTATGCTTATTTCTCCCCATCATACTCGCAGTTCAAACCGATTTGAGGACACCGGGAGCCGAGCCCTCTGCCGACGACTTCCTTGCCCGCGAGAAGGCTCTTCTTGGTGACGATGCCGAGCAATTCACCACAACCCAGGATTCCGAAGCGGCTGGCGTTGGTGTAGATAGCGACTTGCTTGATGGAGTTGATTCAAATGTGCAGTCAACATTTGAGTCCCAATTTCCTGATATTGCGGCTGTACAACAGGCAAGCTCCTACAATATTGACGTCCCTCGCGAACCCCTAGCTAACTGCGGGCCGGACTAGGTTGGGCCATCTGTAACATACAACTCAGGGTTCTCCGCCTATGCCGAAGAAAGGGATGAAGATGAGCCTGAGGTCGTAAAGGAGTGGAGAAGGCGGCGCGATGAAGCCACTGCAAAGCGTGCACAGCAGTTCGAAACCAGAGAGAGGAGACCGCAAAGGAGGCTAGACAGAATATCGATGATTTTTATGAGAACTATAACACCAAAAGGACCGAGCTATTGCGCAGACGCGACAGGACGCGAAGCAATTCTTGGCCAACCGCGAGGACACTGTCTCCGGCGGCACAAGCTGGGATCGCATCGCTAAACTGGTCGATGTCAGTGGCAAGGGTGTAAAGGGCGGAGCTGCTGGTTCTGGTAAGGAGAGATTCCGTGAGCTGTTGGTCACTTTGAGGAAGGACGACAAGGCCCCGGGTGCCGTTGGCGTCTAGACGGGTGCGAGCGTGGGCTCTGATTTCATATACTTAACCGAGACATCCGCGACGTATGGGACTTTATATCCCGTTTCATGTACTATAGGAGACTGGCGATGGGAACTATGCTGGCCTAAAATGTGCTTCTTCATTGCAATGTGCACGCATCAACCAGTCAGAAGAACTTTGGGCATTCGGGTAAAGTCTCTTTTTAAAATGCCTTGACAAGGTAAACGGTATGGAATCTATGGAGCACACCGCACAACCCCTCGTAGGAAAGACCTTGACGCACGAGACAAGCCTTGATACTCTACAAAATGATGCCAAGAATCCGTTCCCCTCAGACCACGTACTATCTAATTGCTGCTAAACCAAGTATTGTAACCGGCGGCCTTGCGGCCCATGCCGTAGAGGGAGGCTAAGGAGCATGTTAGTTACGAGAGAACGGCTTCGCTCTAAACTTGGAACCTCACCTCCAAAAGTACCCCACATAATGACAAGATAGGGGCCATGTACCAGCGGCTCTAGGATTCTATCGAGAAGGGAGTCAGCTAGCTATTACGAGCTCAAGACAATAAAGGCTGTAGCCGAAGGTCTCCGCTCTTAGCTAAGAATAGCTTACAATCTTCCAGATACGAGTATGTTGCGCGTACGCTGCCTGGTACATGCGCTGGAGGTCGGGAACGTTATTCTTGCGGTTAACGAGACTACATCAGTGAAGACGGTTAGAGCTTGGGACCAACTGGGGTGGCATAACTTCTTGTATTTGGGACCAGGAGCACTGAGCGGGCCAACGGAACGTGATGGTAACGAAACGACATGGATCGAGATTACGATTGTAAATGAAGGCAAGATAAAGTGAAGGATAACATAGAATCAAGAGTGACATACCTCATTTTGAGAGATTCGTGGGGATCGGAAAGGTTGACGTGAATGTTCTCGTGCTGATACTGAATGGCGAGGTCTTTTGGTGAATGATTTTACTTCTATCAAGCGACTTGGTCAAGTTGCCGAGCATTAGGATCAGGCCATTGGGTGTTATTTTCTGACTCAGCAGAATTGTGAGCCAATTTGGTCATATTCCCAAAACAGATGGAATCATGTAAGATTGGAATACCGAGGTAAACAGATCAAAAATATTCAAAGGCCAAGTACCGAATTGCATCATGCATCATACATTCTTCTATCCATAAAATTACAAGGTCCATCAAGGACAGCCTCTGCAATGCATGTTGTGTCGGGCGACCTTCTTAAATCCAAGAGCTGGAGAAGGTACCGATACACTACCGTACGCGCTTCCACTCGACATTAGCGGTGGAGGGCGACTCAGCGCTTCGTTTTGGTTTAATCAAGAGAAGAATGAATAAGCCAGCAATTATTATTACCAGCAAAAGAATAACTTTTCGTTTCGTCGTTTTCTTCTGATAACCAACAGCAACCGTAAGTTCTTTCTCTGCATCTTTTAGATCTGTAGCCATCCTCTCCACGTTGTAATCGATCCTGTCAAGCATTGTACCTTGGTCGATAATCATAGTTTGAAGATCTCGGAAAAGATCCGATAGCTCAATGATACCTTGTGCGATATCTTCAATCTCTCTCTCACGTTGAAGAATCATTGCGTCGTTCGAATGGAGCATCTTCTGCTGTGAAGTCGTTTGTAGAGCGGATTGGGAATAAGACCTATCCGCATCAGATTCCAGGATAGAAGGATCATTGTAGTATGATGCCGTCTGTGGTGTGACACCACGGTCAAGAGGGCCAGGTGGTGGTAGTCCGCTCATTCCGCGAAGCTCTAACATCAGCCAAGCATCAGTCAGGACACCATAAATCAAATGTGGCGATGGGTGGAAGAGAAAACATACTTTTCAAGTAGGCACTCTGCTTCTTTCGGAAGCCAGTGCTGGCATCCTGTACCCTTGTCGCGAGAGAGGTTTGTATGTTTTGTGCCATCACTTCTTCCGCCCTCGTTAGCGCTCCTTGACTCTTTGATTCATGGACCATGTGCTCGACTCGTTGGATGAGCCTGTGACATTCGTGGAAGGACTTGGTGATAGCCTGTGTAAGCCTTTCAATATCGCCTTCCTCGGCTCGCTTAGTTTCGTCGTCATTGAAAGCCGGGAGGATGTGTTTTTGATGTAAATTGTCAAGCTTCTGGCTTTGCGTCGCAATTCTAGCCAATATATCCGTAATCTCTTCCCCCGTGTCGGCCCATCTTGGAGGTAGAAGGTCCATCTCAATCACCGCGTCCCCATCATCTTCGAAAGCTCCGGCCGAGAGCAATCCCCTTCGATCTTCCGCAAGGGTGCTTGCTCCGGAGAAATTATCAATAAGGCATTATTTGTCGAGGTCGCGGAGCCGTATTTTACACGTTTCTTCGGGTGGTGGGCATATGATTGACGGTAGGAGATATACCTATAGCGCAAGTTAGACGCAACCTTTTCACTCAGGAACCGTTACAATTACAAGTTGGTTCGGTCGCGCCACATAGTGGAGATAGGACCTAGCAAAATCGACTAAAAAAGAAAAAGAGCAAAGAGCGCGGTATGCGGAGAGGGCTATCACGAGAAAGCTTCAAGCTCCGAGTGTCGAATGAGTGACGGGAAAGCTAGGGGTTGTGTCCGTTTTTAAGAGATGCTGGCCAGCGATTCGAGGTGTGGAAGACGGTTAGCGAGTATTGCCCGCGTACATGGCTAGCCGATGGTGGTTGAAGGAGATGGGCAATCGCAAACACCCATCAAAGAATTTCGGAACCTAGTCCCTCAATAAGGACCGGCTCTTCTTAGGTAGCTCCTCTGGTGCTATGCTGCGCAAAGGGAGTGATTTGACTAAATTGTGTACTGGGTGGATGGAACCACGGGGTCGTCAACGAAACGGGTGTGGAGGCTTCGATTTCGCGGGCGACCTGATGCAGGAGACAATCCGCAATATCACTCTAGCATGAAACTTGTGTGTATTCTCGTCTAGAGTTGACGTCGTGGGAGAAGCGCGCGCAAGAACATGTGCAAATCAGAGTTGCGGCCGATCGCAACGTGACTGAACACGTAATGGCAAGGGCGGGAGCTCAGGGAGGTACCACCAGGTTGGGTTAATCAATGCTTTCCAGGGGCTGCTCCAACTTCGAGGAAGATTCTCCAACCCAACCCACTACATGGATCGATCAATTTTAGTTCAGCCCGTCTAGTGCTAAGCCCAGAGCTGCACCGTGGACTGTAGTTTAGGTCATGTGACCCTCTGAAACTGGCGACTCGGCCCTGAGGAGTGACTGCATAGAATACGAAGTATGCCAGTTGGGATCTCATGGATCTAATGGATGATGGATCCGTTGTTTCAATGTCGTAGCGGAGTGTTGGCTTTAGGTTAGACGGATTAGTTTATGGTCAACGCTTTTGACTTTAAACTCAAAGCCTCAGCACTGAAATTGATGTATGGATACACGTATGGATCTATCAATTATATATGGATCCATCCATCTCTTCTATTATGGTACCTGTAGTATGCGCTGATGCGCAGGCCCTGAAGATGGCATATTGGGATCCATGCCTCGGCCATTTTCATTAGGGGTTCACTTTTCCATAAAAACCGTTCTTAGAAGCCTCCAGGTCAATAAGCGGTGGTGATCTCCTAGAAGCACCGTTGGCACTTTATGAGGGCGCCGACACAACACCGGGCTGGGTAGGCGGGAGAGGCGATTAAGATTATACAAGAACGCGCCTCCAGCTCCTTCCCCAAGAGGTCCCCGCCCCACCAGATAAAACAGCAAGGAAAGTCAACCACGACATTTCCCTCCTCCACCCCTCTTGCTTCCCCCGCAAGCACCACTGCCAAATAGCTTCGCCCAACCCTCCATCATTTCAAGAAACAATAGACCCGTGTCTGTTGGCTACAGAACCCTTTTTACATCTTAGATCATCTTGTTTCAGCAATATACTACAATTCGCAATGGTACGTTGCCATTTGACCCGTCAATGTGTGCTTCGCGTGTATCGTTGTCAAACTAGCCCCTTGCTGGCTTGACAGGACATCGCGTCTTCCTCCTCCAAATGCCTTTTTTCCCAAGCACTAACAGATCACCTCGGGTATTCTAGGCCGACTCTCTTACTGAAGAACAAGTATCGGAATTCAAGGAGGCCTTTTCTCTGTTTGTATGTCAAGCTTTATGCGAAAGGAATTGTGCACTGGATAAAAAATTACTGACGTGTGAGCGTTTAGGACAAAGATGGTGATGGTAAGATCCTTCCTCTTCAAGTGTATATTCAGACTGTTTAACTTAGTTATTAGGTCAAATCACGACGAAGGAGCTCGGCACCGTTATGCGATCCCTTGGACAAAATCCGTCAGAATCTGAACTTCAAGACATGATCAACGAGGTTGACGCTGATAACAACGGAACGATCGATTTCCCCGGTAGGCAGCGACCGACTTTCGCATGCATAACTAGAAACTGACTGGTATTTTGTAGAGTTTTTGACGATGATGGCCAGGAAAATGAAGGATACTGATTCAGAAGAAGAAATCCGCGAGGCCTTCAAGGTAGATAGGATACAGTCTGGTTTCCATCAGTCCTAACACTTTGGCTAATCCACGTAGGTTTTTGACCGCGATAACAATGGGTTCATCTCAGCCGCAGAGCTCCGTCATGTCATGACCTCGATTGGCGAAAACTTACAGACGAAGAGGTCGATGAGATGATCCGCGAGGCTGATCAGGACGGCGACGGAAGGATTGACTGTACGTTGTAGCCTCTGTTCTTGTCTCCCCATTTCGCCCCTTTTCTCGCAATGCAAATCTGGCTAATAACCCCTGAACCTACCAGACAACGAGTTTGTCCAACTCATGATGCAGAAATAATCTCGTTATATCTCATCTCACACCTGATCCAGCACCGAGATTGGTTGGGCGATTACACGATAAGTATCGAGGTGTTTTAAAGGCGCTGTTCTATACTTTCGATCCAACTCAGCGGACTGACAAGGCCTTTATGAAGAAGATCACCTTTCGTCTTTGGCATATGTTGTTGTTGTTGGGTTCCTGGTGCGATGAATCTATCTTTGAAAAGAATATTGTTTCCTACCGGTTGATTGTCCTCGTGCTCGGGGATTCTGCTCGACCATGCCCTATGCGCCAACTTGTACAAGCATATCGTCCCAGGCTCTTATGCTATCTAGCAATCAATATATTTCGTGCCTAGGTCACTAGCCATGCTAGTTGCCAGTCGAGCAGGATCTCGTTTCACAAGAACTACTAGATCATGTAGAAAATACATAGGCACATGATATCTAATGATGCTAGTATCGGGGCATGTCCTTTTCTCCGTATTTTCATCTTTGAAGGAGGGGATATCGCCCCTTTCCCTCACTTTTGCTCATGCAAACATTGTTGGCCAGCCCTATAGGAAGGTGTTAAGTCACTTCGGTCATTTCTTGGCAGTCAGCGACCTCAATTTCTAGACTACAATGTGGGGTGAGAAGTTGCATCCAAAGACAGATCTCTGTAATTCTATTACGGCTGGCAAGAGCTGTTTAACAGTTGTTGCCATAATTTTTCCCTTCTGGAACATCCCTGGCCCCTCACACAAGTGCCTGGAGCCCCACCCCACAGTGTCGAATCAACAGGAAGCGTCACGGGTCCCTTGATTGACATCCGCACGACAGCCTCACCGAGCTTCGTCCAAACGTGCCCAATAACCCCCAAATCCTATCCGTTAGATTTGGCCTACAGCTCCCGTTTTGCTGTTCAGAGAATAATGGCATCTTGTAAGAATCTATCAACCTTCGCAACCCCCATCCACCCGATCTAGCCCGTCTCGCTGACATTATACCACTCTTTAGTAAAGCAGTTTATCAGGAGTGTTCGAGCCGCTAAAACTATCGCAGATGAGCGGGCTGTTATCCAAAAAGAAAGTGCAGCGATTCGGGCAAGCTTTAGAGAGGAGAGCCACGACCCTAACAAACGGTAAGGCGCATCACTAGTCTCATCTCGCTACATGACGCTGAAGCAATTGATATCCACTCTAGTCGAAACAACGTTGCAAAGCTTCTGTACCTTTTCACTCTTGGAGAGAGAACACACTTCGGGCAGATAGAATGCCTCAAACTTCTTGCGTCTCCTCGCTTTGCAGACAAGCGCCTTGGCCACCTAGCAACCAGCCTTCTGCTCGATGAAAACCAGGAAGTGCTCACCTTAGTCACAAACTCTTTGAAGAAGTAGGTCAACTCATGGGCTTTTCTATGACCCGATATTAAGGCTAATTCGTACCACTAAAGCGACCTAGCTCATTCCAACCAATATATCGTCGGCCTCGCCCTTTGTACTCTCGGCAACATCGCATCAGTAGAAATGTCGCGGGACCTCTTTCCTGAAATCGAAGGCTTGATATCTACTTCAAACCCATATATACGAAGGAAGGCAGCCCTGTGTGCTATGCGTATATGCCGCAAAGTCCCGGATCTTCAAGAACATTTTCTCGAGAAAGCAACACACCTACTGTCGGATCGTAACCATGGGGTCCTGCTGTGTGGCCTGACCCTCGTCACTAGTCTTTGTGAGGCTGATGACGAAGAAGGTGGGGAAGAGGGAATCGTCGAAAAGTTTAGGCCGTTCGTACCGGTTTTGGTCAAAACATTGAAGGGTCTAGCAACGTCCGGGTACGCTCCAGAACACGATGTGACCGGTATCACAGACCCCTTCCTGCAGGTCAAGATCCTCAGACTTCTACGAATCTTAGCCATCAGTGACTCTGAAGTTAGCGAGCAGATCAACGATATCCTAGCCCAGGTTGCAACCAATACTGATTCCTCTAAGAATGTTGGAAACTCGATTCTCTACGAGGCCGTACGAACAATTCTAGATATCGAGGCCGATTCTGGTTTACGAGTGCTCGGTGTCAATATTCTCGGCAAGTTCCTTTCAAATCGGGACAATAACATTCGATATGTGGCCTTGAACACGCTGATCAAGGTCGTTGCGATCGAACCTAATGCCGTCCAAAGGCATCGAAATACTATACTAGAATGTCTTAGGGACCCTGACATCAGCATTAGGAGACGTGCCCTTGAGCTAAGCTTCACTTTGATTAACGAGTCTAATGTTAGAGTTCTGATCCGAGAACTCCTAGCTTTCTTGGAGGTTGCCGATAATGAGTTTAAGCCCACCATGACTAGCCAAATTGGCATTGCTGCTGATAAGTTCTCGCCGAACAAACGCTGGCATGTGGATACTATGCTCAGAGTATTAACCCTTGCCGGAAATCATGTCAAAGAGCCTATAATGTCCTCTTTCATTCGCCTTGTTGCCACAACCCCGGAACTTCAAACATACGCCGTACAGAAATTGTATGGCAGTTTGAAGAAGGATATCACGCAAGAGTCCTTGACGCAGGCGGCTGCATGGTGCATTGGCGAGTTTGGCGATTCTCTTCTTAGTGGGGGCCAATACGAAGAGGAAGAGTTGGTTCAGAATGTTGAAGAGCATGAAGTGGTTGGTCTTTTCTCGAAAATACTAAACAGCAGTTACGCCAGTCAGGTGACTACCGAATATATCATCACTGCCTTAATGAAACTTACTACTAGGCTATCGGAGGCTGCGCAAACTGAACGGGTACGACGCATACTCCAGAGTCACCAGACGAACTTGGATGTTGAGGTTCAGCAGCGAGCAGTGGAGTACGGAAACCTGTTCGCCTATGATGAAATAAGGAGCGGTGTACTTGAGAAGATGCCACCGCCCCAAATCAAGGAAGAGTCTCGAGTCCTTGGTGCGGCTGCTACCTCGAAGAAGTCCGTTAAGGCGATGAACAGGAGATCAAAGGTAGTAAAGCCGACGGAGCAGGACCTCCTATTCGACCTCATGGATACGTCCCCCTTCCATCGCTCAAGGCAACTCTCAGTCTAATACTGACTTGCTGGCGGACATATTGGGAGGTTCAACGGCAACCACCCAAGTCCACGAGTCGCAACAACAACAACCTAATGTCTCATCTATCATGGACCTCTTCTCCTCACCCAGCCCGTCATTCAGCGAGGGTCCTAAAAATGGGCCACAAGCGTCCTCCAATGCTGACACATTGGGATCTCTTTCAACCATACCACCAACCTCGCCGCCTATCCGGGCGCCTGTCTCTCCTCAAACGTCTGCAGTTCACTCATGCTATAATGCTAATGGTCTCGAAATTTCTATTCAGCTCCAGCGTAATGCTGAGGGCGTCATACAAGCTGTAGCTCGATTCCGAAATACCTCTGCTCTTACGCTCACTAGCGTTGGGTTGCAAGCTGCTGTGCCTAAGTCGCAGAAGCTGCAACTTCTTGGCATTTCAAACGCTGATATTGCGCCCGCAGCTGAGGCAACCCAAATGATGAGAATCTCAGGTTGCAAAGGGGTAAGTCGCATCCTACCAGCTTACTCTCTACAAGATCAAGCTAATTTGCCCGGCTTATAGCCGCTGAGATTGCGATTAAGGGTCGGTTACAGTCATCCAAGCGCGGGCCAGGTCATGGATCAAGTAAATTGGTCGGAAGCGTCGTAAATCAAGCCCCTGACATAGGAGCTTATGCTGAAAACTACCAGATGCCAAACCCAAGCCATGTGGTGTCATTGGCCTACGGGAAACCAAGCGCTATTTCGCCCTCTGCTCGCTTAGATATATGCTCCCCCAAATAAAATGAGACTTGTATCATACTCCTTGGCCAAAGTGGTGTACGTCCTAACCATATCAGTCGCATGCCTGAACTAAGCATGTAATTCAGAAGCAGTTTCTCGGTCGCTCTTCGAGTTAACTCATGTCATGATTCCTCTTGTGTACTATGCTCAACAACCTAGAGCTCAGCCTATCACTTGAAATCAACCATCTGCCCGATTTGCTGGTGCGTTGATCAACCATCCAACACCAGAAACAAGAGTTCCCACAGCTGCTTCTCGAAATTGATCCCGTTTTCGATTTTTGGCTCATCTGGCAGTGTTTTAGCTATACTCGGCCCGCGATCCTCGCTGCCATGACCAATACTCGACAGAACGCCAAGATTTCTTTGAGCAACCCTTGCTGTTGCCCGCGATAAATCAAATAGAGACATCGGTACATCTTCGGTTTCGTGCGTCGCGGGACTCGTCGCCGAGATGCTGTGTGCCCCAACACTAGATGTGAAAGCCCCAGGGATCAGAGGTGAATGCAGGTCTCGAGTAGTATCCCATGCTGCGTTCCTCGTAGCCTCATCCCTGATAGCAAAATCAAGCTGCTCTTCACAGCGACGAAAAGTCTTGAGTATTTCATGGAGCTGCGAAGGGGGAGCTATCCGCAGAGCTGTGGCTAGGCACTCCACTCGTTGCTCTAAATGGCGAATTTCTAGGTTGCCATTCGCAGTGCCTAGATGGGTTGGGCGGATAGTGCTAGTAGTTCGAATGTACTGACCTGCTTGCAGCGCGGCACTCCAGGACCAGTTGTCTTCAAACCCTTGTCGATGCGGCACGCTAGGCTGTTGGTACGTGGGCGAGAGGCGGCTCACAACGTAAGAGTAGGCGGTCTCGAAATCATTCTCCCGGAGCGCCGCCTCGATGCACATTGCGGTTACTCGTTTTTGCTTTTGGCTAGTAGGGCTTTGGATTGTTCATTTGTAATTGACGGCAGGTTTCCGCAGAGTCCAGCCTGAACCATGTTGGCAGCAATTTCTATAAACTCTTGAAGCTTGGTATAGCTCTTTCGATTTTGTTCGAGTACTTTCGCGATGATGGAGATGGGGTCTGAGTGGACACGTAATACGATAGGACTAAATGGTTCGCCTTGTTTAAGGACTAGACGGTAGTGGCTCAGTGCATGGGTTGACTTCAATAGTGACTCTATTCGTATAAAAGTATTGGTCCCCTTCCCGAGTGTTTGGGGAAACGCATGGAGGCTGGTAAGTGTTAACTATGATTGTCAAAGTAGCGCGACAGAGGGTCTTACATCTCATCACATCTCTTGAGCCCCCGGGTGCGGTTAGGGTTAGACGCATTGTCAAAAGCATTCATTGCGGCTGCAACAATCGCATCCTTCAGAACGGTGGGATCTAATGAGCTATCTCCAGATTCTTCATAGATCTTTTTCGCAAGCTCATAGCCTATCTCTACGTTAGCGAAATGGAATGTACGCAAGTTTGAGAAATCATTAGCCTTACGAGAGGAGGCGAGGAGGGCCTTGAGAAACTCCGTCTCAATAAAGCCAAGGTTGACGGAGCCAAAAACACCTAATCCAGTTTGAAAAGCGTCGGCAGTGCCCGCCCCCATGAGCGGAGCCAAAGAAGCTCTTTCCGGGCGGCAATCCAGGGCTCGTCGCCATTTTGAGAGACCTCTCCTGATAATGATTGAATAAACTTGATTACTTCAGACCTTTGCTCCCTGCTATCTTGAAGGAAAGCAAGTTCACCAGCTCGGCGTATAGTACATGGTAGGCCTGAATTTGTCAGAAGGAAAGCACTAAAGATAAGGGCACAAAGTCGTTGAAGAGAGGATGAGCCAGGATGCGTAATCGGGTTCGATTCGTTGAGTAGATCATTCCGCATGTCTGATACGATACCAGTGTATCGAAGCTGATCCAACCCAACTGAAGAGAGATCAAGAGAGATGATACTAGAAGTATGTAGAGGAGTTGGGGCCTCCAGGTGGAGTGTGGAAGCGACGGAAGAAGCAATGACGTGAGCCCCAGATAGTGCTTCAAGGGTGGAGTCAGGAATCAAATAGGCGGAAGCAATTGAAGTTCGGAGATAGCGGCCCTGCAGATATTCTCGTTGAGCTTCACTCATTGTATATTGTCCGTCGTTACCAAGATCACAGTCTGCTGGGCCTTGCCATTGACGCACAGCTTCAACAGCTACCCGCCATTCTTTCGATGCTTGCGAGATTAGCCAGTCTTGGACTGCTTCGAATCGATGACAAGGGGTTTGGTCATTGGAGGTTCCTCCCGTCGAATGATGTTCGCGGATCTCTCCACCTTGCAGCCATGGCCCAACAAGCCCTCTCAAATCTCTCCCAACAAGTCGCAAGTCGCTCTGCTTAGTCCCAGTTGGTGAAAGCAAGAGGGACAGGGCAACTGCATTTGGTAGCGTTTGGAACTCCTTAAGGGTAATCGGAATAGAGTCGTTAGGGTAGTACAGATAGTTCCTCCGCAAAAGCGGTATGAGAACAGCCGTAACCCAAGGTCGCAACGAAGGTGTATGGTCTAAAAACGGTATGAAGAGTGCCGGAAGCTGGCTCAGCAGCCCGGCACTAGCATCTACCCTATGGGCCCTAGAAAAAGAAATAGTGTCAAAGGGTCGTCAAGAGAATCGATAGGGTCATTCGAGCTCGTCAGTGGCAATAAGCGGAGTTTTCGAACAAGTCGCGTAGCTTCTGATTCGAGTAGAGAATCAACGTCCGCCGAATCGATTTCGGCCGGGTCGTTCCGAATAAACTCTCCAGACGCAAGATCCTGTAAGAAAGGCACATATGTTTTTGAAGGAATTGTCTCTGGCAGATAGGTGAGGAGGAGCCGGAGGAGGAGCTCTTTTTGCAGAACATCGCGATAGTGAGAAGCGAGATGGGAGAGCCCGTTGATGTTAGCGCGAGCAATCAGGTTAGCTGCTAAGAGCACAACCTTTGGTGCAGATAATGGGGAAGCGGGCATCGCCACCCCTTCAGAAATACGTTCGTTCATGGGTGATTGCGGATTTCTCTCCCATTTCTTTCCAGAACTCAAGTGGGCAATCGCAAGGTGATACTTGTGAACCAAAGACCTGGGTCGGCCAAGTTGCCAGCAAAGAGTTTGTCAATGTGGTTTCGTCATCTACCTTCATCTACGTTACTTTTCCAGCTGTAGACAGCCGCCAGAGCGGCAGCCATCCTGCAAGGAAACGCGCAGCCTTCGACAATTGAAACTGCAAACCTTGCTTTGATAGAAACTCACAAGCTCTCCGACTTCACAACTCGGACCCTCGGTGATCGATTCCAATCTTGCCGAGCCGACTGACACAAAATTTGCTTTCGAGTATTTTCTTGCCCAATATGGCGTCTGGTTATGGCTATAGCGGCGGTAAGGACCATTGAAATACGCCCAATCTTCTCCACGGGACATATGCATCACGCAATTGAATATACTAACTCGTGCCCTAGGTCCTGGGCGTTGCTTCCCCTTCTGGCAGGAGGTCCTGGCCTGCTACGTCGTCAATTCATCTCCCGAAGACCGATCCGGGGCCCAGAAATGTGGCCTAGCCCTTGAGGACTACTACGAGTGCTTGCACCATAAGAAGGAGGTAGGTACCGAGGTCCTGGCTCACAAGTCTCTTGAAGGGATCATACATACGTTTGTGTAGAGGGTGCCTCTCGTCTAATGCATCTCAATACTTCCTAGGCTGCCCGAGTTCGTGCGCTCCAAGGTGCCTTTCGCAAATCCGAATCCGCGAGTCCCCGTGATAATGCGCCGACGGCTGGTGACATACGCAACCTAGGCTTAATAGGCAAAGACGACGTATCGAAGCAAGTTCTGAGTTCGTAACCATGGACAAACGCTGTATGATGCTCGTGGCAACCTGGTCAATAGTTTTAGTCGCTGAGGGGCTGGGCCTCGCAGTGCCTCGCCCCGAATTCAATATCCATACAACTTTTTTTTGTTAAAAGACAAAATAATAAAAAACACGAAAATGACTTGATCAAGCTTACTTTAAATTGATAAGAATGTCAATTAAGAACCTCTTCAATCGCGTTGAATCCCCCACCACTGGATAATATGCCGAGGTACTCTCTCTCTCTCTTTCTCTTTCTCTTTCTCTTTCTCTCTCTCTCTGTGACAATATATGTATACACTGTGTGAGGCCTGTCTGGAGGTGGGCTTAGGTGCCCCTTCCTCGTCATTATGGCCATACTACAAGGTCTCGCCTACGGCTTCTAACGCTTGAGTTGATTATTCAAGCTCATGCACGCATCATAATCAGTTTTGACAGCCAACCGAACATGGAGATGCCAAACCCCATCTCTGTTACACTTTTCATACAGGTATCGTAGCAACGAGGAGGGAATACCTGTTTTACACTAATTCACTTCACCCCCGTCCAGGTTTGCCTAGGGACTACTAGCAACGTCTAAGCCCACGATGCCGTCCCTTCGTGGGCTTCACTTCTCCCTCGCCCTTGACCACGGAAGTCTTGAGCTTCCTGAGTACCCTCATCCGGACGCCAGTTCTAATAATCGCCCATACTTGGCTCCACAAGTCTTTTGCGGAGGCTCATACCAAACACCGACCGATCCATCGTCTGACTCCCCAGATATTCACAACCCCTGCGAAAAACCGCCAAGTATATCTGTTCGTGTGCCTTCATATCCTGGTAAATAAATACTCGTCCTATACATCTAGGTCGGTCCCCAGGAATTAACGTAGGAGAAGGAAGATTTTTAGTGTGCGATATTCAGTTCTCAGACTCGAAGAATCCCCTCCATACCTATATTTCAAACTATTTGTTGATGGACACAACATTACGAACTGGGGGACAAAGCCCCTCGAGCAGATGACCGGGGTAGTGCCCTGGGGCCCTCAAAACCCATGCTCGATGCGAAAAATGACATTAATGGAAAAACAACTGTCGGCGTTGGGCAGCAAGCAAGTGAGATGATACCGTTCTCATTTCCTCCTGGCAGGGAGATATTGCGGGGACAAGAAATGACGGTCATAGAGATTCAAGCCTTCCGGGCCAGCAGGCGAAGGCTAGCAAACCAGCAAATATCTGTACAGTTTAGCTTGGATACTACTGGACCATCGCCGTTTACACGAGGACCCATCAAAGATCTTCACGAAGCACCTATACGCACAAATACGAAGAGTAACCCAGTTCATGAAGATTTAACCAAGCTGGTACGGAAGGACAAGCGCTCAACCTTGGCTGGGACGAAAGTCCTACAGGAATGGTTTCTTATAGACGCTGTGGACTCAGCCTTCGCTACTTTTAAATTCTATTGTCAGCCAACGGAAACCCTACGTCGTTTTCAAGCAGCACCGTCTTTAGGCGAAAGCCTTCAACTCGTCGGAACAAGCCGCAGGCCCGCCTCTTGCAGCCCTCGACGGGCGGTTCCCGGTGCTGCAGTACAACGTGCTATTTTAAAGCCTGAGACACAGTCTTTTGGGGTTAGGAGTCAGGACGATCGTGCAGAGCAGCAGCGTTCAAAAGCGGGTCATGGTGACCAGGGGCTCATGAAGTCTAATGAATCGATGATTAGGGAATTGTGTGAAGACCGCGATATTGAAATCAGGCCCAGCCGTTTGCCTCAGCCAAGTAAGCTCTTGAGAGACGGGCCTGTGATGGGCCTGTCAGCAAGGCCGTTGCCGCCCCTTCCGAGATATCACTAGGAAAATACCTGCCCGTGCCCAACATCCTTTAGTTGTACGTTTAGTCTAGGCGCAAACAAAAGTAGCCGCGTAATGCAATAGATGTGTTAGTTATTACGCATGGCAGAGTGTAGCGATTCAGCTCAGTTTATTTCTCGTTTTACCATATACCACTAGGATAGGATGAGGATGTTCCTCCCATTGGAATCTGTAAGGCTAGACCCCACGTGGAATCAGATCAAGGTCGAGAGGTAGTGCCCCCAAGGTTTGAAGCAAATAGACCAACAACCCGTTCTGAGGTTAATAGGACTTGCTTAAGACATTTTTCACTGGAAAAATTTACCGAACGAACAGCAACAGCTCAGACTAGCGAAGGATATAGCGACACCCGCCTGTATTTGAATGATCACAAGGGCGCGGATGTTGCGAGACGAGACCCGTTCCCTTAAAATATGCGGCCAAGTACTAAGCCCGGCCGTAAGCCAAGAAACGCACCGTACTCGATGGGGTACGATACTTAGAAACAGCCTCTTACTGAACCAATCACAAGCTCGACAAAGCGATCCAGGGTAAATTGCTTAACCTCTTAGCTCGGTAATGTTACAGCGACGGCCTAGCAAGCACGGTGATAGAAGGCAAGGTCGATGAAATTGGTACGGAGTAGCAATAATCGGAAATCGACCCATCCCTTCCTGGGCTACTACGAACCTTGGGCTGAAAAAACCCCGCATGTGACCTACGTGCTTGGCTGGGTCTCGTACGAGAGCGTTAGCTTCTAAGCAGGACCTCCTCATCTTGCTGAGCTTCTGCGGGTGGTGCATGGAGGGGTTGGACAAGCCCAAGTCAGCCCTAGGCCAACAGCACTGATGGGCACGAGGACAATACGCAGGTAGTGCTGCACAGACCACGGGAGCAGTAGAGTAGCCGAAGTACGCGAGAGAGCTCCACGGCGTTCTGTAGGGCAAGACTTAGCGGCAAGGGGCTTCACAAGTTCTTCCGGGATGCGTGTTATTAGTGATATCCCCAAAACCAAAGATAGGCTAAGGACCATTATCCAGATATTTTTAAGCGGCCGACAAACAAACGAGGCGGTAGGTGTGCATATCTTCAGCGAGGAGACGAACTAAGCGTACGGTCTTCTGAAACACGCGCCGCTCTCGGTCATCGCGAATGGGCTTGGGTGGCCTAGCTTTATGTTAGCAGTACTGTACTGACGATCAGAAAACATTGGTGGCTCAAAGTCTGGCCTGATTAAAATGGCAACCGAGCACCGTTGTGGAACAACTACCCTGATTCAGCATATCAAACCCACGCCGTGCCGGGCGATCCAGGTGGATTGCAAGAAAAAGCGCGGTATTGCTCCCCGACCGGCGGTATTATTACTGCGAAGTGGGTAAGCCTTGAGTCGGAAGATATCATTCATGTGAGAGTCATCGCTGTCCATATTTAAGCTGTAGCTGCATCAGGTGTAGATGCTGATGGGAGGACAGGACGGTATTGCCCTCTTTATGAGTCGTGATGACGGAAGCATTGCATTAAGTGTATCAAGGAGCCTGGTTGTGAAGTAGTCGGCCAAAAATTTGGTGTTATCAAAAGACAAAGGAAATCCACCGATCGACACCTTCACCATCAGACCATGGTAGGCGTTGGTTGAACCGGCGTATAGTTGATATGTCTGCGGAAAGCTACTAACAGGGCGCTGCGTCGCGAACGGCGTCTTGAGAACGGAAGACACAATACCAAGGTCTTCGAAATCCACATGTCGTCCATCCGAGTCTGCAAGACGCTGCTGTGCGGTTGATAAGGAGGAAGAAGATACTCCATGCGGAGATCGAGATATTCTTGCGTGACCAGCCACAACCCCCAACAGTTGCATCGAACTCCCCAAGTCGAATATCCGCCGTACTGTGTTGCCACGAGAAACGATCAAATAACAGGAAAAGAAAAACAAGAAAAATCCGCAACCATCGTATCAAGATACTTTTAAGCGGGAATAGCAGTAACAACGAGCTGAGCCGATGAACACAGATACCTGTGTATGATCTGCATATGGAATCGTCCCTCCGCTTCCTATTAGTTTCGTTACTTTGCTGGATAAAGAAGTTGTTAAAACCTACTTTGCTCTTTACGGGGCACCGCAAATCTTTAAAAGCTGTCCCTTGCTTCGCCACGAGGCGCCGAGTCGCCGTAGCCACCAGATGGAGGGGGATCACGAGGCCGAGCACCCTCCCGGTCACTAGGGCGATCATATCGCTCACGATCGTAGCTAGGCCCGCGACGGTCGTCTCCACCACCGCCTCGAGGTCCATACCTCTCGCGATCCTCACGACCGCCATACCTGTCAACACGACCGTAACCGTCGTCTCGCTCTCGGCGATCATAAGTACGCTCGTCACGATAACCACGCTCTTGCGTCCTATCATTACCCCTGTCATATCCGCGCTCATATCCACCACGCTCCTCACGGTAGCCCCGGTCATAGCCACGGTCGTCATTCCGACGATCGTAACCGCGATATCTGTAGGGATCATCACGACCGTATGAGCCGTGTCCTCCACGGCGGCGATCATCGTAACGCTCTTGGAACCGGCCTCCTCCTCGAGATTCTGCTATAAACAGTTAACGTTAAGAACAGAGAAAATTCGCCATTGTATTAATACAGGAATTATGTGGCCAGGTATAGATGTTGTTCTGAATGTGCCGGGGGAAGGGGGCTAGCGCACCTCTCTTTGGTGGACCGAAATATTTGCCTGGGGTAGGTGTTCGAGGACGGGCACGTCGCGCCTTCTCAATGCTCAAGGTGCGGCCCTCAAACTGTTCGCCTTGAGTCCTTCCTTCGCAGCATCCGCCTGCTCAGGAGTAGACATTTTGACAAAACCGAACCCACGTGATTCCTTTGAATGCGGATCTCGCATAATTTGGCACTTATCAACTTCGCCGTACTTCTCAAAGACGCGAGTGACTTCCATCTCTGTTAGCTTGGGATGGATACCAGTTACGAAAAGATTGGATCCAGGGTTGACTGTGCCATCGTCGGCATCCTTCGAGCTCCTATCTTCTTTCACGCCCCTGTAGTCAAGTTAGTGTTGGGGTCGCCTCAAGACGCGCTGGAGTGGAAGAACACGCACGTGTCGTTATTCGCCGCAGGTGAAACCGAACGGCGATGGCCATTGTCGGCATCGTCCCGTCTCGGAGAGGCGCTTCGTCGATCAAGGTCGTAGCGAGGTGCCTCCTCTGGGAACGATTAGAACAATTTTTTGATAGCGTGGACTAAGAATTCATACCGTCATATCCACCATTTGCCTCGTAGTCCATTGCAGTCGTAGCCATTGCCCTGAATTAGAAATAACAAGATTCTAATGGTGGTACAACAACCAACAGCTTTTTATTCCCAGCTAACCGCGAGGCAAGGAGAGGTGGTGATAGTGAAGGGGTTGGGTGGCCCTTCAAAGACTGCAATACTGCAGGCGGACGAGATCCGATACAGATCTAGCGGGTTCAAAGCCTGAGGCTAAGAATGATGATAGATAGTAATGTTGGAAGAGGTTTTTCGGATGATGCACGAAGGACAATTGGATGGTGCTTGTCCGGAGGTGAACGCGAAAAGGATGGTCAGGGAAAATCCTTTGCAGATGTTGAGGGAACCAGGAGCAACATACATACATTGCTGAGACTATGGGGACGTGCACAGAGCACTAACTTGTCAGCCAGTTTGCCAGTCTTCTGGATCCGCTGGCCTATCGGCTAGGGTGCGGCTAAACTATCGCCAACTGGTGCTAGCCCACTGCTCAAGCTCTGCCAAAAAGCAGAACGGAAAAAATTTGAGGGGGATATTGATTCTAAATTAGGGCTTTCATTCCTCACTTTCGCGGTAAACTACCATACATCCTCAGGGTTGACAAAAAGACTCGCCATCGTGCCTTACATGCTGCCTATTCCGATCACGTTGCATGGGCTTCCTCATGTCAAATGCATCCTCGCTCGACGCGGTTGGGTCTGACGCGTGGTCCCCATAATAGTCCTTAACAACACGATAAACACTATACCCCATGCCTTTGTAAAACGCAATGGCCTTATGGTTGCTCTTCCGGACAAATAAGTCGACGAACCAGGCGTTATTGGCTTCCGCAACAGCCTCAAGGTGCTCGGTCAAGATTTTACCTATGCCCTGTCGACGAGCCTCTGGCGCAACCGTGAGGGCCGTGATATGGGCATGCCATGGAAGGTAGTGATCATAAGATTTGTAATACTCCGGAGACGATTCCAACTTGCCCATGACTGAGCGGCTCATCAGCGCAGGCCTACTTTAGGGGTGAGAATATTGTCTGGCGCCTTTTGAACTTACTGTAGCCAATTACATTTCCATCCGTGTCCTCGCAAACCTGGAAGAGTGAAGGCCATTTTGCGTGGTACTGGAGATAGAAGCCAAGTTCGTACGTTTCGGTAAGGGGGTCAAGATTACATTTTGACAGGTTGTCAACGTCCTCCAAACTGAACCTTCGAAAGGTTGTCATGGACTTCCGAAGCCAAATGTTGCGAGTGTGGAATTATAGAAAGAAGAGCAAAATAACGGAAGAAATGGAAGGAGATGTGTGGCATTGGTTCCCCAGCGTTCGTAGGCTGCAGTTAACGTAGGCTGCAGGGCGGACCTTGATTTTATCGAGCACATGCAAGTCCTAGATTTAACATGACCTTACCACCTCCCCACCCTTATGGTGACCTAAAAGGCCTCGAGGCCGTTTTTAAACAATGGAATGGATGTTTGAACAAAGATTTTTCAAACCATAGCCCAGTTCAGGTCATTTCCAGCAACAACAGCCATTAAATTATTTTCATGTAATTTAACAAACATATAATATTCCCAAAGGTTACTACCTCGGTCGGTGAAGCATTCAAATTATTGTGGATGACAGTTCTCTCACCCTCTTGGAGTGTGGAATTATTATGTCGCGGGGGTAGTCGGTTGAACCCCAGGGCATCAATCGCTATTATTGGAAGCATTGATCCAGTCCCTTCCTAATTTGACCCTTGCCAGCACAACAAATTGATCAGTGAGAAGACTTATTATTATTATCAGGTGCTATGCTATTGAATTCAGTGGATAGATCCCTTCCCCTCCATCCGACCTCGTCAGTCACGGCTTGGCCTCATTGCCACCTTCTTCACCTTATCTGGCGTCCAAACCGTTCCTCAACCCCAAATCATTATATCGCATGGCAAACACCCACCTGCGTCATAATCCGTGCTTTTTATTATTTTTTCCTTTCTCTTTTCTCTCTCTCCCCCTTTTCCCCTCCTCCCCTTCTTCAGACACGACCAGGCGGTCCCGAGACCCCATTGAGCGACCCAAAAGTCTGGCATTTGAAACGTCCGCAGAAGCGGACAAGATCGGGCTTTGTGCACGAGTTTGAAATGCCTCCTCAGACGCCCCTCCATTCACGCACCACCTCGCTCGCCGAGTCGAGTCCTCGGGCCTCACCAGGTAATCGACGCCAGTCGCGATCATCACTTGACTCTTCTACTCCTGTCAGGGGCATCTTCAACCAGGCCGATCATCTAGACATCAGCACATTTACGGAAGGTGGTGTTATTGAAGGCTCGGGCCTGGGGAATCTCGCTGATGAACTGGCCGATGCATTCTCAGACTCAGAAAACGGGGATACCTATTCCGGGCAGGACGATACCGGCATATCGTTCTCTGTGCAGCATGACGTTCACCTCCCAACCGAGGCGGCCAGGGACATTGTGGGAGGCGCTCCTCAGGCATTTTTGGGTGGTAGCGATCTGAACAACGGGGGCTGGGAGTTCCCTTATCATCTCGACGGGGGCATCGCCGGGCAATAAGTGAATATGATGGAAGCGAGTATGGTTCTGAATCTGATCTTGATTCGCCTGGAATGCCCACGGGGTTAGTATCGAGAATCAATGCTGTGGAGGCTCTTGCCCGAAGAGGGACAGAGAATACGGGTGGACGCAGCGACGGCGTTTTTTTCGCTTGGCCGATGCGTTAAGAGATCTCGGCTCGCAGACAGGCGTAGAAAGTAGTGCGACGAGGTATTTTCTTATATGACGTGATGGCCGCGAAGTCTCTCCCACTAACTTAATGACTCGACAGGCTCATCACCGCACACTCTGCGGTTACTACCCACCTCAGTCATCAAACGCGCCAATTGCAAAGTCTAGCTTTCCCTCTCCTTTCACCATTCGTATCTCCTCCAGACGCGGATATCATAGACTGTCTTTTGCCATTGCTAGCATCTTTATCCGATGATATGCCGCGGCCTTCCGCGGCGGCCTACAACTCCTTACTGCGCTTCATGCGCTGACTGCGGATCTCATCCATACATTAAACTATCTATCAGACACCCTGCATATGTCCCGTCAAACGACAACCATGGCCTCGCGCAAGCTGAAAAGTGCGAAAGAGTTAGTTGCCGAGATGCGACATGAGGATGAGCTCCGGGAAGAAGGGGAACAATGGATAAAGCAAGGAAACTGGAGCCAACGCCTCAAAAACAGGGAATGCGCCAGTGTCTGTGGTGAGGTTGTTGGTGGCTTTGAAGAGGTGTGCAATGGTTGGCGTGCTAGGCTATTAGCACAAGCTGAACCGATCTAATATCAACATCCACCCTTGTGTTAACTGGATAGTTGCTGTGCGTGCTATCTACTATAGTGATAGAGAATCGGAGACGAGTGGGAGATGGTGCTCGGGGTTGGATGGCGTTCTTTTTGGCATAGTCGGAGCTTACTGAGCTGGAAGCTCAATTGATATCCTCTCTTTCTCCTCAAGTGTCGATGCAATCTGCATGTGATGCTTACCAGCATCACCAGCCCTTGCGTAGTTCGTTGACACAGGCCTTGGTATATCAATGGACCTAGGATATATGACTTGGACGTTGCCGTCAGATCCAAGCATCTCGTCCCTATTGGAACCATGAGCTAATGGCAAGAAAGTTAAAAATGGGTCAAAATCACTATTGCTAGCAGTGAGCAACACTTCCGGCCTGCATCTTGGAGTGCGGAATGTTCACATTTGTCCAACTTAGTCTCCCATGTGGTAGCTGAGGGGGCAGCAATTTCTTCATCATGCAATATAATTTGCAGCTTACTGCTGAATAATTTTCTGGCCAGATGCAGATCATGCATTGTGAGGGCTGCCTGAAAATTGCCCCAGTCTTCAATCAGTTCAAAGTTGGTTGCATTCACTAGACTCCCAGCAATTTTTAGGGTGATTAAATTCTATTCATCTCATTGATCCTTCTTGAAGACGAGTTTGGCTTTCAAAAACGGCAACAAACGAAGTCAACTCAGGGTATATCAACTGGATTCAATCTATCAAATTGATTTACCTTCTTGAGCTAATAAGGGGGCTTTAACGTTCATGTTGCTATTTGTTATTATTATAATCATGATCCACAGATCCATTGGATCAATGGATCCATCCATCAATGGATCAATTCGGCCATGGCGGCTACCCTCAGAAGGTCGCGTCCGCTGGCTCATGTCACGCGATTCGCTGCGCGTCTTGACGCCTGTCAACCAACCAAAGTGGAGAGCGTCAACAGCCACGAACATCGTTTGAGCAAGCTGAGTGGAGCATGGCAAAGGTCCGACTGAGGATACCAAGGTCAGGAGTAATATTATTCCCTTGGTCGGTCCCACATGATTTCATACGAGCAGAGGCTCAAGATATAGGAAGCCTGCGCGAGAGTTGAGGAGCTCTAGCGTAAAACTTGTTGAATAAAGGCAGCCGCAGATTTAGAAGTTTGAGGTGCATTTCCGTTTCTTTCGTTTCATACGCTGGGCGGAACCCCACGCGAGCCTCACGAAGTGGAAAGGTGACTTAAATGTCGACGTGGCCTTGAGTGTGAGGTTAGTGACAATCGCGTCCATGCCTAAACAACAACACCCTTGAGATGCTTTGTGTTGTTTTTCTTGCAGGCCCATTGAACGAACTGATAGGTGGCGGATGCACGCCGGTGGAAGGTAAACAACAATAAAGTGACCTGCCAGGAGCCGCCTTCGTGGCTGGGCGTTGATTAGTCACACATCTGGTGGTCTCGCCAGCAAGGGCGGGCGATCCCCAATCGCTCACATCAAGCAGGCCTTCAAACCTCAGACAACCGCATCGAGATGAGAACGCTAATATTAGGTCTAGCCCACCACTCTAAGCCGTATCCTACGCCGTCCGTGTAGAACTCTCCTTTGCTCGTTTTATGCGAAGATATCCAGACTGCACATCTGCTCCACGACCACCAGATTAATCCCTTATTCACCAGTCACGGCATGAGGATTATGCATTCGTAACGTCAACAGTTTGAATATCAGCAGTCGACTAGCCGTGGGCCCAGCCCTCCTACCAAGACGCGGAACGCGACTCCATCCAGCTCCTTATCCAACTACCAGACAATCCGCGGAACTCGTCATACCAGAGGGCCTGTTGAACAAGTTCTATATCGACGCTACGTAAAGGTCCCCCGCGCAACCGGGTTCCTTATCAGAAATGACACTGCCATTTGACCCCTCAGATAGCGCTCCGCCTACCATCAAACGTCCCATTGAGGTCAGAACTCCATCTGCCACACCATCTCGGCGTTCAAGTCCCCTCCTCAAACAGAGCGTGGCCGCTTGGAGGCTCGGCATAGCGAGGGTCCAAATCAAAGGAGGCCCCGGCCAAGGAGGAGCGACTCGAACCGCTCAATACAACTTGATGCGGATGCCGTTGACAATGCCTTATTGAGGGAACTAAGCCGTCAGCAAAGAGAAAGTACGCCTGGACTCAGCCCACATCGTAAACGACAACGATTGAACGGCGATCGGTAAGTCCCTTGTCTATCATACTTTTCCGGAATGGTGTGTCTGACATGGATCTCTGCTTGCTAGGTTCATACCCACAAGATCTGGTCAAGATTTACAGGCTAGCTTCAGTCTTCTTCACGAGGACGGGTCTCCAGCAACACCCCCAAGACAAAAGAAAAGGACCCCTCATGGCGAGCTCCACTTCCAAAAGAGTAAGACCGTACCTCCTTATACAGCACCCCAGGATGACTAGTACTAAGAATGCTTAGCTGAGGAGGCCAATCGCACCTTCTCTAAGCTCTTACGAGCTGAACTTTCGAAGGGACAATACCCCAAGAAAACCCCCAAGCCATATCGCCAGACCAAGCTTCCAGCAGGTCAAATATTGCCCACGACCCTGCACGATCCCATACACCACCGAGCAACAATACGACTTCGTCACTCCCCTCTTCTCTCACACCTAGTACGCCTCACAAAAACCTTTTTTCGTACCTGTCACCCCGGCATCATGGAAGCCTCGGCGCGCATCCTACGCCCTCTAAAACGCCACAAAGTCGACATGGACCAAATTTAGATACTCGCTCCGAGTTATACAGCCTATCCCCAGTGCGGTTTGGTAGTCAGCAAATGCTTCTCAGTCCTCGGAAGCAACCGAGAGCTGTGAGCAAAGTCCCCTACAAGGTTCTTGATGCGCCTGAACTTGCCGACGACTTCTACCTGAACCTGGTTGATTGGGGCAGTGCCAATGTCTTGGGAGTTGGTTTAGGTTCAAGCGTCTACATGTGGAATGCCCAGACTAGCCGGGTTAATAAGTTGTGTACTTTGGAGGACGACACTGTTACAAGTGTTTCGTGGATCCAGAAAGGAACGCATATCGCGATCGGTACCGGGAAAGGGTTGGTACAGATCTGGGACGCTGAGAAAACCCGGCGCTTGCGCACCATGACTGGCCACACAGCGCGGGTGGGATCACTAGCGTGGAATACTCATATCCTCACCTCAGGCTCTCGCGACCGTCTCATCTATCATCGGGACGTTCGGGCTCCCGATCAATGGCTCAAAAATTGGTCGGCCACAAGCAAGAGGTTTGCGGTCTAAAGTGGAATTGCGAGGATGGCCAACTTGCCAGCGGTGGCAACGACAACAAGCTCATGGTATGGGATAAGCTATCAGAAACACCCTTGTGGAAGTTCTCGGATCATACCGCTGCTGTCAAGGCTATTGCTTGGTCGCCTCATCAGCGTGGTCTCCTCGCTTCTGGCGGTGGAACCGCTGACAGAAGGATAATATTCCACGATACCGTGCGGGGAGCCGTCATCAACGAGATCGATACGGGAAGCCAAGTGTGCAACATAGCCTGGTCAAAAACTCAAACGAAATTGTGTCCACGCACGGATACAGCCAGAATCAAATTGTCGTCTGGAAGTACCCCTCCATGACACAGGTCGCAAGTCTAACAGGCCACACATACCGTGTTCTTTATCTAGCCATGAGCCCCGACGGGAGGGTTGTCGTGACAGGTGCCGGGGACGAGACACTCCGATTTTGGTCGGTTTTTGGCCGTCGCCCCGGCGCTCGGGACGATGCAGACCCTGGGAGTGGCCGACTTGCCGACTGGGGTGTTATACGCTAAAGTTCATGCTGCACTCGAAGTTCGAGTGAGCAAGATTCCCCATCATGTTGCCGATGCCAACCAGTTCCATCTATCACATCTGCACTACCAAAACTGTCTATCAAATCTTGGCTCTTACGCTTGTGTTTCTGCCCGAGGATACCCTTCACCTATATGCATGCATTTCTTGGCGCTTTACGTTATCCATTGCTCTTGTTATCTAGTTCTTGGGGTTGGGAGTTCGCTTTTACCTTGCGTCTATCTTTGGGAGGCGGGGTGTTTCAGTTCGGGACCATCTGTCTCCGTCCTGTGATATCTCAATTAGCGTGATGATCCTGTCTATTGAGGGCAGCTCTACTTTTGGCCCCTACCCCTCTAGCGGGTATTTGGACATCTTTTATCTTGTTAGATGTACTTAAAAGATCTTATTATGGAGGCTCAGTGCAGCCAAGTACGAAGTGGAGCACCTACATATCGAAACAAGGAATAGTGCAGAACTCCTACAAGGCTGCAGCTTATTTAGTGATCAATTGCATCTATGGATGGATAGATGTGTTTGAAAATAAAGTACATTGCAATCCTTTGACTAGGATAGGATAGAGCCTACCCAAACACACTAACCGACGCAGCGAGAGCGAACGATAGCCGTATAATGGATATTGCCTTAGATTCAGAGCCTCCATCACCGGCAAATAGAACACATAATATCAAAGTTGGCCCTCTTGCCTAGAACCTCGGCTCCTTCTTTCCCGTGCATCATCGTCGAAACGCGCAGCTCCAGTACCCATTCCACCATAGAACACTGATCCGTCACTTAGTGGCTGAAGACTATCGATACTCTCCATGGGACAGTGAGTGGCAATCTCAGCTCGTGCCTCAAGTGATGGGCTAGCTAGCTCGGCCGTGTGTACATGATCTAGATTGGAGGCCAGAGGGGTGATTCAACAATATCCGTAGTGTGCTGCCATTTGCCCACTTCCATCTTCATGATTTCGAGTTCTTTCTGGAACCGCTTGCCAAAAACGTCGATATAATACGTAGAACCATTATAAACACTCCATCCAAACACAATCGTAAGAAATGCCGCTGAAGCAACCCTATAATGAAACCAAATTGGGCATGGAAGCATGGTGAGAATCGCATAGGAATATTGGATCAACATAAAGGCAGTTTCCTGCAGCCTCTCGGGCAACGACAGGACGATTCGACCTATCCAAACCTTAGAATAGGATTGCCGAAGCCACGTAAATGATGTTGGTCGTCCGGCCGCAATTTTTCTCTCCGTTTCACAGTGATAAAAAGTAATAGGAGAGTTGCCACATGGCGTAAGGAATGGAACTCCACGCGAGCATGGAGGTCAGGTTGCCATACGCCGCAGCAGAGTCAGAGGACCCGTTCTTGATAGAAAATATGGCTGGAAAGCGGACCGCTTGTTGCTCGGCTGGATAGAGATGAACAATGCAATGCAGTGTAGCGCATGGCATGACGTGGATGAAGAGAGACGTTACTTTGTCGAAACTATGGAAAACCAACGAGTTGCGCCACATGATGATGGCAACTGCATTGTTACCAAAGGCAAGACAGTAAACGGCTGTAAATAGTCTCTTTGAACCAGGAAAACACCAGAGACTGAGCATCAACAAGAGATTAACGAAGTAGCAGAGATCGGCGAGAAAGTAGTGATAGCCGCGTCGCTTGTACGTGAAGATCCGGATTGGCATGAAATAAAGCAACTGTGCCGTATACCAAAGATGGAAATATTCAGGATAGCCGCCAATAAGAAATCCACTGATGAAGATATTCATAACACCACAGATGAAAGATATCTTCTCCCGTAAAGTGATCACTCGAGTATCGTTCCAGCGTTTGCCGAGCTTGTCAACACTCCGTCGCATGTGCCTCCGATACCTCTCAAGTTGTATCTCGGCCGGCGGCACGCGCCGCCTCCATTCTTCGATCATACGACCACGGGCAACTTGGCTCCGAGATTTGAAAGCATCTCGAGATCGACGAACCTTGTCGGTTTGGGCCGAGATCCCTCTTTGGAGCTTCTCGAGCTGTAGTGGGAGGGCGAAGTTGTCGAGGAGATCAAGTACCGAGAGTCGGTCTAGAGGAGGCAAAGGGTCAAGGTCATCTTGGTATGAGCTACTGCCAGAGAAGGACGGATTGCGCGAAAGTCCCGAGGTTTTTGATGTCGCGGATTCGGCAACGTGAAGATCAAAATCGACGGCACAGGTGTCGGGAGAAGAGTCGCTGGTTTGCAAATCGTTCATCTCGGTCTCCTCAGCGCGTGACTGCAAAACCTGTCTGGTAGAGGTCGGCGTATGGTTCAAACCCAAGTTCTCCATGAGGCAGAGCCAGCCATATAAGTGGCAAAAGGCAGCGTGGAGAGGAGGGAGCAATGCACTTAGAGAAAGAGATCAAGGAATAAGTGAAACTGCTCACACAATTAGCAAGCTGTGGTTAGATTGTTGAGGAGATGGAAAGTTGGCGGCGAGTCCATGGGGAGGCAGTCAATCAGCTGGATAATTACTCAACACGGTACTGATACAGCTGATGATTATTACAGCTGATGTCCTGTTCAGCCAACATGTGCAAGGGCCGTGCACTCGTTGGCTGCCGTCAACGTTAATCAGCTCCTGTGGCTGGTCCTAAATACGCTCCCAGGCTCCGCCCGGTTGTCAAATCCATGGGTCAAATGTGGCAGGGCCAGGTGGGCATCTCTCGAATGGTGGTTGGCCGAAAACCACACACTCCAGTTGCATATCAATCCTCGTGACGTCTGTCGGCACTAGACAGCACCACGCAAGGAAGAGTCTCGGTCAATATACCTCGGTGCAGACGCATGCATTCATGCAAAGGCCCTTCTCAAGAGATCACCCACATGATACCAGACAACCCTTTCAGCACCGTCTCAGCGACGTATTTAGCACAATAAAGCTCAGACTACTCCTTGTCCGGCTGTTCGCGGGTGATCTCGGCTGACCCATATGTGTGATGTAGTGACCGTTGGATGCCAGAGACACACGTCCTCTCTTTAGTCAACCTCCAGGCACCATAGTTTGGTTAGAAAGCGGTTTCCCTTTCTTGCTTCTTCCTTATCCATGGATCATAGGTCAGGGCATCATTGTTTTTCATTGACGTTTCTCGCGTATGCAAGAGCTATCACATCCGATCTATCTACGCCCCTCTCCGTCATCATTTCTATTTCAAAGTGTCTCCGTAAATTCCACCCCACAAAGATTGTCAATTTGGGCACCATAGATGGATCAATTACTTTTCGTGGAAGGACTGGGGGAAGGAGCCGAATGTGGATGATCTATGACGCGTGATGAGAGGAATAGATTCCCAGAAGGGAAACCGTCTTAAACTAAAGAGGTCGAACTGATCAGTCGGGGCACCGCCAACCTCAAGTCAGCCGACCACCAACAGCCTTTCCTCCTCTATAGATACCGTTTTTATGGCTTAGTGGGAGAGAAAATGGTGGGAAAAGGATCTGAATGTGGACGGGTGATAGAAGATGGGGACAGGAAAAGGTTCCCTGAAGGTGAACCGTTCCGAACCAAATAGGTGTGAGAGGGTCGACCCCTCCCGCCAACACTGTCTGTGGGAAATGGGATCACCGGAAACGGATGAAGAAGAAGGGATCCCAAAATGGGAGAAAAAGTGATGATGATGAAAGGAGGAAATGGTTCCCAGAAGGGGAACCGTTTTCCATCTAAATAGGTGTGAGTGGGTCGTACTGATCGGGGGCAACGCCAGGCGATGCTCCAGTCAGCCCTCCCGCCAACACTGTCTGCCAACTTTTGGGGGCTGCCAGTTGGCAACAGCGGTAAGGGGAACTTCATGAACCCTCTTGGGATGAGCTGACAAACAAGAGACAACTTCCCCAGAACGCGAAACTCCACCCCACCAGAGACGTTCACGCGCGTTGACAAAGACCTGAACACGACAATCCCTAAACTCACATCCTCTGGTTACAGCGGTTGAAACACGACATGATAACGACGCGACACTTTCCGAGTGCAATTTTTCCTCTAAGAAGAACCTGGACGTGTGCGTGCCAATTAGCAGCGGATTCCTCCCTCCACGTCCGCGGCGCATAGCAAACCTCGAGCATAGTCATCCTTTCATAGCTTGAGCGCGCCTTTTACAATGGGAAAGCTTATTCGCCTCGAACTATTCAGTAAGTCCAGCAATGTGCCTGGTTATCTTACATATGGGCTCTTTGGTTATCATAGCATGCACTAATCTCGACAATAGACTTCAAGTCCTATAAAGGACATCATACTCTGCTTTTTGGTGATTCATACTTCACCTCAATCATCGGCCCAAATGGCTCCGGGAAGTCCAACTCGTAGGTTCAATCAAAACAACTATCCTCCGAGCGCGAATTTGAAATGGGTACTTACACATATATTCTCTGACTTGAAGAATGGACGCCATTTCCTTCGTCCTTGGAATCAAGTCCTCACACCTCCGGTCAGCACACCTGAAGGACCTCGTCTATCGCGGGCGGGTTTTGAAAACCTCGAAGATAAACGACGATGGCTCTGCTGATGCCCCTAGTTCCAATGGGCGGGTCAACGGCCATGAGGATGATAATGATGCCGATTCCCGGCGTGCCTCGCGCAATGACCCAAAAACCGCGTGGGTAATGGCAGTCTACGAGGATGATGCAGGAGATGAGCAGAAGTGGAAGCGCTCCATTACATCCCAGGGTTCGAGCGAGTACCGCATCAATGACCGGGTTGTGACGGCCCTTCAGTACAACGACGCGCTTGAAGCCGAGAATATACTCATCAAAGCGCGAAATTTTCTCGTTTTCCAGGGCGACGTGGAAGCCATTGCGGCACAGTCACCGCAAGATCTCACTCGCCTCATCGAACAGATCTCAGGCAGCCTTGAGTATAAAGCTGACTATGAGAGGTTGGAGAGGGAAGCGGAGGCTGCCGCAGAGAACTCTGCTTTTCATCTACATCGTCGCCGAGGCATCAACTCTGAGATAAAGCAATACCAAGAGCAAAAAGGGAGGCCGAAAACTTTCAAAAAAACTGATGAACGGGACGCAGCCATCGTTACGAAAACGCTCTGGAAGCTCTATCATTTCCAGCGGAGTATGGACGATTCTAGCTCGTTGATCCAGGAACATCAGGATAATCTTAAAGAATATCGTCGAAATGTCGAGGTGTTTGAGCAGAAACTCGAATCGTCGCGCAGGAGCATGCGGCTCTAAACAGGGAAGTCTCTAAAGTTGAGCGAAACATTAAGTCAAAGGAAAGAGATCTTGAAGACACGCGAAATAGTCTTCTCCCTGTTGATGAAAAAATCGAACAAAGCAATCGAGAATCTAGCGTTCTTAAGGAAAGGATCGAGACTCTAACAGAGGAGAAAGATGAGCAAGCGGATTTAATGGCTAGAGTTCAAAGTGATCTCTCTAAGGTTGAAAAGGCACAGGAGCTTGAAGAAACCGACTACAGGGATCGAATGAAGAAGCAGGGGAAAGAACTCAGCTCTGCCGACCGCAAGCAATACAACTCTCTTCGAGCCCAGGTCATGGCTAAGACTTCCATGAACCAAGCAAACCTTGATAATCTGCTACGTCAGCAAAAATCTGATGAAGTAACAGTCAATACATTTAAAGGTCGTCTAGATAGGGTCACAGCGAGTCTCGAGAAGTTTGAGCAGGAGTTTCAAATCACTGCCAGCCGAAAATCAGCTGCACAAGCCAATGTCCAACAACTCACAAGAGATATCGATGCAAAGAAAAAGAGTTCAACCAGATTCAGTCTGAGCGAGTACGAACAAACCAGCGCCGCACAGAACTAGAAGAGCGTCTCGAGGATGTTGCTCGGAAGCTTCGCGAAGCTGATGATGGTAGGCGACAGAACGATCGAGAGACGCGTCTTCGAGAAATGGTCACGTCGCTCAAACGGATCTATCCGGGAGTAAAAGGCCGAGTGGGAGATCTTTGCAAGCCCAAGCAGAAGAAATTTGACGAGGCGGTTATCGTGGCCCTTGGCCGGGACTTCGATTCAGTGATTGTAGACACTGAGAAGACCGGCATTGCCTGCGTCCAGTATCTGAAAGACCAACGGTTTCCGCCCATGACCTTCATTCCTTTAGACAATATCAAAGTTAGTGCGGTGAATACTGCCATCAAAGGAATATCTGGTGCCCGCCTCACCATCGACACGATTGACTTTGATGCAAACCTCGAGCGCGCCATGTCATACGCTTGTGGAAGTTCCGTGGTTTGCGATGGCCTGGACATCGCCAAGCAGATATGCTATGAGAGGAGAATCCCGGTCAAGGCTGTGACAATAGAGGGATTTGTTATTCACAAAGCTGGTCTGATGACTGGGGGTCGTGGTCCGGAGAACAAGGGCGGAAAGCGCAGGTTTGAAGAGCATGACGTCCAACATCTTCAGCGTCTTGCCACGCAGTGTAAAGAAGAGCTCGAAAAACTGCCCAAGGTAGATCGACGAGGCAACACAGAGGAGTCATTGCAAAGCGACCTCGCAGGCCTTGAACAGAGATCCACGTACGCCAAGAAGGAGCTCCTCGCTCTCGACAAAAACCTGGAAAGCACGAAAAGGCTGAGAGACAATGAAAGCAACAAACTGAGGGAAATCGAACCTGAATTAACACAGAAACAAGATTCATTGGAGCGTATTGGGCGGGCAGTGAGAGAGTTCCAAGAGGCCATATCACAGGTCGAGGACAAGATTTTTAGCGCTTTCTGTAAAAGCTCGGGTACAGCAACATCAGAGAATACGAAGCCCAGCAAGGCAGTATGGAGCAAGAGATGGCGGAACAGCGCAATATCTACGAGGTCCAAAAGCAAAGACTCAAGAGTCGTCTCTCCTGGGAAGAATCCCGGCATAGCGAGTCGGTAGCCCGGATCCGCCGAATGCAGGACCAACTTCGCCGACTACAGAAAGACATCAGCTCCTACAAGCAAGAAAAGAAGAGGATTGAGCAAGAGATGAAGAAGGAGCAAGATGAGCTAGAGGCACTTGGTGACATACTGGAAGAGCACAGAGCTCGTCTTGTAGAAAAGAATGAGCAAGTGGCAGAGGCCCGGGTCGCGGTACAAAAACGAGGCAAAGAGATCGAAATAAGGCAAAAAGAGATCAACGCTCTTGAAACAGTAGTACAGCAAAACAGCAACGGGAAATTCAACTTGTTACGACGGTGCAAACTCGAGCAGATACAGGTTCCTCTCATCAGCGGCTCTCTAGACAATCTACCCAATGAGGATACCCTCCTTCATCAGGATCCAGACGCCATGGATGTCGACGATGAAGACGACGATGAAGAGGTTACTGGTAGGGAGGCGATCCAGGCTGCTCTAGATGATCATGGCATTGAGCTCGACTTTGACAATCTTGATGAGGAGCTTCAGGAGGTAGGTTCAGTGGATGACCCAGCCGGATGTGCCTATAACTAAATCGATTAACTTGTGCTAACTATATCTAACAGTCCGATGGCCTTGATATCGAAGAAAGACTTGATGGAAAGATCAGTTCGTTGAGTGGGGAGCTTGAGAAGCTAAATCCGAACATGCGGGCTATCGAGCGATTGGGGGATGTGGAGTTTCGCCTCAAAGATACCGAAAAGGACTTCGAGAAGGCACGCCTCGCGCAAAAACGGGCCCGTGATGCTTTCAACGAGATCAAGGCACGGCGGTTCGAACTCTTCAACAAGGCTTTTTCTCATATTCAGGAGCAGATTTCTCACGTCTACAAAGATCTGACCAGATCCGAAGCCTATCCCCTAGGCGGTCAAGCCTACCTAGACATTGAAGAGGACACTGATACCCCATATCTCTCAGGAATCAAATATCATGCCATGCCCCCTCTAAAGAGGTTCCGGGATATGGAGCATCTTTCTGGTGGAGAGAAAACAATGGCTGCTCTTGCCCTTCTTTTCGCCATACATAGCTATCAGCCAAGCCCCTTCTTCGTCCTTGACGAGGTAGATGCCGCCCTGGACAATGCCAATGTTGAGAAGATCAAAAATATATACGGGAGCATTCTGGTCCAGGGATGCAATTCGTAGTGATCAGTCTCAAGACGGGACTATTCCAGGACAGCGAAAGTTTAGTTGGCGTTTATCGCGATCAGGACGTCAACAGTTCAAGAACGCTCACATTGGATGTAAGCACTGTGACCCTCTCGCTAGCTCCTTCTACCTATATACAGCCAGGTAAACTAATTTCCTACAGCTTCGAAAATACACCTGAGAGATTGAACAGCTACCATAAGCTAACGAGAGAGAAAAACTGCGAGCTGACACAATTCGGGTGTGGTTACCTGACGTCGGGCAGAATGGAGACACTTTGGCCTTTCACCCAAAACCAATAATGTAGACCGCGGGCTTGTTACCTCTTGAGAGATGATGTATGAACTATGCCAGACTTCGCGCCTGCTTGCACAGTCCTTTTGTTGTTTGATTGCTGGTATTTCCGCAGGGCCAGTATTTATGTTTAAGAGTTAATTAACGCAGTTATTTCTTTCCTACGTTACTCGTGCCACGCATATGGGGGTGGAGGTGTATGGCACGAGTACATATGAAATCCCTTTTTAGCCATGTCTGATGTCTTCTTTCGTAATACCCCTCGTCCATTTGGCCGTGACGCAGCATAATGATGCTCTCCACAACACTGATGAATCGATAAAATTAAACAAAAAGGGAGACAAAAAAGAAAGCACTCCGCCACGTTCAAAGCTAAACACAAGCTCCGTGTGATTACATAACACACTATAGGAATACCTTGTTTCCAGCCTTGCCCAGCCTTGCACCCATACGACGTGCAGCACACATCTTCTAGGTTTCTAGAATTTGTGTCTTATACCCTCCACTGATAGAAACGACCCAAGCTTCCAATGCCCTTGACTAAGGCGAAAATACACAGCCCTCCTCGCGGACGCCGAACGACGTTATGGATCTTGCGCAGACTCTGCTCAAGATGGTAATGAGGGCCTTCTATGATACGAGGCAAATCATCGCAGTTGATGCTGTGATAACGCATTCTTGGTAAACAAATGAAAAAAAAACATATGATCACGAAGAAGAAACTCCCATATCATCCCACCGTCGGTCTTCAATCCAAACCTGTCTAACCTGTTAACCGAATATAGCTTACGCGATGACGAATTGGCATATCTCGCCTCCCTCAACACGAAGGATTTGCATAAGCTTGTGGCGAAACTGAAAGAAGAACGCCTATTACATCAGTTCAATAGGCCTGAAATGCGTGAAGGCCAGGCCCGTCCCATAACAAGAATATACTATTATATCGACTACAGACAAACGATTGACGCGATCAAATGGAGAGTCTACAATATCACCAAAGACATCCAAGGCACAGCAGTCCCCGCAAGTGAGAAGAAGGAGTATTTTTGTGGCCGTTGCAAGTCTGAATGGACGCAAATGGAGGTCCTTGACAATTTTGGTCCCGAAGGCTTTGTTTGCCACCGTTGTGGCCATGCCCTTAGACATGATCTGGATCGAAACTCGGCAGGACACGAGCAGTCCACCCGGCTAAACAATCAGTTCAAATTTGTCACCGACCTTTGCAACAGATAGACCAAGTGCACATCCCAGACAATACTTTCGAGGTAGCTCTAGGAAATGCGCGTCCTGTTATAAGAGACTCGAGTAACCCCGGCATCAGATCAGTGCCAGTCGACATTGGCGGGAATCGTCCAACCGCAGTCAAAGGTCTTGCTAATACCGGTCCAAAGTCGATGGCCGTGAGCATATCTGCGGCTGATGGTCTTACAGAAGCTGATAAAGCAGCCGAAATCGCTCGGAGGGAGAAAATTGCCGAACAAAACGCATTACCGGCGTGGATGTCAAATAGCACAATAACGGGGAGTCTTTCTCTGGCACCGTGGCGGCGCCTTTAATAGGCAAGGTAGACGAAACTGACGGTAAAAATCAAGAAGGTCATGTTTTCACCTTTGAAAAAGATCACAAAGACATTGATGACGTCTTCGCGAGGCTGAAAGCGGAGCAGGAGCGAAAGGAGTTGGAGGAGGACGAGTATGGATCAGATGACGAGATCGAAGATGAGGATGAAGAGGGTGACTTTGAGGATGTTATGGCCACCGGTGTCAATTTAGGGCTTGATACTCCAGTTGCATTGAGCGTCGACGCTCCCCAGGGAGGACAATGGGCTTTTAACGGGGAAGGCAACTTAGCTAATGAAAGACCAACCAAGAAAGTTAAGGTCGAATCCCCTTGAGAGATCTCGAGGATGAGGAGAGCGACGAGGACTTGGAATTCGAAGATGTGTGAACAACGCATCATGTTTTCATTTAGGTCACGATAGCCGCAAAGTTGCCATCTACACCGTCTTCTCCCTTGATAAACCAGGAGAGATCCCCAAATATACATGTGACGTCATAGTGCTTTGTCGTATATAAGACGGCCTCCAGCATCCGAACAGCCCGTATCAATCGATGTCTCCTAGAGAATCACGAGGCTCACCCACCACTCCGCCCCAACCAGCCGATGCTCTTCCAAGCTATCACCTTAAACATCTTTGATCTCTTGTTTTCCACCAACCAAACAGGATGCAGAACCTTTCGAACTTCCCCATAATATACATTCTTCCAACCCATATGTCTACGGAGCAGTTCCATAAATGGATAACAATGGCCGAAACCACTACCCCGGACATCAACAAGGCTCAAGTTGTCCTAGGAAATATCTCTAAAACAAAAAGGGCTTTGTTTGAACTGAGACAACGAGGCGTCCGGTTTGACGCTGTACAGGCAGATAAACCGTCAAAGTCAGCCTTGAACTCCTTGGCCGTTGCTCGCATTGAATGGCTCTCTGCCTGCCTTGAACAGAATAAAGTACTCCCGCTAGACGACTATCTCATTGTTCAAGTACAGAGAACGCCATCGATAGATTCATGTGGGCTTGAAGTCAACCAAGCCAGACGAAGTTCACTCCAAGGAGCACATATACCCAACAAAATCCCGTCTTTCTTGCAGAGGTCGACCTCGGAAGATGCTGGATTACCCCCATGCCATGCTTTATGAACACGCCTTACGCTTGTCAGCGCCCGACGGCTTCAAACCCGCGTAATTCTGTGTTCATTGGCCTCCTCAAAAGATCAGAAAGCAACGGGTCTTAGACGGCGACCACGTTGGAGTCAGGGCATATAGTTCATCGATAGCAACACTTTCAGCATATCCATATGGTCTCCAAAGTCCCCATGGTAAGCCTGACGGCTTCATGCCCGTAGCCAGTACACACCAATTAATCACTTGCATAGACGACGAGCTAAAGAGAAACTAAAGAGAAACACTAGAGCATGGCTGATGAATTTTCTAGAGATAACGAGGCTTCCGGGCTGTGGGCGCAAAGTGGCCGAGCTATTTCGAGAGTTTAACGAGACTGGCACGCTCAATGAAGCTAAGAAGTTAGAACAAGATTACCGATTTTCTATTCTTTCATTGTTCCATGATATCTGGGGAGTTGGGGATGCAACAGCCCGGGAGTTTTATAGCAAAGGTAGTGTATATGCTCATCTTCCCAAACCCCTCCACATATCTAATTTATTTGTTCTGATGACTTGTCGCTGACGGGCGGACGCAAGGCTGGAGGGACTTAGATGATGTCGTCGATCAAGGGTGGGATAATCTCACGCGCGCTCAACAAATCGGTGTTAAATTCTACGACGACTTGAAGCTCAAAATTCCACGCAAGGAGGTTGAGGTCATTGCAACTACTATCCTTCATCATGCACGTCTCATCGACAGTGCGTTCCAGATGATGATTGTAGGTGGATACCGCCGTGGCCAAAGTGAGAGCGGAGACGTTGATCTTGTTCTTAGTCATCCGGAGGAAAGGTTAACAGAGTATTTCATTGGCCGTCTAGTGCGAATGCTCGAGGTGAATGGGCTCATATCTCACACGCTGAGTTTAACAACGAGGAATAGTGACCGTGCACAAGAGCCGCTGCAGTGGAAGGGAGGTATGATGAGGCCCTCAGCTGGTTTTGATACATTGGACAAGGCCATGGTCATTTATCGATCACCCCAGGGTGAAGGAGGGGATGAGACTAGAAAAGAGGCGCAAAATGTCCGGTTTAGAAGAGTTGACATCATTGTGAGCCCATGGAAGACCATCGGTTGCGCTGTTCTAGGATGGACTGGCGCGGCTACCTTCGAGAGGGATCTTAGGAGATATTGCAAGATTGAGAAATCTTTGAAATTCGATAGCAGTGGTATCCGAAATCGCGTCGACGGTTCTTGGGTAAACATGGAAGGGCAGGAGCCGACAGGAGCACCAGACATGGAGACTGCAGAACGCCGAGTATTTGCAGGGCTCGGCCTTACGTGGATACGCCCTAGCGATAGATGCACGGGCTGAGGTGGCGAGGTTCGTGTGCTAAACGAAGGCAGTTTTACCCTGTTTCTCACCAAGGGAATCAAGTAATACAGACGGATTGATTCTAGAGAAACTATGTTAAAAGCTGGAAAGTTGTGACAGCAAGTTCTCTAAAGAGAGGAGTCGAGTGAGACGTGGCCCGGGGTGTTCCTTTGGGAAGTTTGGCCTAGTGATAAGAAGATATGCTGTCTGTGTATATCGAAACGATGTGCGATCCCGGTATCATGGCTTCTTCGCTATCACCTCAACTCCTGGGCGTGAACCAAGTCTCCATGTTCCGCATTCGCGGATTCATCCGCCTCCCGTGACGTGGAGGGGAGAATTGGCAGCGAGATCGTTAACCCCGGTGTTTACGCTCTCGATACCGTTGTTTCCAAGCAGAAAATCTGCCAAATAGCGAAAGGCGCTGAAGATTTCTTCGCCTGTGGGGATGATGTGATCCTTCGGGAGCAAGAAACCGTAGCTTCCCGTATCTCTGAGTCTAATTTGATAGCTGTACCGCGCAAGGAGTTCATGGCTAAACCAATCTATTGCAGAACCCCTCCTAGCTCAGTACCAGTGGGGTTGGAAGCATCATCTTCTCTTGGGTATGGAGTCGCGCCCTCACAGGCTGATCTTACAGTGTATGCCTCCCCGCTCGTTAGACGAATAGCCTTAGCCAGGCCTGCAGCAAGCTCTTCCATATTCTCAAGATTAGGGGCTCCTCAACGCAAGAAAATGAATATGGGAAAAGCACTTGTTGTGAGTAAGAGTGGAGGTCGATGAGACCCATGATTTGAGCACCGTGATCCACGGCTCGCTGGACAAAATTAGCCAGTGCTTTAGCTTCGGTCGCCTGGAAAGGTTCATCGCCGCCGTAGAATTCGGAGCAAGGGTCGTTACTTCGCTCCCATCGATACCCGAATGCGCGATCCAGATCTATTCCCCGACAGAACCGGAAGGCAGTGTGTTGGCGCGTTTTACGCCAGAGACGGTCGACTTGCCAGGTGTAGTCATAACCATCAGGGTTAAGTGTGGGGATAACAATGAGATCGAACTTCTCGAGAAATTTGGTTACAATAGGGTCCTTGCCGTAATGAGTAATGAATGACCATGCGATGTAGTTTGCTGTTGTCGTCGAGATCCACTCTCTGGCATGGAGTCCCCCGTTACTATAATTGTCTTTCGCTGCGGGTCTTCCGGCCGGCTTTGGGCGCCAATTTTGAGAGCTAATATGTCCTTCCGCTCGTGAGATAAACCAACAGATACCATTTCAACAAACGATGGGAAAAGTGCCTCCATCAGGCGCATCCACCGGCGTATGACCTGTGTTCAGTTAGCGGAAGTTCCTCACAGATTTGGAGATGATGGTTCGAACCGGTAGGGGCTGATAGTCTTCGAAGAAAATGTTGTCCCCATGGGTTGGGAATTGGTGTGCCGATTCGGGACTTCTTCAAAAGCCCCCGGAGCCACCCGTCAGGTGCTTAGAGGGGTATGTATCGCGTACACGAGATGCTAGGTCCGGAATTATTATGAAGTATGATGTCTGGAGGGACTCTGGGAGAAGGCTCAGAAATGGCCTGATATCGTCCCTATGTATACGGATATCAACATGATTTTGCCCATGAGACCAAACGTCCTTGAAGAGCCTCTCAACAGCCTCCCACAAAGCGCGTTCGTCGTGCGCGTTGGTGACATTGAATCGGACAACGATATCACTCCCATAAGCTGTCAAGTCAATCCTATGAGTAGTTTTTGTGGCAGTTGACGGATTAGGACTTCCAAAGATTACTTCAACGAGATGATCGCGGAGACGTTTGAGAGAAGGGTTTGGGTGCTCCCCGGCACCTCGAACAACAGACTGAAACTTCTTCGAGAAAGAAGATGATGGCGAGTATTCGTGATGGGCTCGGGGCTCAAACGCAAGGGCATAGGAAAAGGAAACAAGATATCCTAATATGTAATGGGATTTCATGTTGGCAGGCGGGATGCTTGACTTGACGATGTGATGGCATGCCCAATGGTGGAGTTGCGGCTGCGAATCAAAATCTGACCACTATTGATGCCATCAACCCCTCCGCTCACAGCGGATGTCTAGAAGGCTGGCTACCTATGGTTGATGGATTGACGAGACAACACACACCACTACATAGTGTACAAGTTTTGCTACGTAACGGCATATCTAACTACTTTGGGGTTAGCTTCCCACCCCTATACATTCAGGTACTATTTCTCAAGCAAACCACTGACCACTTATCTTCCACCTCAATCTACCGAGGTACATCTACATATATTATTAACTTACTCGGCTTTTTTAAAAAGAAATTAAACTATTGATTTTTAAAAAAAATTGCTTAAAATAGAATAATAAGTAGTTTAAAAGATCAATAAGAGGTAATTATATATCAATATTATAAGTTACTTCTATGGTTTATTTATAATTTTTAAGACTTATAATAGTTTTTAACTTTAAAGAAAGATTACTAAGGTTATTTGCGATTTATAATACCCGAAAATTCAAGAAAAGTTAGATAATTTATAAGTAGTAACACCGAGATGACTAATAGCTATAGTATTAAAATATAGTATAATTCTTAATATAATTAAACATGTTACTATGTAGTAAAACTTATTTATTATATAGTTTATCTACTAATTTAAGCTCAAATTATATATACATATATTATAATTTAATATAAGCTTAATTAAAATAATAGTTCAAGTTAAATCAATTTTCCTAATATAAATACATATATGCTACAAGTATGAAGAAGCTGGAGTACCAGACTCCATATAGTACGCATAAGTCGCCTACTTGTGTGATTGGGGGTGAAGCACCTCGCGACATCCTTCCTGCGTCACGTCGTCGTGGTATTTATTGCCAAGGCTATCAACTGCATCATTTTTCACCCTGACCATGAACCGCGAGCACGATGCCTTTTATTCGCCGCCGCGGCCAGCCCGCCAGTGAAACTCCTGAGACTGCCGACCTACTACCTACTGCAATCACTCCCAATGTAGAGGCAGTGAAACACCCATCCACGGTCCCACCATGGCCCATCAATGCTCTCGATTCTTCCTTAGCAAGTGACTGCCATTCGAGTCGCAATTCGGAGTCGGCTTCTAGGCCTGAAGAATCCCTTTCCCTACGACTAGATTCCCCACCAGTTCAAGCTCGGACTTCCCGGCAGCGCCGTTTCTCAACCCTTCGGTTTCGCAACGCCTCTGACTCTCAGTTATCCTCAAGGGCTCAAAAGAGGCAGCCGGCATGCCACCGCTGCCTACACCCCGTATGTCGATCATGATCAGTTTCGATCGGATGTCTAGCTTTGTCAGGTAGCACCTGGTGAAGAGTTGATACTGACATAGCCTCAATTAGCTCCCGAGATCATCACTACCGCGCCGACCATGGACTTTGAAGCCTTGCAAAAAAACCATCGCGCTTAAATCTAGCGAATCGCTTTCGCCGATCGCAGGCGAGTACTAATCTAAAGAACAAGGATGCAGAACAACCAGGGTCATCTAAGCTTACGGGAAGCTCAACCTCCGACGATTCCGCTTTGGTTATTGATAGTCAACTTGGAAGGTTACCGAAAGGGCCCAGAGTTGCTCAACCTCAACCCCCGGCGTATCGCGACGAAGAGGAAGCAGTCATGGCGCTGCCCGTCAATAGGATTTCCGAGTCTTCACGGTCTGATGCAAGCTCTGGCGACCCCGGTATCTATGCCAGTACTACAACAACACACACGGTTCACACCATCACAACGACGCTATTTAGACTTCCACGACGGAGGAACAGAGGAATAGACTCTCTGTTTCCTCTGAATCACCTTCCGCAGAAACCTGCGGGCGTCGCTTCCCAGGAGGGGCTCCCTCTTCATCGCTAGAAATATCTGAGTCGGCCTTCGACAAGTCCCAGAGCAATGCTTTATTGTCAGAGCCTGGGACGCCGAGAGCCTCCACCTCGCATAGCAATACCGGTTCACGAATTCCATCTCCTAGAGTACAAGGAAGAGGCATAGTACCGCCACCAGGGACTTTCTGGCGCCCGAAGCCTGTCTCATCTGGACGCTCGTCACCAACGAGAAGTCCAACACATCTCCGTGGTAGATCTTCTACCTTGAGCTCGATTGGTAGATATTCTAACGATGAGGCCCTTGCACCTCCAAATGTGCAGACCTCATCCTCAGCTGGGCGGAAAAGTTTTGGTGACCTTTTCGGGCTCAACCGGCTTCGCCAGAATTCGGATCTTACTCTTAGCCGCCAGGGCTCCATGACGCCGGTAACGCCCGGCTCGAACACCTCGAAGAATAACTCTTTACAGCTAGTGAGAGAGCCGCAACTCGTTTTACCAGAACGTCGAGATGATGATACACCGGCCAAATACCTCGCTCGCTTGGAGGAGGTAGTTAGCCGCAGTGTCATTCCTAGCGCGCTTTCACGAGGGACAGACCTTTTTCCACAGCTGTCATGCGTAGCTATATGAGAAGTTTCAGTTTCTTTGGGGATCCAATCGACATGGCACTTCGAAAGCTCTTGATGGAGGCTGAACTGCCTCGCGAAACCCAGCAGATTGATCGCTGCCTTCAAGCATTTGCTAACCGCTACGACGAATGTAATCCCGGAGTATATTCCACCCCAGACCAAGCATATTTTATTAGTTTCTCTCTTCTCATCCTCCATACGGACGTTTTCAACAAAAACAACAAACGTAAAATGCAAAAACAGGATTATTTGAAGAATGCGGGGAGTGAGGGCATCTTCGATGAAATCCTTGAGTGTTTTTACGACAACATCACGTACACACCGTTTATACATGTCGAAGATGACCTGGATATCAATGGCGACCGGATAATCGCCCACAAGGCACGGCGGAAACCAATTTTCGCTGGCGGCGCGGTAGAGGTCGCGAAGAATTCGTCAAAGGAGCCAATTGACCCGTATACTCTAATTATCGATGGAAAATTGGATGCGCTACGACCTAGCCTCAAGGATGTTATGCATCTCGATGACTACTATACGTATGTTGGGACTGCTAAATCTCTCAACTTGAAAGAGCTTCAGAGAACTTTCTTTAGGACTGGGGTACTGCAAATTGTTTCTGCTCGCTCGCGCCCTGATGCGTTTATGTCGGAAAAACGGCCGCTAACCCTGAAGACGCGCATCCTGGCATTGTTGACATCAAAATTACAAAAGTCGGGCTTCTTTGGCGGAAAGACGCCAAAAAAAAGAACGAGATCAAAATGGCAAGAATGGGGTGCCATCCTAACAGGGGCCCAGCTGTATTTCTTCCGTAATACAGCTTGGGTAAAGGGTCTCATGCACCAATATGAGGCCCATATTAGGCAAGGAAATGATGGTATACCGGTCACGTTCAAGCCCCCATTAGAGCAATTCAAGCCCGATGTCCTTTTCTCGACCGATGGGGCTGTAGCTTTGGTCGATTCAGCGTATAAAAAGCACAAAAACGCCTTTGTCTACGTTCGACATGGCAGCGTTGAGGAGGTCTTGCTCGCTGACGATGAAGACGAGATGAACGACTGGTTAGCAAAACTTAATTATGCCGCTGCATTCAGAACGTCCGGTGTGCGGATGAGGGGTGTTGTTGGTGGCCACTACGAAGGCCAGAGCCGCCGTGGCATTCGCAGACTGGACAACGCCGACGCGACGCAATTAATCCGAACACCAACTGGCGACGTGAGTATCGCCCGGGGCCAGATTGATCATAAGATGGCTGAAGACATTCTCGCCGCGCGCCGTGATATTATGCAGGAAAAAATCGCCGATGCCGCCGACAAACTAACGGAGGTAGAAAAGCAGCTAGAAACGCAACTCCGAAATGCTCGTCATCTACAGATTCTTGCGCCAATTCAGACAAAGACGCGCGAACAGGTGCTCTTAGCGGCTGCCCGGATCTCTGCACAGCTCAAGTGGACTAGGATGGAAATCTGGAAGTTACGTTGCCACCGGGATATTCTCCTCCAGGATCTCGAAGAGGAGCGCGTCGGGTTAGGACTTGAACGCGATGTGTCTCCCGGAGAAACCCTTCAACACCCCGCTGTTCCTCCAGTCGCTCCTGTAGTGGAACTCCCAACCTCTACGGGCAACGCGGGAGCGCAACCCATTTCAGATTCCCGACTACCCAGTAAACCTGACCCGTCAAGTCAGAGGAAGGCATCCGTTTCTATTATATCCCCTCCAGCACACCAGACGCCCATAATATCCCCTGCCAGATTATCTGATATCGAAGGGAAATCCTTAGATGCCCAGATGTCGATCACCCCACCACGGGGCGATATTGATGACGGCGAACGCGATCTCCTAGAAAAAGCAGGTCTTCTAGACATTACGCATGGATCAGTATTAGAAGGTCAGGTCCCCTAGCACCTCCCGACGAATCCAGTGAATGGCAAACCGTCTTGCCCTTAGCAGAAAAGGCAGAAAGGAACAAAATTCGAAAGAGTCTACAACGAACATTGAGAGAAGGTGCCGGACACTTATCTCACCAGCGCACGAAGAAAGGCAAAGAGGTCTCAGTCCCGAGCCCACTCGAGGACGACGGTGTCGATGAGAAACTCACTCGATCACTTGGGAGCTTTGTGGTGCATGGGAAGAAAGCGTCTGTGATTAACTTCGGCTCAGAGCTAAGGCCAATTTCGCCGGACGAGAAGCTTCAAACCATACAGCATTCTCTGTGCGATGATCAACAGCAGGAGTGCGTGTACCGCCCACCATCCCCGTCTAGTAGCGAGGACGACTTTCACTCCATTTCGGCAGATAATATTGAATGGAGGGAGCGAAGGGAATCTGCAGCCAGTGCCAGTACAGCAACAGCCAGGAGTTTCCGTGAGCTTCATCGCAAGTACTCGAGATCTGCCTCTGCTGCGGGGGTCGCCTTACTGCACCTTCGGATGAAGATAGTGAAATTGCACTAAGCTTCTCAGACAGTGGTGTTACTCCTCTCCCGCTGTCTGATTAAGCCCCTTCACCGGCGAGGCATCGGCATGGCTAGAAAACAACCTAACTACTACTTTCTTCCCTCTCTAGTTAGTTGCCCGTAGCCGTAGCTCAACCTAGAATTGGCTGGTTGTGATCGGGCTGGCACGCCATTCATTCAGTCCTATTTTTCTCATCATTTACCCAATGTAGCTTGGGATATAACTTATGGAATTGCTTAGATCAATATATTGAAGACCCCGCAAGCAAGGATTCTTAAGGGGTAGTTATAGCGTCCAATTCTTTCACTGGTTACTCCGTTGCCTGGAAATGATCCTCACCCCTATCCGCATATCCAAATGTTTGAAGTCTAAGAACGGTCCAATTAAGGCGGCCCAGTGAATGGATGACATTGATCGCATGTCCTTAAGTGTTCTCGAGGATGCGCGTGCGTCAAAATAGGTTCGCCTATTTTCTCCCCTTCTTCTTCTTCTTCTTTGGAGCCGTGGGAGCTGCCTTTTCCACCTTGACTGCCCCCGCCCCACCAACGAGTTCAATTGTCTCTTCCTTAGAAATACCCCCTGTGTTGCTTCAGCCGTTCGTTTTTTGCCCTTTTTCCCTTTTGGTCTAAATGACGATCGGTCTCGGAGAGGAAGCCACCGCTCCGGGTCCAGGTGTTTTCCACCTTCGGCAGGGCCAGTGAACTTTCTTCGCCTCCGCCGAGCAGGTGTTTCAGCGTCATCGGTAGTGCGACCAGACACCCCGACGGATGTGGATGGAATAACCACGCCGCGACCCAGGAGCAAATCAACACGGGTGTCCATTAATAAGCTTGGAATCGCCGGAAGTTGAGACGAGTGGTATACAGACTCGTTGGCGTCCACTCTCATGTCAGAAGCGAGAAGCCCGGCCTGTGCAATGTCATCTGAGGGGTTTCTTTCAAACATTGCCCTAAAGACTGGCGAGGCTAGTTGAGCTTGCGCTTTCTGGTGCGACGTAATTAAAGAAAGGCCGATTCCCCGTAGTAGTGAAATTGATGCATCCTTGTAGTCGTCCACGCAAGATGTAGTGAATTTGGAGAGGAATGCCGTCATCGTCTTGCGTCTACCCTGTGCCGTGTATAAAGCGACCAGCAGCGCAACCAAACCTGGGATTAGGTAAAATTTCCTTCCAAGCAAAACCGCATATTTTTCTATCGCTTTAGCCGCGGCACCTAGTCTTTGTTTCCTGAGATATAACTCTACCATTGTCAAAAGTGGGCCAAGATCGGAAGGTTGGCGCTCCAAAAGATCCTGACAGGCAGAGGTGGAAGAAACGTTTCGACGAAGGTGTAGCATAGCTGCTGCCCTCAATGCAGAGAGACGACCAGTGTAACTACTCGCACTAATAACCTCGAGCGGCTCCAGTGTGCAAGTTATCCGTCTGACTACCCCTGCAGTTTTACCACAATGAAGTTTTAGGGTCATCTCGCATAGGTTGAGCAAGCTTTTTGGTAGCCAAAGAGGCCCGTGTGACTGTTTATCGCAGCCAAGTGGCGAAACGTTCGTTCCGTGAGATGCGGATTCAACCCATGGCAAGCACTAAGTGCCATATTGAGCTTCAAGACGAAAGCCGAATCCGGGTCGGAGTCCCTAAAGTGAGCCTATGAGTGGCCTTGAACAAAAACAAAAGGGTGGATACCACATACAGGGGCGATTTGACTGCACGAAAGGCCACCATAGCCTCATCTGCAAGACCTAATCGCGAGAAGATGTATCCTAGCTGAACTTGGATAGGGACCAACTCTTCCTGTCTCTCCTCATCTGACAGTTCCTCAGATGACTCGCATAGCTGTTTTGACAGCGATGCAGATTCAAGTGCTTCCCTATATAGGCCCCCTGCAGCGTGAACACAAGCGGTATTATATGCAAGCTCGAATGTCTCCTGGTTGTCGCTATCGTCTTGGACGTGTGAAAAGGCCCCCGACCACAATGGTGTAATTGTGCCGCTACCGCTAACTTGTTGATTGACAAATCGTGGTTTTCGCCGCGGCTAGTAGATCCCGAGGAGAGGGATGCATACCTTACATCAACTTCGCCAAAACTCTCAGAGCGGTAGGCGATCTGAGCATCAAGATGAAGCACATTTCGGCTTGGTGATTTCAGGGCAGGTTGCAAATATTTTCTGGCTCTTGTAAAGTCCCCGATTTTGTAGTACGCGTATGCAGCTTCAAAAACGCACTCTTTTGGAATTCCACTCCGCCATCTCTCACGACGTCCAGGGCTTTCTCAAACCGATCAAGCTTAAGTAGAGCAACGACATTCATCCGACGAACCGCATCATTCTGCGGAAACGAATGAAGAACAGAGGTTGAAATCTCTAAGATTTTGTCATGATCGTCAAAAGAGGCTTCTTGAAGCAAACCTTTTAGTGCTGCCGGAGATTTTACCGTCATGGTCGCAGGAATTTGGTTGTTGGCGTGAAAGATGAAGAGAGTATCGCGGGGCTTCCAACCCCACAGCAGTCAACATCAATCTCATCCGACTTAGTCATCAGTTTGATGGTTTCTTTTTAGGGGTTATCATGCGAGTGATCGTCAAGCTCATTGCTTAAGGAACTCCAACAATACTTACTTAGGAGTATTACAGGGTCTAGGTTTACTCGGGCGCATGAATAATCGAGGTTATCAAATCTTTATCCTACTTGTATCCCATCATTGTGTGGCAGGCTTTCGTGTGTTCGGAGGATCTTCGGGAATTTGTTTCGCTTGATTACCAAGTTGCTTCTGAGCCTCATTGCTGATCATGCTTTGGCACCATTCTCAGCTACACGTCGGCTTGCCGTTTCATTCCATATCTTGGTTGTAAAAATCAAAATGGACTGGGATCATGAAATGGAAGAGGGGCCAGGCGAATCTATTGCCCACCTAGTTCAGGTTCGTTATTTTACCCACTCACCTTGATGCAGGAGACTAATTCTTCATGGTCTACCGAGGTAGGTTCCCTCAGCTGTCAACGACTGTGGTGAACCATCAGAAGACAGAGGTTCCCAATGTTCCAGCCTTGTCAAGACGAAGGTCTACATTCGAGGGTTGGATGTTCTGACAACTGAAGAGTTGAAATCGTATCTCCTCGAGCACTCTACCCCGCCGAACCGGATTGAATGGATTGATGACACATCCGCAAATCTTGTTTTTGAGTCAGAATCTATCGCCTACGATGCCTTCTCCTCTTTAAGTACCATACCGATTACCAACTGCACATTTTTGTCGTCCACGGAGTGCATACCTGTCAAGCCGTATTCCTCACGCCCCGAAGTTCAGTTACAAGCTCGGTTTTCTGTGCTGGCCGATAAAAAACAAGCTGGGGCATCTTCACGCAGCCGCTTCTACTTATTACACCCTGAATATGACCCGGAGGAACGCCGCCGACGGAAGGAGAATGTGCAACGATCGCGGTACCGCGATCGTGACCCAACTGATAACAAGAGTCATCATTCTGAGAAGACTAGACGATCGAAAAGGCTTCGGTCACAAGATCATATAGCTTATGCAGGAAGCTTCGACGATGATGAAGGAACCGGGAAGGGTCCCCGGCCTCGCCAGCACCAGGATGATCATGACAAGCATGGGCAAAGCTTTTCGATTAACGGATTTGGTATACCCAGAGAGGTTCGCCACCCACCTCGCGGTGGGAATTTAGCAAAGGAGCTTTTTCCAGGGCGGCGACGTAACAGTCAATTACGGTCCAGATCGGCATCGCCACTAGATGCAGAAACACGAGTACAGTCGACAGATGAACGCCGCCTAATGAACACCACATCGAGAGTCGAGCCCGATCTCGGCAGGTCCATCGAACTTTTCCTTCTAAGATGCTAGCATCCGATCAAAAAGGAGCACAATTAGATCAGCTAGAAAACCTGACCAGGGCGTCTTCCGTTGAGGATGAAGAGACAAGCGCCAGGCTGCTTCATATCCGGGGTTGCCTCTCAGAACGCACCTTCTGTTGGCTTCGCTATCAAGGGGCTTCCACGGCTAAGGTGAGGGAACTGTTCCCGAATAAATTTGGGGACAGGCCTGGAGATGATACTTTTTCCGACAAGCCTGAGGGCAAAGTTAAACCGCGGCGAAGGGCAGAGGATCTCTTTCATTAAGTTGAACACAAACGACCTAAGTCGAAATTCTCAATTTTGAATCGTTGAGACAAGTCTTGCTAACACAACATCTCGGCTTAAGTCTCAGTGTCTCACTGGGCATAAGATGTGTGTTGCGAAGCTTACTGATCGAACGTCGTCCATCATCTCGCTTGAGACGAGTGCCCGTGGTTCATTGTTTAGCATTTATACCCTCCCAAGGCTCCATCCTCCCGCAATCATCGCTTGGCGAAACCTCGATTGAGGCCAACAACAGTGCCTGATTCCAAGTCACGCGTAGCAAACAGAGCCCAAGCAAGTAAATAGACAAGCACCAAAGCGAAGCAAGTGTTAGAGCTTTCAGTTAGATAAAGAACCGACGCCTTTACTAACTTATCTTTAATGCTTGGCTTCTACCACATATAATAGTAGCTGGATTTTTATTTTTCAAATTTTTATCCAGTAATACTAAGGCCTATTTTGGTTTGGCTTAGTCATGTATAAATAAACTAAATGATATCTTTTAAATATAGTATTATTTTTATTTATCAATCATTATTATAAATAGTTTATTTATAACTTTACTTTTAACTAATCAAAATTACTATTTTAAAACTGATACTTCATTAAATTTTTATATTATTATAATTATATATTATATATTAGTTAATATGTAACTTTTTTAAAAATTTGTTAGAATAAAATATGTATCGGTTGATATTCACTTTTAGTTTTCCTTATCAATTTAATAAATAGATATACTAACCATCCACCACGGCTCATGAGTTATTCCTTTTGGTTGCATAATAAATGTTGTCGTGCCGTGCCCCACATTGCCAACGGTCTACAAGTAAGGTGGCCTCGCTTATCGGACCTGGAAACGGTTAAGGCCGTGCGGCTGTCTGGGTTCAGCCCTCTGCCAGTGCCAAGGCCCAAGAAGCTCTCGCATTGCGAAGTATCTATACCTCAGAACCGCTGAACTCCTCCTCCCAGATCGCCGCAAATCCTGCCAAGGTGGAAACTTGAAGTGAAATCCCGCTCGCTGGTTTCGCTAATAAGATGAGCGGCTGTTTAAACTGGTCTCCATATTATTAGATTCAGACAATCGTTGGCCACTGGACGGCCGTTTTCGGCCAACAAGCTGGGGCGCGCAGCTCTTTGTAAGGAGCGCTGTGTTGAACTTGCAGTAATAACATTCCGGCCAAAAAGGTTGGCTTGGTTCGGATACAGAAATGAGCTTGCGTTCGGATACCAAGGGGCGGGCACATGTGGAGACTATTGTTGGACCCATTGGGATAGTTCCAGATCGGCTCGGCGGAAGCCGAGTGGCTGGTTTAGCTGAACGGCCTTCGTTAAAAAATTTTCACAGAACAATATTGAAGGGTCCCCCGCCTTGTCCTTGTTTACGACTCCCCGGAAAGCAGACCTGACAATCTCGACCTCCATACCTCGGGAGTTCTGATTCGCGGTTTCTGTTCATTTCCTATCAACTTGATAATCAGATAGCAGTATAATAATAATATCAGGGCCCACGGAAAATTATTATCCCAACTTGTAAGGAAGTCTTCTGCCGCCACCTTGTAAACTCCTGGTCCGCTACAGTGCGTAGAATAATCGGAAAAAACTGTACCAAACCCCTCGTCGAAGTGGTCTCCACTTCAGACAACTCGTATTGTTATTCCAGCCTGAGTGTATTACCAAGCTCAGCAGCAGACATGAGGCTAGGCCGCCAACTCCGCCACAGCCCAAAATATTCCAAGATGGAAGCCTCCTGGCGTTTTTCCCCTCACATCGCAAGGTATCGTTCCAATTGTATATGATCCAAGTATGTGTCTTGGAAAGATCAGCTCTACACAACTTGCGCGCCGCCATGGGTATATGAGCTGTTATCGGGAGGGATCGAATATTATTTGCGCCTCCATGAGTTTGCTACCAGGACTTCGGGTATGGTTGTCATAGTCTGCTTCTATAGAAGCAGCGCATCCCAAGCCAGAGGCTTACCAGTCTGTGTGCTCCCGGTGTTGACGATGTAATTTGTTGCGTTCAAGTTTTGGCGCCCTGCTTCATCGGCATATTAGTGATGCCAAGGCCATTTTTGAGTCAGTTGAACTCTGCGCCGTGGGGGTTGAATTATCTGCGTGAGTTGGTGCTGGAAGGACAGTATGAATGCTAGGCAGTTGATCAACAGTCGACATAGTTGGGGCTCGGGGGTAGGGCTGTTCCCAGGCGTGAATCGGGGGTAATTGCGGGCCTTTCGGATTGGATCGCGGACTCGCTATTCGGGGTGAATGGCTTCTGGTAAGGTCGCCTCTTGTAAGTGTAGGAGAGTGGGTGACTTCGCTCCTTGATGATTTTGTGCTGTTGGGTGAAGGCAAACCTGTATAATCAGATTGCGTCGGGTTTTGGAAAGGCATATCCAGAGGACCCGCTGGTAGGCCTTGTGGCATACCATGGGCGGTCTGTGGATGAGCGGGGTGGCCATATCTTTGATCCGGCAAGGACGGCGGGCTCCGATACCTGGTCGTATATGCCGCCTTTAACTGCTCATGACGGTTGAGCTTATTCTGCTTCCCATTCCACCAGTTCTTTACAGTGTTATCGCTTCTGCCAGGTAGTCTCCTTGCAATCTCTGCCCACCGGTGGCCAATTTGACTGACGAGCTTCTCAATTATCTCCGCCTCGTCGGGTCTGATAGGGCTGTGGTCGAGAGTAGGCTTGAGATTCTGGTGGTATCTCTCTCTACATTGTTTGGCGGAGCGAGTTCCTAGAGAGTGTGCAATGACAACCCAGTTGGAAGGCCCATGGGAGTCAACAAGCTTTAATAGCATCTGGTCCTCTTGGCTTGACCATGGACCCTCCGCAAGGTAGGCAGCTGGCTGCTCGCCATCTCAAGACACCCTGCGCCTAGTCGGTTGATCAAACTGTCATATATGCAGCGTTAAAAATCGTCCGCCTGTCGCAGTATTTTGTTAACGAGGATTGATCAAATTTATCGGCAGTTATCGGCGAAAAATGAGAGTTGAGGATGAGGGCTATAAACAGCTTTCACGATGTTGATGCGAGAAGTTGCGAGGAAAGCCTGCGAGAGTGGGAAAAAAATGCCCCACAAGTGTAAGCAGTGAGACTAGGCGCTGTTGAGATCTATCCGATAAAGAAGACGGAACGGGTGTTTTGTATTTGTTAAAGCGTAGAGACCTCTGGTCAGAGAGGTTTGAGGGCGCCGTGGTCTAATATGCACATCATAGGTGAATAGGAAGCATCCCGCGGCGGGGCTTTGTTCAACGGGGCGCACTGGTCAGGTCATCAAGGGCTAATCTGAGGCTTTCCAGCTCTACACTTGTCCATGATGGAATGTTTGTTGCCTTGGAGCGCGCTTTACCCAATGTAGAGTACTTCGAAAGAGGGCAGGAATCATCATCTGTGTCTGCACTCGTGCATTTTCCCGTTTTTCGGCACCTTGGCTCGACATGGATCGAGGCACCCTAACGGCGAATTCCGCGAACCAGGGACTGGGCGCTGTCCCTAGCCGCAGCCCGGCCAGATGGTAATATTATTAGTGTCCGGCGCCGTTTTATAACGATCGTGTGGTCGCCAGTGGGCAGATCATCTTAGAATGTAACCCCTGAACCTTGACCCAAAGTTGGCTCCAAATTTTGGACCTATTCGTATTATGCCTACTTGTACTTGTATGTTTGAGAGAGCAAGGTTGCTTTCGCTCTTCCAAGCTTACCTGTAAGTCCGGAGAGTCATCCCATCCCTCGGCAATACCCACTTGGCTAAGAGCTGAATGCAAACCCTATGGAAGTACATGTACTCCCTTTCAATCACTCGTGCCCGCTCAGGCTCTGGCTCTTGCTTGTTTCTCCGGATTGTTTTCGGGAGCCATGTCAAGGCCCACGATGATTGAGAAAATCGTTTACGCTGTAGTATCTTGACACTCAGCTAACCAGCTGAACATTGCTTAGGTGACCGGAAACATCCTCCTCACAACTCTTGATAGCTTAATACAATACCGACCCACGAAGAGTATAGTTGAAAACAAGGCCTCTTTTCCGCTTCGGAGTTTTAGGCGAGAGCCATATGTACAGTGTGTCACATATAAACACACTGTTAAATCCCGGCTGAAAACATGGACTTAGAGCTGCAGCTCGTCTGCAGAGCAAGGCCAGCCCCAAGAGGAACGGCACCAACTGGCTTGGGCAAATGAGCGTGCCTGCTCGTGACATGGTACCTTCAGCTTCAGTCGTCGTTGTATTCGCTACTGCTCTCGGTTTATCGGGAGGGGTGCCACTTAGATTGGCCAATAGGCGAGCAACTTGCTCAAAAAAGGACGAAATCGGCAGGAGGTTTCACCATCTCAAGGCGATCACCAGCCATTCAGGAAAGGGTGTGCAGGGATCATAGAGAGCTTCGCCGACCCTTCCCTTTTTCTTCCTCCTTTTGGGTTGTGCAGATCTACGGGCACTCGGTTGAAACTTTTATGGATCAGGCTTCGATCCGGAAAACGGGCGGCTTATTGCTAGATATTAGAATGGCCGGATGGTTTGAGAATACGCCAAAAGCATTGGAGGGAGGTAAGGGGCCGCCGGACTGATGGGAGACCATCCATAATAGATGTGCTCGGTCGAGTCTGCAGATGTACCCCACTCCGGGGCACTGGCAGCTGAGGGTCAGCGCGTGTGAACTAGCGCCATCGAGTATTGACAAGCTAACGGCGATCGGCGTCGATCGGGAGCCAGGCCCAGGCCAAAACAATCTGCAACAACAGAAGCCAATCACTATTAATTACAGGGTCGTAGCTGTTCCCAATCACGGAGTCCTCCGACAGTACCAGGGTACATAGCCACGAATACAGCGGAGGAACCCCCCACACACACAGTGGTGGGACCAAGGGGATTGTCCTCGCCACCTCTGAACTTGTTACCTCGATACTCCGGAGGAGGTTCTCTTGGTTGGCGGTTGACTGATTAAAGCCCAGAGATGCTGAGGGCAAGCAAGGTGTTCTCTGGGACCCTCATCAGTTCGTGCTCCCAGCCCTTCTCCTTCATCTGTATGAATCGACCGTGGCGATGGCTGTTCTTGACGTCATACCCATGATCGCGCCTCTTCGTCACAATATATGGTGGTTGTGAGGAAATACGGAGCTTACGCGTACAGCATATGCAAAAGCTTCTTTGCGCGGGGAGGGATCAAGGCTCCGCTTCCGTCGTATGCAACTTGCTCCGCTGTGTCTCACAGATGACGGATTTAGTCCTACAAATGAATATCGCCCGCTTCACCCAAGACCCATCTTCGCCATGCCTCTTCGTATGCACATTCTAAATCGGCCACCCACCGATGAGTATCGAATAGAGGACAAGTCCATCGATGTTGGTATAAGACTCGCCGGATCTCGGCCAGCCTCCCTCCACCAACAAAGCAACCACCTGGGGCTTCCTGGTAGATAAGCCCGCTGGCTAGCCTGATTGCCTTCTCCTCGTAATCTTCATCGCTATTAGCGATGAGCTCCTGGGCTATTTCTGCTCCCTCTCGTGTTTTTGGCAGGGCGCCCTTAAGAATCGATGCCGCCATGCGTGAGCACATCTTGTATGGATAACGAGGAAGTGTCAGCAGCGGTGTGCTAGACCACAGAACATCGGCGGCCGTGGTATGGGCGTTACACTCAGGGGTATCTAAAAAGAGGTCGCAAACTCGGGCTCTCGAGATATGTTGGCTTTTGGGAGCAACATCAGTGAACACGATGCGGCTAGCGACATGAGGGCCGGCCCATTCCACCGCTGTTCGTCTCAGATTGCTTTCACCAAGTTCCGGAAACCTTAGTAGCCAGAGAATTGCGTTTGGGACTCGGGATAGAATCCTAAGCCAAGAGCGGAAAGTTGATGGATCTATCTGTTCGGATGTAAGGCAAAGACACCACGAAGCTGAGATGGGCCAACATACCTTATAAAGTTGATTAAAGTTTGCGAGAATCACAGCATTTTCTGATAGGCTCGGAAACAAGGCTTGACGCATTTCCCATCTCCGACGCTGCTCATCTTCCCATGTTTGGACATGTTGCCGAGTCTCAGAGGACGATTGCGCATGGTCACAACAGAAAAACGTGTCTCTGCAGAAGATGATGTTCTCGGAATAAACCCACTCACCACCCTCCTCTTCATTATTGTCGCTGAAGACGTCGATAGGATCTCTGTTAGAGCGGAAGGGTCGAAGTGTTTCAGAAGGCACAGCAATCTCGTCCGCTAGTATATAATCACACCATTCAGCCCCGAGGGTCCCAGCGAAACCCATAAACGACATCTGGATAGGCACCGGCCGTGCAGCGAATACTTCATTCCGAGCGCCTCTTGTGTAGCCATTTAGATTGACTAGGATATGGATGCCATCCCGAACAATCTGCTCTACGAGCTTATCGGCTGACCAGCCAGACACATCGCGGAATATCGGGGCTTCCCGTTCGATTTTCTGTCTGTGAATAGAATTATCGCTTGTGGTGGTCCCATAACAAAATGCTCTGACCCTAGAAGGCTCATGGAAGCCAAAGACGGACTGCATTCTAAGAAAAAGATCAGTTTTATACTAGCTCTTAGTTTAATGCTACCTGGAGTGGGTGCCATATACTCCTAGCGGGCAGTCCTTACAGATGCGCGAGAGGGTGATTATTGAAGTCGGAGGATAGGTAGCCAACATTAAGGTTGGGGTTCGGCGGCGGCGGCGGTGGATATACGGACTTTGGAAGCCACGGCGACCGTAGCGTAGAGCATGATATCCTCATTGCATTTCGTTGAGATATCATGCGAACATCTCTAGCTGTCAAGGGGCAAGTAAAAGTATGGAAAGGAAGTACAGTTGGTGCATTCGGGACAGTTAGCGAAGGTGGCAGGTGTGGTCTGGGATATCCCATCGGGGATTCAGATCCGAGAATATATCTGTCTCGGTACCAAACCCACATCATTGATCGCGTAAGCCGTTCGACGAGTCGAATCAAGCGTGTGCCTTCCCATCGAGACCTTGACCAAATCAACAGCTCCGAGCGAACTCTGAGCGCGAGATCACGGTCTGCTGGAGCAAGACGTTGTATTTGCATGAGGATGCCAGACACGGTCTCCTCTTGGATCGTGTTCCAGCCCCAACTTGCCGAATCATCTAGCTGCCGACGGACTATGCCGACAACTCGATTCATAAGTCCGGACCCATGCCTCTTATCGAGTGCATCCTGTAGCATACCTTCATCATTGACGTGCCATCGATCGTGCTTGCCTCCACTAAGAAATACACCGCCACGGGCTCTCCAATCACACACTGAGCTGAGGGCCGAGGCAAGGCCACAGACGGCCTCTGCGAAGTCCGGATTAGATCTGACGGCACGCTTATAATACGTGATAGCATCGCCAATCCGTCCCCGATCTTTGACTGCATTGGCAAGATTGGTGAGAGCGATGTCAAATGTACCATCGCAAGCGACCGCTTGTTCGTACATTTGGATAGCTAGATCAAGATGACCGATATCCTTCAAGAGACTTCCCAGATTGGTGTGCAGATGGACATGCTTAGGGTCGATCTCTAGGCCGTAGTGATAATAAGCGAAGGCAAGGGCAAGGCCGCTTCCGGGTACAATCCCGGGAATATTGGGGTAAAAACAGGAGTTGGCTCGCTCATACGCTGGATGAGGTGAGCTTTGCTGGACGCTAGCAAGAAGGATACCCACGTTATTGGCGGTAGAGGGACTCTCTTGTAAAGAGAGAGAGATAGTAGAGTGCAAGGATGTCACCGACACCGCGAACCTGTTTGGTGCGCCCGCGAGAAGGGCTTCCCGCGGACATGGTGTCTTGAAAGATTTTAGCTAGCGAGAGCAGTGAGTTGCTCGTTGTCTGTATAGCGGCCCTTCTGGGACTGCCTTGAGGAATGAAGCGGAGTCCGGGCAGATCTCCGGAGGTGGGAAACACTAGACGGGCGGTATGGCGTGCTCGGTCTGGGGGAAGTAGGAGGGGAGTAGTGTCAACCGAAGCAGCGTTGGAGCGACCGGCTACAGACTTTTCGGGATCGAGAACGTATTGGATTTTACGCACTAGATGGTTGATACAACGGATGCTTCGGCCGGTACTAATGAGGACTGCTTCTTCAAAAGCTTCTGCCGCCCCGTCAATGTTTTTCTGGCTGTAGAGCATTGTGCCTTTCGCATGGATGAGAGCAAGCATTCTCCCGTTATCAACGCCTTGAATAGAGTAACCGCTTGATCCAAGGCCGATGGAATCAGCGTACTCATCACTGCGGGCCGCCGCTAAACTTGAAGTCCAGTCTTTATGCTCAGCTAGCACCTCTGTGGAGTTAACATTGGTGCCTATTTCGCAATTTTGTTGACGGGAGACATTACGATCGGTGGTTAGGGCCCGTTGGACGTATTCAATTATATCAACCGCCTCTTTACTTCTTCTTTTGTAAAGAAGTCCAACCAGATGCTCAGCGGCCTCTAGACAATGAGGTCGGGTCGTGACCGCTGCTAACCAATATTGTTCAGCGTCGGGCTGCCGATTGAGGCTATAAAGACTTGCTGCTACGTTCAGGAGACCCTCAAGGTTGCTGTTTCAAGTTAGATCATCGGGTCTAAAGCCTACAGGCTGTGAACGGCGACAATACCTTGGATCAGCCTTGTTAACCTTGAGAAACCATTGCAAGGCGCGCTCGTAGTCACCGCATGCATAATGCAAACAACCCCCAAGAAGCATTCCATCAATCCAGGTCCAGTTACTCTGTTCACAGAGATGCAAAAGCATCTCCACGCAGCGACGAGCTGCTGATATCAACACATGAGTATCCGGGTCATTTATTGATAAGACAGTGACGGAGGCGGGGTGGCTGCGTTGTTCAGGCTGTAAAATGCCGCGAGGAGCCGGCTCCTGCTGCAAAGAACTTGGAGTAGTCTCCACAAAATCGTGAAATGGAGAGGAATGGAGGCTCATAACCGAGCCCGTCGCCTTTGGTACGGAGAAATGCGTCGGCAGGCGTGGTTGGACAAGGACCCTAGTCATACCACTGGGCCAGGTACCTTGTTTTCCGGTGGATATAGGCGGGCCATTCTGACACACGGACAATTTGAGATAGATGGAATGAGCCTCAGTCAAGATCTTCTGACGGAATCGATCGGGATTTTGGCCCAATGTGTTCATATACAATACGTCCGCGGGGGCTGAGCGAGAGGGTAGCAAGTTTTAGATGTGTTGATAATAGAGGGGCATCCTGAAAATTGGAAAGAGCATTATGGCCTGCGAACGAGAAAAAGCTGGGTGACCGAGAGACACCGTGTGGTAAAGGGTAACTGAGACCACCCCGTCGGATCTCCTTGGAATACTGGAACGTATTAACATGTGCTGGACCTCCAGGAATTCCAGCATCTGATGGGCGCGTCCGTCCGGTCTTCGATATGCCCATCAGCATGGGGGCCTGGGGAGTGTGTGGCAGAGAATAGATTGACGAGGAAAATGTTGTCACGGTTTTATTATGGTTTGGAGAGGATCTTGTATGAAGTCGTGCGTGAGGGTCACGAAGGTTATGCGACTGCACATGATCCAGATCGGTCCTCATATGCTCCTTTGACACTGGGCTACCTGTCGCAGTGGAAACAGATTCCCGGATGGCCAATGTGCCAAAGGAACTCCCCGGCACTATTAACTGCTTCAGTGGTGGTGGCCCAGGAATCGATGGTGCTAGTGACCCATCATATCCATCAGTTATCGTGCCGCTGGGCGTCTTACGCCGAAGCTGATGCTGGGGTGGGTTGAATTCGAGTTCCATTTCGCAAGCAAACGTAGACTGGCCGTGATGGCGTGTGCTACTGTAGCGCCCTTGCACATTCTTAGGCCCCTGTGTTGAGTGCTGACGCTGCCGCAGAAATGAATCCGGTGGCTGTGCATTCTGAGTGATCGGGGTCTCAAAGTCTTGCGGAAATGTGAAAGGCGGGCCTACGGGATCACGATAAGCGATTCGGGATTGCATTGCGGCGAGTGGTGGCAGATTAGGAAGGAAACTGAATGACAGAAAGGACATTCACAAGAGTAGGATGCGATCTGTCATCGCCTGTTGTTGGGGGCATGGTCGATGCGATATCGACCAAGCATCAAGAGTTCGAAATGGCTGGTTCTAGCGGGCCGAAGAGTCCCTAAAACCGCTTTATAAAAGCGTCGCTGAAATCAATGCTATCAGGGCTCTCCCAAACTAAACTGTATAGCGGGGCTGATGGCGATCGTATCGAGTTAACATAGCATCACTGTGGTTGAAGCGGCGAGACGGCATGTCATATCTATAAGATGCTTGGGAATTGTGAAACAAGCGGGACACATCCAGCTCGAGAACAGTGCCCAGCCGGATTATTCCCGGAAAATTAGCCATCCCAAAGGTTTGAACATGACTAAAACTTGGAGATAGCACAGCCTACGAGAGGATTGCACCTCCCACTACTCATCTGGAAAAGGGTTTTAAAAAGTTCGTAGCCGATCGATCCATTCAGGTCCGTACTATCTGCCTCATTCGTCCGGATCTAAATACAACCAGATATTTAAATAAAAATTTCTTTTGACCACCGCCCCAAATAATCAATATGGACCACATCTGTTCTCCCGATTTACGTTTGTAGCCCATGGATATGGACCCTTGATAACCCATTGAACAGCAAGATGCCGTGTATAAGAGTTCAGGGTGAGTAAAGGGCAGTGTTGCCAGTTGATCTCCCCTATTGCCAAAATTGAAATATGCCATGATATTGGGAATATTCCAGAGTGTAGGCAAGGGTACATAGAGATTCTACGATTTAGAGAAACTTGGTCATGTAAAAACGGTTACCGCGTTATCCTTAACCTAAGGATAAATCGTTCCAAGTGTAGGCCCACAAACTCCGCCACATCAAATATCAAATGCTTATTCCGTTTTGAAAAACTACTCGTCGGGAACTGTTTACAAAGGATTGTCAATATAACCATGTTCAACATGGAATGGGTTGTGGGGGAGGAAGGGGTCGTTACTGTCTATCTCGCCAGCCTCGATAGCATCACTGACGGCCTTGGGACTCTTTCCATCAACTTGACACCCAACACTGAACGCTGTGCCAAGAATTTCCTTCACTGTGCCTTTAAGTTCTTTCGAAAACGACTTATGCCGCATTGTTCGTGCGATCTCGATTATCTCTTCGAGGCTGACAGACTTGTTGTGCTTGATATTCTTCTCCTTTTGCGGTCGCGGGAGGCTCCTTCAGGGCTCGGATGATCAAAGACGACGCAGTGGGAACGACGGAAACTTGTGCTTGACGATTTTGGATGGTGAGTTGCACTGTAACACGCAGGCCTTTCTGCAGCAGCACCTTCGTTAGCATGTTGAGCTGGGGGCAAGTTTCATAAAGAGTCAAAGCAAGCACCGTACCCAATCTCCGGTAGCTTTAGCAATATCCTCGCCAATCTTTTTAGGAGAGAGGCCGAGAGGCCCAATCTTAGGCGCCAGGGCGGAAGATGCGCCCACCTCCTCCAGTCGCCAGAAGGTAGCTACCAGTATCATTAGCAGAGTAACGGAGAGTGATTCTGCCGATTTCACCTACATAACCTTAACCTCGTTAGGATCGAACTTGGGCGCTATGTTAGACGCATGTTAGTTGGAAGCTTTTTATCTGTTTTATTATTTTGAACGTAAACTCACGCATTTTTCCGGTTTTCAAGGGTTATTCTTGAGTTCGATTGAGGAAGAGTGCAAGGGAGATTTTCGAAGTGTGCGGGATGGTGCTTTCTGGAAAATGTGAAAAAGCCCTACCTTGTAAATTTGGCTTGGACAGCTCTGGTCCAATCGGGGATGTTGGTTTGATGACTAAGAATAAATGCCCTTCGCCTGTTTCCAGCTGGCTGCTTCTCCGAAGTCACAGGTTTGCTTACAAATCACATCAAAAAACACCGTGATCTTCGTGTGTTCAAGAGACCGCTACCAGGCCCTATACCTCTAATTGTATACCGAGGTATATAAATTTCGTTTCACGCCAAGCTGCCAAACGTCCACCAACGGTTGACTGCACAGGAGCAACTATTTACAACCAATTAATTGGGTCTCTTTCCCATCTTCTCTCTTCTCTTTTCCCTCTTCCCTCTTCTCTTTTCTCTTTCTCACTTTTTACTTCTCAGCGCGCGGAAGGGGGAGGGGAGAGGTAAATAAATATTCAAAGTAAATAAATATTCAAAGATGTAGCTAGCTATAAATTCAGCCTTAAAGGAAGGCTGTCATCAGTTTGTACCGCTCACGGCAAGTCTACATATCGCGTGGTTAGCAACTTTTACGCCATTGCTAAGAGATGGCAGCTTACTTCATTAAATGCTCCATGAAGGTCTGAAGCGATACGTCATCAGTAAATATTGTTTGAGCATTTTGTGCACCAACGCCGCCGTAGGCACCTGACGTGTGGGTGGTCGACGGATTAAGCTTGGAGAGAAGGAATCTCGCTTGAGATCCACCAGCATCACAGACGATGAAGCGGGGCAGCGGAAATCGGTCGGTGATCAGATCCTGTCCAATTGTTAGTCAGATGACTATGAAAAGATCCGAGGTCAAAGCATGACATACTCTTGCATCCTCCTTCGGCTGCTCGAGGAGAGATGCAAAATTTTCGTAGCCTTCTTGATCTTGATAGCCCGCCTTTCTCCATTCTGCAACTGTCTCGCCATGGAATATGAGGATATGAAAGAAGGTATCGAGAAGTAATACATGCGTCGGCTGGATAGAGGTTGAATCAAGAAGGACTGGTCGGCCACCCTCTTGGTCGAAGGTGTAGGAGTCAAGGGTGGGCTGAATCATGACAAGGGAGTTCCCAACATCTTCATGGTTGAGAACGTGTCGATAAAAGGCCGTTTCATCTGGAGAGTTATTAAACACCTGAAGAAACTGGCTGCGTCGTAGGTGAAACATAAACTGAGGGTAGAGAGTAAAGTTCTTCTCGAGGCGGAACGAGGTTGGGTTATCCTTGCGATAATCAGCGAATCTAGAGCAAAGCCTGATAAGCATCCTATCTACCCATCGGAGAACATCAGGGCCGTCGTCAACCTCCGCCTTGAAAACAGCTATCCTAGACATTAGCACCGCTGCAGCCTCTTGGTCAAAGAGTGGGCAATGGCTGGATCACCAGCTGGGCCACTCAGTTTTCTGCTGATTGTTGTGACTCGGAGATGAAATTGACCAGATGAGTGTTGATAGTATGTAAGGAATTGAATCATCCCTGCTTGCTGGGCTTGTTGATGTCCTCCTGGACCTTGGTTGGCGATCTCGAAATAAACACCGTAACTTGAGCTTGGGTCAATTCCACACATTTTCCATGCGCAGGTGTTTCCTATGCCACATTCCGTCTCGCCGACAGACGCTGATTTTTGTTGAGGGACACAGCATGGCCTATTAGCCCGGTTACTTTAAGTTCCTTGGTCGTTAGAACCTCCAGTACCGCGTTAAAGCCCATGAGGAGATTATCATCGCCATCTTTTCAAAGACGCGAACAAAGGACTGCCTAAACATTGATGAAGTGAAGCTGTCCGTTAGGATCATGTGACCTCCGGTTGAGTTACAGAGACCCTTCATTTCAAGGAGGCCGACTTGATCGAGACACCCAGCGAAGATATCAATGATATGCCCGTTATGGGCGGTCCGCTTCGCGAGATTATCGTAAAACTGACAGAGGGTTAGAGTTTTATTATCCACGCATAGTTACTAAAATTGAAGACTTACCTTCAGGGCCTTTTTATAATATTTGATATTATCGCGGTCGATGTCATGGTGAGAACGAATAGGTTCTCGGAGCTCAGGTCCAACAACCATTCCTGGCCCTTCGGTGGCAGGCCCACCCGCGAACAGCATGATTCTCCCTCCAGCATTTTGGAACGATGATTCAAGAAGACCGACAGCCACGCTAAGGGCAACTCCGGTACATCTAAGGCTCCGTCTGTCACCGGCCACCGGCCAAGGATCCTTTTGCAATTGTTCCAATGCTTTCGTCAATTGAAACTCGCACTGTTGAACAGGAAGTAGGAACCTGGAGGCAGGCCCTGTCGGTATGGGGCGGCCTTGCTGCTGTTGCGGTTGCATGCCTGGTCGCATATTTTGCGAAAGGAGGCCGAGCATCTCTTGCACTTGTTTCGCAGGGTAATCCTTACTGCCCCGGAAGACATATGACTTCGCGCATTCGGTATAGCCAATCTCATGAACTTGGGTCTAACATCAAGTTAGCGTAGCACCAACCTGCGGGACACGAAAGGGAGCTGGACCATAGTGCCGAAGGTGATCAATCCGACAAGAGCGTTCTCAGGCAAGAGACTAAGACTCATCACCAAGGATTCCTTGAGAGCCGCCAAGCTATCATCTTCCTGGCATGTGTCTACCACATAGAGGAAAATTGGGGGTGCTGGGGCAGGTCTTGAAAGGCGGTACTCGATGGTGGTGTTTGAGTTGTGTAGCTCAGGCGGAATAGCATTGGCCGTAATATCCTTGTAGTGCGGCGGGAGGGGGTTTCGCGACAAACAAAAGGGGCAGATCCAGAGACGGGCCCGAACGTCAACTTGACTGATTGCTCGTTAGCAAAGTATATGCTTAGGCCATCCATGAACTAACCAGAAAGGATTCAATACAGCACGACAAGGCTGTTTGCAGGTCACTGGTTCAAACTGAAGCAGAGGCGTCTCAGGCTTCTCCTTAAGCGGCGTATAAAGGGCCCCAATAGGCACGACGAGGCGGGACGCTTCCTACAAATGGTTGAGGTTAGGAGAAAGGTTTGAATCGTGTGATGACACATACCATGCGAGAGCTAGGGAAGACATTCCAGCTCAGGCGAACACCATCTCGATCCTCAACCTCGCCCCATTGTTCTTTTAATGCCTCAAAATCCATGATATAGGCAAGATTTATCTCGACGGCGAAAGCAATTAGCTTGATTGTAAGGTTTCTGCCAAAGTTGGAAGGAATCGGAGGTGTCAGTCCGATGGAAAATACGGGTGAGGTCGACTGGCTCACTAAAAACACCAAGAGGCCAGAAAGCACCAAGGAGGGGCATCCGCTTATTAAGCTTTCCAGGAATGGTTTTAGAAGACTGAAGAATAAACCTGTGGTCTATTTTTTATTTCACGAGCCAACAAATATTGATGTTGCTCCTTCGCAACATAACGCACCGGCAGCTTATAAGTAGATATTTTCGGACACTCACGGCACGGTTACAGATATTATTTGTATACCCTCGTTAGCTTGGAAATATGTCTTTCGGCGGCCATACCCCGACAATTATCGTCCTCAAGGAAGGTAATGACCCCACTACTCATCCCCAACCACCATCCTCGACAGAACAAGCTGACAAGCGTTTTCTATCAACCAGGAACCGATGCGTCCCAGGGCAAAGGTCAAATTCTCTCCAATATCAATGCTTGTGTAGCTGTGCAAGCAACTGTAAAGCCAACCCTTGGGCCGTATGGTGGCGATCTTTTAATGGTAGATGAGAATGGCAAGCAGACGATCACAAACGACGGCGCCACAGTCATGAAGGTACGGAGTGTAAACACTAGAGGGACTTTCCAGCGCGTTGTGCACTAATATAACCAATTTCTATAGATGCTAGACATTGTACACCCCGCCGCCCGCATCTTGATCGACATTGCACGCTCCCAAGATGCGGAGGTTGGCGATGGGACAACATCAGTGGTTGTCCTGGCGGGGAGATCCTCAAAGAGATGAAGGAGCATGTCGAGCAAAATGTCAGTTCACAGCTCATTATCAAAGCAATTCGAAGGGCCTCAGCCTTGGCTGTGAACAAAATCAAAGAAATCGCCGTCCCGACGAGTGGGGGCAACAAAAAGAAACTCTGGCTAAGCTTGCATCGACAGCCATGACTAGCAAGTTGATCAAGCGAAACACTGATTTCTTCACCAAGAGTTTGTCGCCTGACTTGTTCTCTCTGCAAGAGTCCTTGATGCGATATCGATCTGCTGACAATGAATTACCTTAGTGGTGGTTGAAGCGATGCTCTCCCTCGATCAAGAAGATTTGAACGAAAAACTCATCGGCATCAAGAAAATACCCGGCGGCTCACTGACGGACTCTCTTTTGTTGATGGCGTTGCCTTTAAAAAGACCTTTTCATACGCCGGTTTTGAACAACAGCCGAAAAGTTTTAATCAACCCAAGATAGTGTGTCTAAACGTTGAACTTGAACTTAAGGCCGAAAAGGATAATGCAGAAGTCCGGGTCGAACAGGTTTCAGAGTACCAGGCCATTGTCGACGCTGAATGGCAAATCATTTTGAAAAAGCTAGACGCCCTCTATAAGACAGGGGCAAGGGTCGTTCTCAGCAAGCTGCCAATTGGTGATCTCGCCACCCAATACTTCGCTGATCGGGACGTTTTTGTGCTGGGAGGGTTGCTCAAGAGGACATGGAACGCATTATAGAAGCAACTGGGGCAACCCTGCAGTCGACCTGCTCAAATATCCTTCCAGAGCATCTTGGAGCGTGTGGCTCTTTCGAAGAGCGGCAGATTGGTGGCGAACGCTTCAACTTCTTTGAGGGCTGCCCTGAGGCTAGACATGCACTCTCGTCCTCCGTGGTGGCGCAGAACAATTTATCGCGGAGGTGGAACGATCACTCCACGACGCTATTATGATCGTAAAGCGAGCACTTCGAAACAAGTATATTGTAGCTGGAGGCGGGGCTGTTGAGATGGAAATTTCTGCCTACCTTCATAGATTTGCTGACAATAAAACAGCCGACAAACAACAACCAATCATCAAATCATTTGCAAAAGCGCTCGAGGTTATTCCCCGTCAACTCTGCGATAATGCCGGGTTCGACGCTACAGATATCTTGAACAGGTTGAGAGTGGAACATGCTCGAGGCCACAAGTGGTCTGGTGTTGATTTTGACAATGAAGGCACCGCTGATATGATGGAGAGGTTTGTCTGGGAGCCTGCGTTAGTAAAAATAAACGCAATACAGGCTGCTACGGAGGCCGCTTGCCTAATTCTCAGCGTGGACGAAACTATCCGCAATGAAGAAAGCCAGACTCCTCAAGGTCAGCCGAAAGCCCTTCCTCCAGGGGCCGCGCAACGAGCTCTAAGAGGTCGTGGTCGTGGTATGCCTCGGCGATAGCCTATATACCATTGGAGTGCCATAGCTTCAAATTTCAAGATTAGATTTTTACAAGATTTTGGTCACTTCCCTCGATTCTTCTCGTTCTTAATATTCCTCGCATGTGACTAGACAGCTCATGCCACATCGCCAGAGTCAACACCTAGGCATCCAACAAAACCATGAGACTTCCACTCAGGCTGGCGCTGCTACTATAGTTTATATTGTTCCATTCGTTACATGTGGTTCCCGGTATTATCACATTGGGCTAACTGTACTCATTGCGGATGTACCAGGGGCGGCTCATGTTGACTCATTGGGGGCCTCCATGGCAGCACAGAAGTGGTGGTGTTGCGGAACCACTACACTCTCTCTCTTGCCATACCTCCAGCTATATACACTCCTTCTCAATGATGGAATCCCGAGCGTCAACATTGATGACCCTTTGTCTATCCACAATAATGACAATAATTCCCGAAATTCACTCTTAAATATTTGGTTCTGAAATGATTTCGAGTTATATATATATAGATATCTCTATATCTATATATACGCTAATGGTGGCATGGTCAAATACTGGACCAGCTTTCGCCCTCAGTGAGACCTAGCACGCCAAGTGGCGGCGTGTGCTGCCCGTCTTTCATAATTGAAGCCTAAGACACCCGCATTCTAATAGAGGTCTTGTGACAGTACTTTTTCGAACGTTTAAGAGATGCGAATGCACGCTAGTCCGACTTGCACCGCGCTCAGTATTAAATACTACACTCTTTCTTGACGAAATTATAGACTAGACACTCTTGACAAGCTTCGGGGCCTGCTCCTTGAATCAAACTCAGCCATTAAATAGCTTCGACCTTGGGGCCACTGAGGTACCTCGAAGAAAACGGTATCGTGATTGATATATTAGCTACTTTCAGAACAGAGTTGGTTCTGAGGCAATACCACTAGTATCAATGTTGCAGGCCAAGCGAAAGATAAGGGCCAGGTCCTTTCAGGTCATATCGCAGAATTGAGCTTAGCGGGTCAAATGGCGATTTCCCATCCCAAACCTAGTAAATAGAGAGCTTTTCCATACCAGGAGCCATAAGGGGTAATAATAGAGGAAGTGAAAATGTGGGGAGGAAAGGGGAGAGGCCTGCACTTAGCTAGAAAAACAAACTATAGAAATCTTTGGCACTATTATCACATTTTAGCTACATGTACCTCGATAATGATTGTGATAAGTTTTCAGGTAATAATACATAGATGGATCTGGATATAACAATTGATGTCCGAGTAATACATATTAGTTTAGTAAGGTGGGGGATACATGCCCCACCACTGAGGATTAACATATTGGTATTTGGAGGGTGAATCATCTGAATCTCTCTCGCGTTTTTTTCCGATAAGAAAAAAATACGTGCTACTCCCACTCTCGTGTCTCCACAAGGAGGATAAAATCAGCTTTAACGAACCCCCAACCCCGTTTGAAGGCAAAGGAGAAAAGGAAAAGAAAATTATTCCTCTTCAAGCTGAGGATGCCTTGTGCATGCATTCAATTCTAACCTGATGTGAAGGTCTTTGAGTCACTCAAGTATAACCCCTCTCCTCAAACAATGGAGACAACTATAGCAGGGAGCCTCATCAAGGCTCAATTAGTCGACAAACTACCAAAGCGGTTCAGAGAGCTAAAGTTTGGCGTCCAGTGAGTTCATCTATCTTCTTTCGATTCCCAGCGCTGATACGGACTTCCCCAGGTCCAACCAGGACATTGCGAATCAAACAGTCCTTGAAGTGTCCGACCGCCTATTATACGATATCGAAAATAATCGTGCCCCTTATAGCCATGGCCCTCTTGATCCCCGGCTAGGAACTTCTAGCCGATCCTCGAACTGCCGCACTTGTAACGAAGCGCTACAGAATTGCACCGGTCATTTCGGCCATGTTCGGCTTCCTTTACCGGTTTTCCACATAGGCTACTTTCGGTTTACAATAGCCATGCTCCAGAACATCTGCAAAGTTTGTCCCCTCGCCTAGTGAAGTGATTCAAACTTTCATGACAGGCACTAAATCAGACATCATAGGATTGTGCCCAGGTTCTGCTGACTGAGCCCGATCGCGGATTCTTTCTGAAGGAGATGCGACGAACAGACACGGACAACACTCAACGCTCCAAAATCTTCAAAAAATCAATGAGCAATGCCGCAAAGTAAAAGTCTGTCCCTACTGTGGCGCCACGAACGGAACTATCCGTAAAGTTGGGGTCCTTAAGCTCGTCCACGATAGGTTCTCGTCCTTCAACAAATCGACGGCCATCAAAAAGATCCCCCGGAAAGTAAAACTCAGTTTGACAACTCTTTCACTGAAGCCAAGGCACACAACCCTGAGTTGGAGAAGCATCTTCGCAGAGCAATGGAAGACCTTAACCCATTGAGGGTCCTTAATCTTTTCCAACTTATTAGCCCCACCGATTGTGAGCTGCTTGGCTTGAATCCTGGTGAGGGTCGCCCAGAGATGTTTTTATGGCAGTATCTCCCTGCCCCTCCCATATGCGTCCGTCCCTCTGTCGCGCAGGATAATGCAAGTAACGAGGACGACATCACGACGAAACTGGCCGATATTGTGTGGGTCAGCGGGATGATCCGCTCGGCCCTTCAGCGAGGCTCTCCTGTTCAGACACTGATGGAGCAGTGGGAATACCTACAGTTACAAGTTGCAATGTACGTCAACAGCGATGTCCCTGGCCTCCAGCAGCCTGGTTTCGGCAAAAGCGTCCGAGGCTTCTGCCAGCGCCTTAAAGGAAAACAAGGAAGGTTTCGGGGAAACCTGTCCGGGAAGCGGGTTGATTTTTCCGGGCGTACTGTTATCTCCCCAGATCCGAATCTCGGTATTGATGAGGTCGCTGTGCCTGTTTTGGTGGCGAAAACTTAACTTATCCTGAAAGAGTCCAACAGCACAACATAGAAAAACTAAGGAAATGCATTCGGAATGGCGTCGACCGTTGGCCTGGCGCGCAGAGTGTCCTCAAAAGTGAGGCCAGCGGCAGCTATAGGGTTAATCTGCAGTGGGCAGATAACGAGCGGACAGCCCAGGAACTTCGGATAGGCGACGTCGTCGAGCGCCATCTTGAAGACGGCGATATTGTATTGTTCAATCGCCAACCATCCCTTCATAAGCTAAGTATCATGAGTCACTTAGTGAAAGTACGACCATGGAGAACATTTCGTCTGAATGAGTGTGTATGCACACCCTACAACGCCGATTTCGATGGTGATGAGATGAATTTACATGTACCTCAGACCGAAGAAGCGAGGGCTGAGGCAATCAATCTCATGGGAGTGAAGCACAATTTAGTGACTCCGAAAAATGGAGAACCTATCATCGCGGCCACCCAGGATTTTATCACGGCAGCATACCTCTTAAGTAGCAAGGACCGCTTTTTGATCGGAAAACCTTTACTTATATATGCATGCATATGCTCAACGGTGAGACGCATATCAGCATTCCTCCACCCGCCATCCTCAAACCGCAAACGCTTTGGACGGGAAAACAGGTTTTCAACATTCTAATGAGACCAAACAAGGCCTCGGATGTGATGGTTAACCTAGATGCCAAATGCAAAGATTTCGTTTTGAAGCCCGGTCAGTCTCCTGATATGTGCTCCCAAGACAGATATCTGGTTATCCGGAACTCAGAGGTGATGTGTGGTCGAATGGACAAGTCAACAGTTGGACCGGGGAAAAAACCTCGATCTTTTATGTTATCCTGCGGGATTATGGGCCTGATGCGGCTGTCGATGCTATGAACCGTCTTGCAAGACTTTGCGCTAGGGATCTCACAAACCGTGGCTTTTCTATCGGTATCGGGGACGTTTTCCCGACCGATGAGCTAAGCCGAAGGAAACATGGGCTAATGGAGATATCGTACCGGGAGTGTGATGGCTTGATCGAAACCTTCGGTCAAGGAAAGCTCGAGAAAGCCACCGGATGTACGATGGAACAAACTTTAGAGAATGCCATATCCGGCAGTCTTAGTCGGGTCCGACAGCAGGCTGGCCAAATCTGTATCGACACGCTGAGCCGCAACAATGCGGCGTTGATCATGGCCCAGTCTGGGTCAAAGGGTTCGAATATCAACGTTTCACAAATGGTTGCACTTGTCGGTCAACAGATCATTAATGGACAGCGCGTCGCCGACGGATTCCAAGATCGCAGTCTCCCACACTTCCCCAAAAACACTAGGCAACCACCGGCCAAAGGGTTTGTCAGGAACAGCTTCTATTCAGGTTTAACACCCACCGAGTTTGTGTTTCACGCCATGTCCGGGAGGGAAGGACTAGTCGATACCGCTGTTAAAACAGCGGAGACAGGCTACATGTCGCGGCGTTTGATGAAATCTCTAGAGGACCTGTCAACTCAATACGACAATACTGTGCGAACCTCAGGTGGTAATATAGTCCAGTTTCAGTTCGGTGCTGATAAGCTTGATCCAGTCGATATGGAAGGCGCGGCAGTGCCCGTAAACTTCGATCGAATATGGACACACTCCGAAAGCCTAACTAGGGACAATTCAAGCTCGATAGCCCCTGATGAGATTACTAGACTGTCCTCGTTGATTCTTGGCGAAGAACGAAAACGGTATGCGCGCTTCAGTCTCTTGAATCAGAAACTAGATTACAACGACACAAGTGATGATGGGATTGACGAGCATGAAGGGGCGAGGCGTTTCCTTAACGCTGTCGAAGATTATATTAAAAGTCGCATTCAAAAGCTTGAGAAAGCTCGAAATATGACCCCCTCCAAGCCTCAACCCCATCTTCAAAGCAACTCCGGCACGTGCAAGCTGAACAAGTGGCGCGACTGACCCGTCCTACATTACAGCATTTTATCAAGCTATGCTTAGAGAAGTACACAAAAGCTCATGTTGAGCCGGGGCATGCTGTAGGGGCAGTGAGTGCGCATTCAATTGGCGAGCCCGGGACACAAATGACTCTCAAAACCTTTCACTTTGCTGGTGTTGCAGGAATGAGTATCACTCAGGGAGTTCCAAGAATCAAGGAAATCATCAATGCGTCCAAGAAGATCAGTACACCCGTTATCACCTGTCCTCTTGAGAACAACAGGCAAATAGACGTGGCGCGTTTAGTAAAGTCGGATCGAAAAGGCACACCTTTCCGATATTCTTGTCTCGATTGAGGATGAGTACAGACCTGATACTGCCAGTGTCATCCTCCACCTTGCCACGGAAGTTATGGAATCGAGGCATTTGGGAATGAGTACGGCAGATATCATGACAGCGATTTACAGCAACAAGAAGCTGAAAGTTGGGCCTGAGGACATATCAGTCACAAGGCCCAACTCCATTCGAGTCAAATTACGATCTGATGCTGGAACCTCAAAGCGAGCAACAAAATCACGTTCAGCCGCTGGCGATGACGTCGGTGATCTGGTTCTCCGTGCTAATTTCCTACGCCGTGCGCTGCCGACGATAGCCATTTCGGGATATCCCGAAACGTCCCGCACCATCATCGAAACATCTCAGGAAGGTACCCATACTATCTTTGTAGAAGGATATGGGCTGCGAGCGTGCATGACAACAGAAGGTGTTCTAGGCACAAGGACGCAGACTAACAACATCATGGAATGTAAAGATGTGCTTGGGATCGAAGCGGCTCGGACATCAATCGCAACTGAGATTGGCAAGGTGATGAAAGGAATGGACATCGATCCCCGACACATGCAGCTGCTCGCAGACGTGATGACCTATAAAGGTGAAGTATACGGTATCACTCGGTTTGGGCTCTCAAAAACACGAGACAGTGTACTGCAGCTCGCATCCTTTGAGAAGACTCCAGATCATCTATTCGATGCAGCTGCAAGTATGAAGGCGGATAAAATTGAGGGCGTTAGTGAATCTATCATCATGGGGCAGTCGATAGGTCTCGGAACAGGTGGAGTTCAAGTGGTTCGGAGATTAGCGCTGCGACAAAGCGACCTCTTACAACGACCAACACTCTTCGAGGATATATGGGGAAGGGAAGCAAGGACTTAGAATTTAATATTATTGAAGAATAGAAAGAAAGAAGAATAGTTCCATATAGAATTTATAAAAATATTAAATATTATTTAAATCTAATATAATAAAGAAAGTTTAAAATAATATAATAAATACTATAATATCGTCGTCTTCCTCGCCGCGGGTGATGGAAGCAACAGGGATCACAAATCAAGGGATTCTGAGGGACCCCTTACTGAGGAAATCTGGAAACCCATCGAACCCAAACCCAAATTTCGAATGAGGATAACTAAGTCACTATCAGCGATGTAGGGCGGGCCTCTGAATCTTGATGTTCGGAAGTATGGCTTTTGTGCAAGGGGAATCTATCACATCCAAGCTCTCTTTAGCTCCCTTTCGTCTTGGTCGTGTAAGTATAGCGGAGGTTGGCTCACTAGGTCTACCTACTTTCAAACTGCACCGCCAAGCTTACACCCTTCAAGCAGAGTAGATAACCCCCTCCCCCACGCCGCCACTACTACTTGCCCATCATCATGAAACTCGTTCACTCAGGCTCTAGCCTTGTCTGCTTCGCCGGCGCAGTATCTGCCTAGGCCAATGCCTTCACCCCTCCAATCCGTGCCCCGTTAAATGCGGCGATGCCGGATCCGACCCGTCAGACTAGATATACCTGCACGGTCGCCCAGCCCTGATGCGCTGTGGCGAGCTGGTCATATTTAACACCGCCCTCCACACCCCCGTCGACAACGACAAGAAGCTTGTTACCTACCGCGCCTGCACTGCTTCCTAAGAAGATACGGGCATTACGGAGGAGTATACCCCTGCGCCGTTCACATTTGGGCAGCCTCTCGGCGAGAATACCCTCCTCCGCCGGGATGGGCAGACTAGCTGCTTCCCCAGCGCTGAGACCCGCACCAACGAGACCACTGCCTAGCTTCTTAGCTGGAATGGCGACGGAGAGGATAACACCGCAGACGCCAAGCATCTTCGCTTGGCTGTGGGTAAGCTGTACGCTTGGCTTCGGGATGACTCTAACTGCCACCGCAACGTCATTTTCGGGCGCTCAGGAAACACTGTTGTCGGCCTCTACGTAGATGGCGAGGTGCAGAAGGCCAGCGCCGCTAAGATCGTCCAGAGGTTCCTTGACGGATCCGCCGCCGCCGCCGCCTCCTCTGCTAGAAGGGTGGGTGTGCAGGTCTATAAAGATAAGACGCCTAGCACCTGGTCGCTCGGAATTTTCGCCGATCTCCGTGGAAACGTTTCGTCCGTCCAGGGGGCCGTCAAGAGCCTGTATGACGGAGAATGCTGGCGCGGAGCCGACGCCGAGGACGAATGGGATGACGTCAAGCTTAGCATCTTCAGGGCGGTTGATTTGGAGCCCAAGAACGAGATTATGTCCGGCCTCGAGCAAGTTGGTGAACCTGTTGTGGCTAAGAGATCCCTAAACGACGGAGCTAACGTCTTGGCTCCCCGCGCCGAGTGCAGGGCAATCTAAGCCGTTTCCGATGACGGTTGCTGGTCCCTTGGTGAGCGATGCGGGATCTCGTTGAGCGACATCTAAAAGTATAACCTGGCCCCGGGCTTTTGCAACGCCATCTTCCCGGGAACTTGGGTGTGCTGCTCCTCGGGTACCCTCCCAGACAGTAGGTAAATTTCCTACTTGGCCTCCGCTGAGAGAACGGGCTGCTGGTCGAAGAACACTGTGAACTTATAGCATCTCCCAAGCAGAACGCCGATGGATCTTGCGCATCGTACACCTACGATGGCGTAGGCTACTGCGGAGACATCGCTGCTAAATATAAAATCACCCTCGATCAGTTGATAGAGTTCAACAAGAACACATGGGGCTGGGCTGGATGCTCGTTTCTACAGGCGGGAATGAAACTTTGCTTGTCCAAGGGTTCGCCGCCGATGCCCAACGCCATCGCCAACGCCGTTTGAGGCCCGCAGGTCGCCAACACCAAACGACCTACCGATGGAAATGCCCAGTCCGACTTGAACCCGTGCCCTCTCAACGTCTGCTGCAACGTGTGGGGCCAATGCGGAACTCTCGAGAACTTCTGTACCATTGCGCCCGGTGGCACGGGAGCGCCCGGCACGACCCAGCCGGATATGAATAGCTGTATCTCTAATTGCGGCATGGACATCATCAACAACTCCAACCCCCTGCGAAATTCATACATGTTGCCTATTTCGAGGCATAGAATAAAGAGCGCCCCTGCCTCCATATGGACATCACTGACATCGATACTAGCAAGTACACCCATATCCATTTTGCCTTTGGCAACATCACCCGGATTTCTGCATCGACGTCAGCAAAGTGCAGGAGCAGTTTGGCTTGATGAAGGGTATGATAGGTATCAAAAGGATCCTGTCCTTTGGCGGCTGGACTTTCTCTACTGAGCAGCCCACCTACACCATCTTCCGCGAGGGTGTGACGGAGGCCAACCGCGCCACTCTTATCAATAACGTCGTGTCCTTCATCAACGAACACGGGCTGGACGGCGTGGACTTTGATTGGGAGTACCCCGCTGCCCCCGATCTGCCTATAGACGATCCTGGTAAGCTCGTCGAGGGATTAGACTACCTTGACTTTGTCACCCAAGTGAAGGCCTGACTCCCTACAAAGTCTGTCTCCATCGCCGCCCCGGCGTCTTATTAGTACCTCAAGGGATTCCGCATCAAGGAAATGGCCTAGGTACTTGACTATATAATCTATACGACGTATAACTTGCATGGCTAGTGGGACCACGGAAATGAATGGTCTGTGACCGGTTGCTCTGAGGGCGACTGCCTCCATTCACACATCAACATCACCGAGACCACCAAGGCGTTAGCTATGATCACCAAGGCCGGAGTCCCCTCTAAAAAGGTTATTGTCGGTATCTCCAGCTATGGAAGGAGCTTCCACATGGCCGAGCCCGGATATAAGGAGCCCATGTGTCAGTTCACCGGATCGTCGACAGAGTCAGATGCTGCAAAGGGACCATATCCAGATACACGCGGCTGTATTGCTTCAGCCGAGATTCGCCAGATCCTGTTAGATGGCCAGTACCCGGAGTGTATAGGCTACTATGTCGAGTCTTACCACGACGGCCCGTCCAACTCTGATATCCTAGTCTACAATGACGAGGAATGGGTTGCTTGGATGACCGACACGACCAAATCCACCCGAATCTTATGGGTTAAGGGTTTGAATTTTGGCGGCGTGTCGGACTGGGCCGTCGACCTCAACATAGACTACAGTGATTCCGGTGTTGGCGAGACTGAGAATAGGGACATTATCCTATGCCACCTCATATATAAATTCGCGAGTCTTAATAAGTTAGTGATAGATACTAATAAAATAAGGCCTAGATATAAGCCTATCTACACCCTATACATCCTCAACAACATACTAAACAAGTAGTCTCTAAGTATAAGGGCGTAAACAAGGGCTATAATAGCAAGTTTAGCTTATATATGAAATATATAAAGGAGTTAATACCCTTAAACTTAAGGTATTAAATATAGATCTATAATTATAAAGGCTTCCTAAGAGATAGTAATAAGTATTTCTAATATAAGTTTAATAGTAATAGTCATAAATATAAAGGAGATTACCTAATACTATATAATATCCTAGGAACCTTAATAATCAGTATCTAGAACCTAGAACTAACCTTAAAAGATAAAGCTAGCTTCTATAAAACCCTAAAGGAAGAGGTTAGTCTTAATAGAGATAACATCACATTTAAAACTACATTAGATATCTAACACTATAAACAAACATAGGGAAATCTAATATATTAGGGGTAGGAGCTCACTACTATAGGAATACTAACCTTAAAGAAGGGATAGGAGCCTATTAACCCTAAAGCTATTTTTAATAAGATCCTACCTAATATCAAGACATTAAGGATTTATCTTATAGTGACTATCTTTAAGTGTAGTATAGGTCTCTAGATAGGTAGGAATAATAATACTATTAAGGTACTATTAATACTTATATTCTCTATAATCTAGGCCCTTAGCACTATAGAGTAAATAAAGGAGATTAGAGAGGATATCTAAGAGGAGGAGAAGAAGGAACTAATTATAAATATTATCACGACTGTCCTTTTATCATTCCTTTTATCAGCAAGCTTAGCGCCGCCGCTACAGGGTTAACTAGTCTAGCTTAAGCTTTCACGATCGCCAGCTTAGCTAGAAATACTATATTTTCTATCGCTACGATCATCAAGAATCTAGAATCAGCACCTAGTCATCAGAGGTATATTATTTACTAGTAGGATCAAGTCCCCTAAGGAGTATAATAACTTTACTAAAGTATATAACTTTATAAGTATATTAGAAATCAGTAAGATAGGATCTATATTTAAAAGAATAATAATTACCTTAGGTAAGCTATTAATATTTATAAGGCCTAAATAGTAGCTCCTAGTTTAATCTCTAGGGATCTATTATAGTCTACTAGAGCTATCAATCTTTCTACAGCTAGAAGCTAGAGTTATTTCTAGTTCTTATTTAGTGAGGGATCTATATACTATTTCTATCATTTTCTTTCTCTAGAAATAATAAATAAGAAGCTTTACCAATTTCGAGAATAATTTTATTAGATAAAAGAAATATCTTTTTCTAAAGCCTATATTTTATAATAATATCTACTATTATATTAGTTTATAGAGGGGGATAGGGGTCTTATCTTACTAATTACTATTAGCTCTATATTAAAAAGGTCTATCTTATATTATTAATAGTAATAGCTATAGTTTTACCTTTATAGGGGTTTACTAGGTAATATTTTAAAGTTTTTAAGGTTATCTTAAAGATTATTTTAGAGGTTATCTTAAAAGTTAGTTACAGGGGTATTAATTATTATAAAGTTAAAATCTATATTAATATTTAAAATTATATTTTATATTTTACTATTCTTATTAATAATAGTAGAAGAGGCTATTATAATAGCTCTTCTTATTTTACTATAGGTTTTAATAATAATAAGATATATATTAGTAAAATATATATTAGGATAAAAGAAGACCTATAAAGCTACTAATAGCCCTCTATAGCTAGAACTACCTAAGAGTAGCCTTATAAAAAGAAGAAAGTAATAATTAGTAAAGAAAAGAATATACTCCTATTTTACTTTCTATCTACTACTTCTTATTACCTTCTTATTAGCTTATATATATTATACCTCTTTACTTTATATAATAATACTTTTATAATATATAAAGTTTAGTTATTTTTCCTTTTCTCTTTAAAACCTTAATAGCTACTTTTAATATATTAATATATAACTTTATATAGTTTATTATAGTTTAAATATTTAAGTTTATAAAGGTTTAATATATTATAAATTATATTTTATATTATATTTATTAGTATAGATTAGATAGATACTCTAATAATATCTATATTAGTAGATTAAAGATTTTACCTTTTTCTTTTAAGATTATATAAAGTATCAGGATAAAGAGAAGCCTAAGCAACTACTAATAGCTCTCTTAGGGAATAAACTAAGAAATAGCCCTAAAAGAGTTAACTAAGGATTCCCTAGAGGTCTACCTATAGGAATAGTAGGCTGATAATAAGTCAGCTAGTAAGCTCCTATATCTAAGTAAACCTATAGAGACCTCTTAGCTAGATATAAGTAAGGAAAAGTAATAAAAGAGGGGAAATTAATAATTAAAAGGAGGGGAAAAGAAGAGTGAAGGGATAGTAGATTATATAAGACTAGTTATAAAAAGGAGAGAAAGGAAGAGGTTAGAAGAAGGGGAGTAGTAATTAGTAAAAGCCTAAATATATACCTACCTTACTCTCTACTTACTACCCCTACTACCTTACTATCAGCCTATATATACTATACCTCTTTACTCTATATAATGATATCCTTATATAGAGGTTTTAAAAAAGTAGAATAAGATATTTAGAGAGGTCTAAAAGGTAATCTATTATAAATCTATATCTTAGTAATTAGGGCCTTACTATATAATATACTACTTTTAATAGCTAGTATACTTTTTATATAATTAGCCCTATAGGGTAAAGTTATAGTATATTAACTACTAAGCCTAGTAGTAAGTAAACCTAGTAAAAGTACCCTATAGTTCTTTACTAAAATACCCTCTACTACTAATAAAATAAGTCCTAATAGAATAGAATATACTAAAAACACTCTTATATTATACTAAGATATTTAAGATATCTTCTAATAGTACTATATTAAAATACCTTCTAATACTATATTAAAAATACTTATAATATTAATTAAGTATACTTTAAATTTTAAAATATATAGAATATAGATTTTCATCTAGTATTAGAGGGAATTTCAATATAGATTTAATATTAAAAGTTTATATTTAATATAAATATAGTTTTTAGTAGAGGACTAGAGTTAATATTAAAAGGTATTTTAGTATAATACTATAGGGTACCTTTACTAGGTTTAATTACTACTATACTTAAAGTAGGCCTAAATATTAATATATTATAACTTTACCCTATAGGCTAATTATATAAAAAGTATACTAGCTATTAAAAGTAGTATATTATATAGTAAAGGCCTTATTAAATTACCTTTAAGGTATAGTAGATAAAGATCTTCTAGTCCTCCTCCCTCTTTTTCTTTTAGATAGTCTATTAAATCTAAGGCTAAAGCTAGGGTTAGGGCTTAATAAAGACCTATTATTATCTATCTTTAGCTTTAGTTCTTACTTAAGATAGTATTAGATAAGTAATGAGAGCTCTAGTAATAAGAGACCTAGTTATATAAGCCTAAATATTATCTTAGAGCTTAGCTTTAAAAGAAGAAGAAGAAAACTTTTCTTACTGTTAATTATTATATAGTTATTAAGAGTTAAGTTAATATTTATTAGAGATTATAAGCTTAATATATATTAAAGGTTAGAGCTTTTTTTCCTATATAGATATATATTGAAAATTTTCTAAGTTAACTTCTATTAATAGAGTCTTTTTAAAGTTTATATTAGCTTATACTATTACTCTAGTTATATATATTATTTTCCTATTTATAGAGCTTAATAAAAATTTAAATTAATATATAGTAATCTTATTAAAACTTTAACTTTTACTAATATTAGTTAGTTTTAATAGTTATTAATAATATAAATATTAATAATAATATATAGTTAATCTATAACTTTATTTTTAATAATACTTTTATAACTTAGATATTATTTAATATCTATAAAAGCTTTTTACCTATCTTATTATATTTCTCTAATAAATAAATTCTTTCTATAAAGAAGTTAAAATATAGGCCTCACTATATAATATACTACTTCTAATAGCTAGCATACTTTTTATATAATCAGCCCTATAGGGTAAAGTTATAGTATATTAACTACTAAGCCTAGTAGTAAGCCTAGTAAAAGTACCCTATAGTTTTATACTAAAACACCCTCTACTACTAATAGAATAAGTCCTAATAAAATATTAAATTAAATAGATATTAAAAAATACTCTAGTACTATACTAAGATACTAAAAATACCTTCTAATAGTACTATATTAAAATACCTTCTAGTACTATATAAAAATACTTTTTAATATTAATTAAATATATTTTAAATTTAAAGGTATATAGAATATAGATTTTTATCTAGTATTAGAGGGTATTTTAGTATAGATATAGTATTAGAAGCTTATATAAGGACTAGAGTTTAATAATATTAAAGGGTATTTTTAAGTATAGTGCTATAGGGTATCTTTTACTAGGTTTAATTACTACTATACTTAGAGTAGGCCTAAATATTAATATATTATAACTTTACCCTATAGGGCTAATTATAAAAAAGTACCCTAGCTATTAAAAGTAGTATATTATATAGTGAGGCCCTAAAATATTATTTAATAATTAAATAGTTAATATTTAATTATATATATTATAAATAAACTTTTATATTTTAAGTTATAATTAAGTTATTTTCTTTAAATTTTATTAGCTTTTTTAACTTCTCTATTAAATATTATAATATTATAAATATATCTATATTTTTATTATTATTATTATTTTATTTTATTTTATTATCTTTTATATAATATATAGCTTTTCCTCTTTTAATAATAATAAAATAAAAAACCTCTAAGATATTAAAACTTTTATCCTTTATTATTTATTTACTTCTATAATATTTTTATATATTTTTAACTTATTATAAATCTACTTTTATTATATATATATTTATTTTTATTTTTATTTTATACTATAGATATAGATCTTACTATTAACTAATTATATACTCTTATTAGAATATTAAGTAAAATAGATCATCCCCTATTCTATATTCTAACTTTATCCTATTATATAAGATAAAAACTATATTTAATATATAAAATAAAAGAAAAGGAATAATAATCTAAATAATAAAAAGATAAAAGATATATAATATTAGCTCCTATT